TGACGGGGCCGTTCTCCCGAATAAGGTCCGCCCCTAGCTTGTACGTGCCAAAGACAAATGGCTTCTTGGCAAACTCGGTCGACGCAAGGAACTGGACTGTGGCCTTGAACAGCTCAGTGCTGCTCAGAGCCGAAGAAAGCGCCGGCTGACCGTTCCGTCCACCAGTCTGCAGCAGCAACGCCATCATAATTGCCCATTCAAAGTGGCCGAATCCACCCTTTGCCAGCGAGCTGCCCAGACCTCGCTGTTGGAGCCAGATCCGTCCGAGTATGCAAGCGTCTGCAAAGGCTGCGCAATCCGTCTTGGCTCGGGTGAGGACCCGCAGATACGTGACAAAGGTGTCTTCAGCCTTGATCGTCGAGTTGTAGAAGGGTGTAGATACAGTCGACTCCTTGGCGTTCTCCGGCTGCCCGTTTCTGTTGCTGTTGTACGCGGGATGCAACTTCTTCTTGGGGAAAACACCTTCGGGCGCGCAAGGGATGATTCTGATGACGAAGTCTGCCTTTGAGGATCCCGATTCGGTCTTTTCGCCACTCTCGTCGCTTTCTGAAGATTCGGATGTTGAAGAGGGCCTGATGGAGAGGACGGGCAGAAGGGCGTTGCCGTTCAGATTCTCGAATTCTAGGTCGGCAGATCCTGCCAACTCCTGGCGCAAGGCGGCCGCAATGTTCGCAATGTAGTATGCTCTACGGTAGAAGTAGCGCATGTTCTGGTGGTCCTTTTCTTGAAACAGCGAAGCCGGCATCTGCACAATCATGTCCACACCCTTGTTGGTCTGAGCCTGGATCATCGTCCTCGAGACATAGCTGCCCACGACATTGTAAGCGGCGGGCTTTTCGTATGACAGTTTGTACGGCGCATCGTCGGCGGGTTTCGGGTCCGGGTAGGGAATCTTGATCTTATTCGTCTTTTGGAACTTGCGCGTGGCTTCGGCGATCTATATATAATATGGTTAACACAAACCTATCTGGCGGGGGAGCAACATCATTGGGGGGTCACGAACAGGAATAGGACCGTGGGACTCAATTCCTTGAATGAGGTTCCTGATCTTGTGCAAAAGAGAGTCGGCGCCATCGAGAGTCTCGGCGTAGTCGACCTTGACTTCCTTCAACAGTTCGTCCGTCTGTAGGACGAATGGACTCGCCGTCGCGATGTTGGCGGCGATGTTGGAGTCGCCCTTGTGGGAGACCTTGCGTCGCTTGGCGCTTTGTTCCATTTTGGCGACTTGAACGGTTCAGCCCGGTGTATATGATGTACAGGTGGGCGGGCTGTCCAATTCGTGACCGACAAGCGCAATGGTACAGGATCACAGCAATACGGGTCGCAACCTCAGATCCATCGACTGCTGCACCAAAGACGCTGCGATGCTGGGAAATTTTTTGAGCGTGGGGCAGCCGATAAGAGCTGGGAGAAAACTTATCCCTGGCCGACAGTCCGATAAGACATTGGACTATGCCATGGATCCACTTTAACTTTGTGGTCGCCAGTCAGCCAGCTCCAGGCTTGAACCCCCCGCCATTGAAGCAGCGGATACTGCACCTTAGCCCTGCAGCCATGGGGTTGGATAAATATTAGACAGAACATAGAAAGACCCCATTGAAGTAGTGAATCATGCAACTATATGGACTACACAGTTGGTTATTCAACAGCAAAAGTGTCATCAAGAGCTCATCATGGTCTCTTCTTGGAGCAATTGTGTTGCAACAATGGCCGAGGATACAGCAGAGGTGCTAGCGGAACACACCGGGGGCTTCTCCACAACATCGGATGGCAACGAGCCGCTCGAGTGCCGGACTGCGTACCGAAGGTTCGGAGCTAATGTTGACAGACGCATTGACAGACGCAGGGGACCGCAGAGCTCCAAACCTCGCCAGCGACCCAGCGTGCGCCTCGAGGGGGTACCTGCGTGTGGTGCATGCCGCCGGTATCGCAGTGACAATTAGTCGGTTAGCTGGGGATTTTGCTATGCATTAATACATTGTCGAGGAGGCCTGTTCGGAACTGAGGTTGGAAATTCCTGACTTTTGTTCCGCTTCGGCAGAGTCTTCGGCAAACGGCGCCGCTTCCCGAACCGATCCCCGAATTTGCCCTTGTAACCTCGTTTATAGTTGTATGATTGATGTTTTGAAGTTCAGGTTTCCCTCTGACCTCTGGTGATGCTGTTACTGTGAACTCCAGGATAGAGAAGGTGTAGACAAAACAAAGCATAGGTGCTACTGGGTACCTATGCACTCTCTACATCAGAGGCTCAGAATTGCCTTTGCGGGGTTCAGACGGGGTCAAGGGGAAAGCTGGAGGTGGACTTTTCCCAGTTTGGCATCACCCCAGAGCCCAAGCCGCAAGAACATTTAGCCCCGCCACTTTCCGAGTCGCGGAACGTGAGAGGGGGGACTGCTTAGGTAACACAGCCAAAAGGTGCCTCTCCCTAATAGAACTCTATACTCCGTAAGGTACCTAGGAGCTTCAACGGTACGTTCTCAGACTCGCCGGCCACTGCGGCCAGCGGTCCAAGCTTGAACCCTCGTCCTTCCTCTTGCCGAGCTCAATCCCGAAGGGATGGGGCGGAATCAGGACCCCCCCAGACATGTTCCCCAATCCACATACTGCATGCTGCGCACGGCGGCAATTCACGGTCTTGGAGCTAGGTCCTGGGGGATAAACGTAGATGCAATAAATTGGCCTGGGCCCCTTCGGAATCCCTCGTGACGGAAAGCGTTTCTTCACTCTTCCTCCCTCCCCAGTTCCTCGCTCCGGCTTCATTCTCCTCTCCTGTCGATAGCTTCTTTGGCGTTGTCACTCTTGCGTACAGCGGCCTCTTCCAACCTGCTGCTCAACCACACTCTCCGGTCCTTGTAACCCCCCCTTCGTAGTCACGTACTACCATCCCACACACCCTCACACACCACGATGCCTTCAGCAGCTCTGTGTGCTCGCTCATTGCGGGCTTACGCTCGCCATGGCTCCAACGTATGTTCCAATTGAACCGGCAGTGACAATAGCTGGCCCGCGTAGCTTCAAACTAACCCTTTCGTCCCCATCAGCACACTGCCATTCTTGCCCGCGCCTTCTCAGCATCTGCGCGGAGGCCAGAGATCAACAAGGTCTATCCTTCAGCTACTGAGGCTCTCAAGGACATGAAGCCCGACTCTACACTCCTCTGCGGTGGCTTCGGTCTCTGCGGTGTTCCCGATACCCTGATTGACGAGGTTCTGAACAAGCCCGAGATCACCGGCATCACCGCCGTCTCTAACAACGCTGGTACCGATGCCTCTGGCCTCGGCAAGCTTCTCAAGACGAAGCAGATCAGCAAGATGATTGCCAGCTACATTGGCGAGAACAAGACCTTTGAGAAGATGTACCTCACCGGTGAGGTTGAGCTTGAGCTTACCCCCCAGGGCACCCTCGCTGAGCGGTGCGCCGCCGGCGGTAAGGGTATTCCGGCCTTCTACACCCCGGCTGCCTTCGGCACCGTTGTGCAGACCGGCGAGCTGCCCCTTCGCAACAAGCCCGACGGCTCCCCCGACCAGTTCTCCTACCCCAAGGACGTCAAGGTCTTCAACGGCAAGTCCTACCTCCTCGAGGAGAGCATCGCCGGTGACTACGCCTTCGTCAAGGCCTACAAGGCCGACAAGCTCGGAAACTGCCAGTTCCGTCTGGCCGCCAACAACTTCAACGGCGCCATGGGCCGCAACGCCAAGATGACCATTGTCGAGGCTGAGCACATTGTCGAGCCCGGCGAAATCTCCCCCGAGGCCGTCCACCTGCCCGGCATCTACGTCAAGCGCGTCATCCAGAGCACTACCCCGAAGAACATTGAAAAGTACACCTTTGCCAAGGACCCCAACGACGCCGACGCCAAGAAGGCCCTCGGCACCGGCGACACCGCCGCCAAGCGCGAGCTCATTGTTCGCCGCGCCGCCAAGGAGTTCAAGAACGGCATGTACGCCAACCTGGGCATCGGCATGCCCATGCTCGCACCCGGCTTCGTCGGCCCCGAGGTCGAGGTCCAGCTGCAGTCCGAGAACGGCATCCTCGGCCTCGGCCCCTACCCCGCCAAGGGCAACGAGGACGCCGACCTCATCAACGCCGGCAAGGAGACCGTCACCCTCAAGCCCGGTGCCGCCGTCTTTGGCAGCGAGGAGAGCTTCGGCATGATCCGTAGCGGCCGCATCAACCTCACCATACTTGGTGCCATGCAGGTCAGTGCCAACGGCGATCTCGCCAACTGGATGTTGCCCGGCAAGGTTAAGGGCTTCGGTGGCGCCATGGATCTCGTCAGCAACCCCAGCGCGACCAAGGTCGTTGTGACCATGGAGCACACCGACAAGAAAGGCAACGCCAAGATTGTCAAGCAGTGCGCTTTCCCCTTGACCGGCAGAGCCTGCGTGTCAAGAATCATTACGGAATTGGTAAGTCTCTTCTACCCCTGCACTGATCCAGATCCTGTGGGATGACAGTATACTAATATGTCATGTAGGGTGTCTTTGACGTCGACTTCGCCAACGGACTGACCCTCATCGAGATTGCGGACGGAGTTACGGTGGAGGAGATCAAGAGCAAGACCGAGGCGCCCTTCACCGTCGCCGACGACCTGAAGCCCATGTTGTAAAAAGGAGTATTTTGTACGAGAAAATCTTTCTTGGAGAATGAATGAGTCTGTGGAGGAGGTATATACCCGTCGCGATGGGTACGCCATTGTCATCATCTAGAGTACGGCGTCAAAGCTTAGGGATCAAAATGATAGCCATGATTTTTGCATTTCCATCCTATTGGTTCTACATACGCTCAAACTGCCCATGCCGTTGTCAAACGTGAGACTCCTAAACGCCAGTGTTTGCAAAGGGGGTTAATAGTCATGTCCAAATCGTCTTATGCTGTTGACAATACCCTCCCAATATACAGTAGCATGATTGACTGGTATCTTACACTCAGTCCGTCGAGTCCAGTCGCAATTTCAGCCCCAGCCCTCCCCGTGTTCCGCATCCCCCTCAAAGAAGATCTCAAGAACCCATAAAAGACTGCAAAATATCATCAAGCCTCCGCCTCTTCTTCCTATTCGGATTCAACCCCGTCTCGACCTTTCCAAGCTCAACCTTGGGCCTCAACGACTCCGTCGGCTTCCGCACCGACGACTCCTGCTTGCTGCCCACCCCCGACGGCCTCCTAAAGAAGGTATACCTAGACGTGGCAAACAATCCCCGGCGCACATACGACACGGCCGGCGTGATGCCCGGCCTGCCGGAGCCGCAATGGCCCAGCTGGAGACACGCGAGCGGCTTCGCGGGCAGCACCAGCTTCTCGGATACCGCCGTGAGAGTACTCGTCTTTAGACCCGCTCTCTTGAGGTCTGCGTCCCCTGAGAGTTGGCCGAGGAAGGAGTACAGCCAGAACCCCCACGTTTCAAAGGGGAAGCCCTTGCAGGTTTGCGCCTCGTAGCCTGGTACGTCGACGTACATGGATAGATTCCTCTTGGCCGCCTCGCTGAGGTGGTCCAGGAACAGAGGTGCGCCGTCCTGGCTGGAGGCGTCAATCGTGATGGGCTGGTTGCTGCTCTGGCAGAAATTCATCAGCCCGTCGTCAATGTTGCGCGCCATGCCCTGCAGCTGTCTCGGCTTGCTGTCCTCCTTGGTCTCCTCGACGGCGCCGTCAAAGAGTAAGAGGTACCACAGCAGGGAATCGTGCGGGCCGTGCAGCGGTTCGTCCAGGTCCCAGCAATTCTCCTCCGCGGCTGCCCAGGCGTCCCGCCAGTCGCTCCTCGACGCGTTGACGTCGTATAGCGCCAGTGAGGGGAACTTGGAGACGTACTGCAGCGAGTGCGTCGTGACGGACTCGTCGCCCCAGAGGCGGAGGACACGGAGGAGCGGGAAGGGGTCGTCCATTTCGGACCAGCTCCTGACGAGACGGTCATCGACTTTGGGGAAGCTGGCCAGTTGGTGCTCGTCATAGGCTGACGCCGACGACGCCGGCTCAATGATTTCGAGGATGGCGAGGTTCTTGAGCTTGGCTAGCGCTAGCAGCTCGTTCTCGCCAAAGGAGCAGGATCCCGTGATGGTTAGGTGTGTTACAAAATCCACGTTGGGGGACTCGAGCGGTTTGAGGTAGTGGCGAAGACTTGGTGCGCTTGGTTGGCATATGTGTTGGCGGTAGCGGTATAGGCCCAGCGTCTTTTCGTCGTCTTCGGCGAGGAGGAATTTGGAAAAGACCTTCCAGGCTTGAAAGCATACGCCTCTACATCAAAAGAAACGAATGAATATCTTGAGAGGGTGAAGATACGGTATTTAAAAGAGAGAGAGAGAGAGAGAGAGGCTCAGGTAGAAGGGACCAACCTATTCTCTAAGAGTCGCCATATCCTCCACAAGTACCGCCGCGGCAAATCTTCACGGGCGAGATGCTGTTCTTCCACGTCGCCAATATTCTCTGCTATCGTGTGCACCGCCATGTCGGCGAGCGACCTCGCGCCCTTCCTGCCTTGGCCGCCGCGGCCTCTTCGTGGCTGCCGACCGGTCCGCCGTGACCAGTCCCGGCCATTTTGGTAGGTGTCGGGGGGACGCTGTGCGACGGCTTCTTTGAAGACTTGTCCGTTTTTGTCATACATGAGGACGGATCATTTGAGAACGCTGCGCAGGTAGCTTAAAAGGTCGGAACAGCCTACAGGTATAACTGTATCGAATCAAGTTGAGGATTCGTCATGGTCACGGTGATGGGTGAGGTGAGATGACGGGTGAGCTAGGGACGGACTCTGTGAGAGACCGAAGCACAGTGTTCGTACCGTACGTTTTTACCACCGCACTGTACACTCGAGATAACCTCACACCTGAATTACACGCTCTGCCACGGGTAGGAAACTTTGGCACCCAATATAAGGTAGGCAGGGCGCATTCAGGTCATAGGTTCAAAACCCCACTTGACGACGTCAAATACGGCATTTAATCGACCATGGCTCGATCACGGCATCTCACTCAAGATGGAATAGGTAGAGAATGTATCGCTGCAAAAAATTTCTCCAATCACCAATACAGCCGAAGCTGCCACGGGTCAGAGGGTAAGTGTGCGAGTAAAGTGCGTCAGTCTCTCCTCCTGTTTCCCCTCCAGACACATTCATTGATAACGTGAAAGCCAGAGTGAATAAGGAGGATTAATATGTTTTATGATTAGGTAAAGAAGAAAAGAAGAGAAAGGGAAAACGCAAGCCTTTGCGCGCGATCTCAGCCTTGATATTGGTTTTTCGAGAGTGGGGCCAATGGGGAGGGTGGTTGGTCCGCGCTTAGGTTTTGCCGACGGCCGGGATTCACTGTCCGAAGCGGCTCGATACCTTGGTGGGCCACTTGGAGGTTGATTGTCAACTGAGGTGTTGGAATTTCCCTTGGCGTTTTTTGCGATGAACCTGTTTCACACCTGGGTTTGTGTTCAGATTGGAGGTTCACTTGACTTTGGATCTATGCAAGACCTTCATCAACGATTTTAGTACTCTGCTGGTTCACTCAGTGTTTGTCGCCGCTGTCACATCCAAAAGACTCTTCCTACCTAGGCAATGTGAAACTCACATCATGGTTCCACAGCTTTCAGTGCCATTCGCAGTTGATTGATATACGACGAGCAAACCACAGTCAGATATCACTACAAGTGACTCACTCGCTTGTAGCTATATTATATCATATCAAAACCCAGCTTCTTCCTGGTTACCGGCCAGTTCCTCGTATGCTTTTGACCACTTTCAGTTTTGATATAGAAGGAATCAATAAAGCCATGAGTACCGACCGAGTGGGGTCAATTCACGTAACAAATGAGAGCCGTCATATTGAAATCATCCTACGATTGGCCTCACTCTTTCCATGTATCTGTCAGGGTTGTATGGTCCGCATCTTTGTACTTGAGGGAGGGTAGGATGTTGCACCTGTAAACATCTTAATGTAAAGTGATTGACGATTACATGCCGTGTGTGGCTGAGATGACGGACACTCTGCACCTGTGCATCTCCTGACACAAGTTGTCTACTTTGAAGCCTGCCTGTTGTTTTAGCGCGGGGCACAAAGTTGTGGCGGTGAAAAAGAGGCCAAAGAGTGGCCCCCCTCGGGTAGAAATGGGCTGCTACCGCCGGCCAATGAAGGCCAAGGTGTTTGTGTTTGCGGGACTCTGCAGATTCAGGGACTGAAATGGACTGCAGTATCGTGCTTTGGGCGCCGTGCCCCAACGATGCTGTTATGGACCGTCGTAAGGTAACTTGGCAAGGCGAAATACCGTAGGTAATGATGATTGCCCCTCCTGATCTGCCGCACCTTGGACTCTGTGACTCTTCGAGCTATTCCTTAGTGTCTACCCAATGAGACCACAAGTAAACTCCGATTCACTGTGTCGACCCTGTGGCACTCTGCTTTATCTCAAGTGAATCCCTCTCGCTCTGCCTCCTCTCTCAGACACCATAAACTTCTTCTTTAAAAACCACCACTTTTAAGTGCAGCCGCCGCCCACCAAAGCAGCACAGCACACTTTTACCCCGCCATCCTACCCTTTGCGCCAACCATCTCTGCTAAACATTCCACTTCGACCCCGCAATCTCACTTTGTCTACGCAGACAATCAGAAGCAAACCAGCAGAGAAAAAAACAAAAAAAAACCATCACAGTCAAAATGGCAGGCGGACAACCAGGAGGCAACTCTCGCGGCCGTGGCGGCAAATTCAGAAAGTTCACCCGTGGAGGTTCGTTAAAAATTCACCCAATGACAGACTGAAGCGCTGGCTGACATTCTATTGACTGAAAAGGTGGCAAGCACTTCTCTCGTGATCTCAGACCCCTCGACGCCGATGGCAACGAAATCAACATCAAGAAGAAGGATGAGGAGAGCTCTGAAGAAGAATCTGAGGAGGACTCTGAGGAGGAGTCCGACTCTGACGAGGGCGGCGCCGCCCAGGCCGAGATGTCTCGCGCCGACCGAAAGGCCGCCGCAAAGGCTCGCAAGGACGCCGCCATAGCCAAGAAGAAGGCCCAGGCCGTCGAGGTCGGCGACCTCCCTCCGACCGATTCCGAGGAGGAGAGCAGCGACGACGACATGCCCGCCAACCCCAACCACTCCAAGGCCTCTCGCAACCAGACCAAGGCGCCTGCCCCCACCGCCGACGTCGACGAGGCCGCCGAGGGCGTCAAGAAGCTGACCGTGGCCAACAACCGCAAGGAGCGCGAGAGCATGGAGGCCGCGCAGGCCAAGGAGAGATACCGCAAGCTGCACGAGGCCGGCAAGACGGACGAGGCCAAGGCTGACCTGGCGCGGTTGAGACTCATTCGCGAGCAGAGAGCGGCTGATGGTGCTCGGAGAGACGTAAGCCTTTTTCACCGAAATTTGATCTGACTCGTAGACATGGGAACTAACCGTCAAACTTTACAGGCTGAAAAGGAAGAGCGCGAGGCCCAAGAAGCTGCGAAGAAGAAGGAGATCGACGCAAAGGAGGCTAAGAAGCGTGAGGCCGCCCTCGGCCCGTCAGCTAAGAAGGGCAAGAAGTCTAGCAAATAAGCTGTTCCTGGCCGAGTCGGACGTTCAGTATTCTTTGGCAATCTGGACGCAACCTCAAGTTATATACCATCGTTCTTCCTGGTCCATATTCGATCGCAGCATCACATGCCTCGGACACTACGTGGAAACCACAAATGTGGACAAAAGATTTCATTTGCCAACCCCTACCGCTGCCAAAGGCTACCCTGCCAGACTCCGTGAAATGCTCTATGTTACATGAAGCCAATGTACATGCCTCGCGCCGTGCAAATGCATGATTTGCCCTACATGCCACTCAACCCATCCGATCCAACGGCGTCATGCCATACCTGATCGAAATCCACACCTTCTTTTTGGAACAGTTCCCGGATCTGCTTAGCCACCTCAATCTGCTTTTCGGGGCCAAACCCACCAGGTTGCGAGGACTCAAACTGCACGATCTCGATCCACCGGAAGAAGAGGTTCTCCTTGCCAATTGCGTTGAGGGCATCCCTAAATTGGAACACCTGTCTTCGCCTGTCGTCTTCCTTTGCAGTCACGCCCTCTTCCTCGACTGACATCCAGCCGTAATCCTCATGATGCACCAGCACCAGCCGCCTGAAGGCATCTAGTGCGACGTCGTTGCGGTCTACCATGGTGTGCGCGTCAATCATGGCCTGCCAGTCGAGATCCCACTGTCCCGTCATGGTGAGGTAGCCAGTCTTCTCCTGCAGGAGGAGAGGCGAGCAAGCCTGCCGGATGACCTGCTGCAGCGCCTCGCCGCGCTCCCTGTCCTTGAAGATGTCGCCCAGCTGCTGGTCCCACTCCCGGCTGCGCCGGACGTAGATTTCCTTTTCGCGGAAGCCGACCTTCCATCGCCAGCTGACTGGGTTGCTGTACGACGTGCCAAAGACGAACTCAATGGGCCATGGCCAGACAAAGATGAAGAGCATGAGATCCAACGTGAGGGAGCCGCCGCGCTTGGCCACCTCCCAGATGAGCTGGCCCCAGGTCGAGTCGGCGGTGGGGAAGGTCGTCTCGTTGGGGTAGCCCATGGCGGACTGAACGAATTTGAAGTAGTACGGCAGGATCCAGTACATGCGCAGGACGAAGAGCGCGGCGACGGCCAGGTTCATGCCCACGGGCACGAGGAAGATTTTCTTCTTGAACTCCTTGGGCTTGGAGTCGATGTGGGTGATGTAGACGTGCTTTGGCGAGAGCGTCTCGATGAAGGGCTGGAGGACCTCTGCCGGCTTCTTGAAGGGTTTCGGCGGCGCGCCCACAGCCGGGCCCTTCTTGGGCGCCTTGGATTTGACGGCCTTCACTTTTGGCGCCATTGTGATCCGTTTCCGCGGACACACTATTGTGAACCAAGGTGGTGCTTGTGAAATGTGAATGAGATGGGGGTCTCTAAGCTCCAAGCTGGCCGAATCTGCTTTACAAATTTGGGCAAGGGAGTCGCATGCCCATCAGGTACCTGCCCCTGACCGTTGACGTACCGGGTGGTGGGTCCAAGAACTGTCCAATCGCCTCACGGTAGCGATTGGCTGCACATGGCTGACCTCCAATTGCCCTGGGGGAGCCCGAGAAATTTCTGGGGCATTTCGAAGGAGCTGGAGCTCTGTCTTCACTCTCTCAAGGCATTTCTTCGCAGCCTTTCATGTTGCGCCCAACCATAGATCATGCTTAGATGTAGGATATGGAACGTAAGTCTCTAATTCGAGTCCATTGATTGCCCATCACAGAACCTAATAGCTCTTTAGGAGCGAAGCAGTGCTTACGTCTGCGCCTTCTGCCGCCACCCCGCCCTGTCGCGGCAGCGTGACCTCGGTCGACCAAACTACTCCGACTCGACGAAATCTGCATCGAACGGCAGCAGAGGGTATGCATCATGGGGAGGCAGCAAGGGCTCTATCGGCAAGGCCATACCTACGAAGTCACCCGGTCCGGCCAAGGGATCTGGATGGGGAGGGCCAGCATTCGGCGTAGGCACGCCGTCGAAAGCACCGAGCTCTGATGGCCCAGCAGCAGCAGCAGCAAACTCCGCACAGCGAGGCAGCGAACCCGACGACGGCCTCTTACCCCACGAACGCGCCGCGCGCCAGAAGCTAGCCGCCCAAAAAGCTGCACAGGAGAAGGCCGCGCAGGACAAGGCCGATGCGACGAGAAAGGCCCAGGAAGCTCTAGGGCAGCCTGACCCGAGACAACGGGGCTCAAAGGGGCCACTTGTGAGCGGATTTGGAAGCGGCGGTCTTCGAAGTGGCGCTGGAAGAGGCTTGGGAAGAGGCCTTGAGAGTGCCCCTAGAAGTGCAGGAGAAAAAGAAGAAGAAAAGAAGCCGAGGCAGTTTGCCAGTGGCTTTGGAGGTGGTCTTGGAGGTGGCTTGGGAGACGACATCGGCGCAAACACAAAGCCACGATCGCAAGGCGGTCTCGAGGAAAGACCTTTACGCTCAGCACCCAGATCCGACTGGAGACATCGCCATGATTCAGACCAAGCGCCACCAAGCACACCTGTACCTCATCACAGACGCGCTGGAAGAGATGGACCTGGTGGTCTGTCATCCCAGAGGGACTCGCGTCAGCGGAATGGTCTGGGCAAGTCAAACGCACTGGGCTCGGGCAGCTGGGGCCAACTCTCAAAGAAGTCTCAAGACTTTACCATTGATTCGGAGGGTCTCTCAAGAGAGAGCTTCTTCGGCCAATTTCAAGAGCGGATGGCTCAAAGCCACGACAGAAAGTCATCGACATTGCGATCAGAACTTGGTGGCTTGAGCGAAGACGTCCCAGTTGACTATGAACAAGCTGCACCGAGGGCTTCTCAAAAGCTCGAGTCCAAGACAAGAGAGTTTGATGAGTCCTACGAGATCAACCGTGACTCCCGACGACGCGACAGGACTAGCAATCGTCGCGGGGATACTTACGGATCGTCTCGGGGGCCGTACAAGTCAAAAGCGCAACAACGGTGGGAGGAAGATGCTGATGACTGGGAAGATGGCGGCGTGAGTGCTGCCGAACGCCGTCGTCTCAAAGCCGCGGCAAAAGCACAAAGAGCAGCGGAAGCTGCTGCAGCTGCATCTGTGCCAAGTATCTTCCTCCCAGAATTCATCAGCATCTCAAACCTGGGCTCTGCGCTGAAGGTGAAGAGTCGCGAGTTTCTACGCGCTTTGGCAGAAATGGGCTTCGAGGACATCACTGAGGACAGCATCATGACGGGAGAAACCGCTGCTCTAGTCGCCCAAGAGTTTGGATTCGAAGCAAAAGTTGATACTGGCGCTGCGAGGGACCTCAAGGCTCGGCCTCCGCCGGAAGATGTCACGGTTTTGCCGCAACGCCCCCCTGTTGTGACCATTATGGGCCACGTCGATCACGGAAAAACTACGCTCCTCGATTACCTCAGGCAATCTTCCGTGGCGGCGCAGGAACACGGTGGTATCACTCAACACATTGGCGCTTTCATGGTAAAAATGTCTGAAGGGAAACTCATCACTTTCCTTGACACACCTGGTCACGCGGCTTTCCTAACCATGCGTCAACGTGGTGCCAACGTCACGGATATTGTGGTACTAGTTGTGGCAGCTGACGACAGTGTCAAGCCCCAGACTCTGGAAGCGCTGAAGCACGCCAGATCCGCAAAGGTGCCGATGATTGTGGCCATCAACAAGTGTGACAAGGAAGACGCGCGTCCGGACCAGGTCAAGGCCGACCTCGCTCGCCACGGTGTCGAAATCGAAGACTTTGGTGGTGATGTACAGGTAGTCTGTGTGAGCGGAAAGACTGGTCAAGGCATGGCTGAACTGGAGGAGAATATTGTCACACTGGCCGAGATTCAAGACATGCGAGCCGAAGCCGACGGTATGGCTGAAGCTTGGGTACTTGAAGCCAGTATCAAGCCATACGGTAAATCTGCCAACGTACTTGTCAAACGCGGAACTCTGCGCCCAGGCGACTTCATCGTCGCTGGCACTGCCTGGGCCAGGGTCCGGATTCTGCGAAACGAGGCAGGACAGGAGCTGGAAGAGGCGCCGCCTGGAACCCCTGTCGAGATTCTGGGCTGGAGAGACGAGCTGCCCGCTGCTGGTGACGAGATCCTCCAGGCACCCGACGAAGATCGAGCCAGGGTGGCTGTCAACTACCGTGAGGAGATGCGAGGGAGAGAGGCATCTTCGAAGCAACTGGCTGAGCAGGAGCTTCGCGAACGCGAGGCCAAGATTGCTGCCGAGATAGCGGCAGAGATTGAGGCAGCCGATGGGGACGCCGCCGATCCAGCTTCGACCACAAAAATCATCAATTTCATGGTCAGAGGTGACGTTGTGGGCTCCGTTGAAGCCGTGTGCGCGACAATCAACGAGATTGGCAACAATGAAGTAAGGCCTCGTATCCTCCGGTCCGCGGCTGGTCAGGTTTCCGAATCAGATGTTGAGCATGCCGAGGCATCTGGCAGTGTCATTGCCAACTTCAGCAGCACCATCCCCGGCCATATCAAGGCCATGGCCGAGCAAAAGGGCGTCAGGATTATAGATCACAGCGTCATTTATCATTTGGCGGACGACGTCAAGCAAGTCATGTCGGAGTCCTTGCCGGATAAGGTGTCGTCCAAGGTTGTCGGCGAGGCGGACATTCTTCAGATTTTCCCCATCAACATCAAGGGACGCAAGTACAAGAACATTGCTGGATGCAAGGTCAGAAACGGATCGGTCACTCGATCGACTATGGCGCGCGTTCTGCGCGGAGGTGAAAATATCTTTGAAGGTAAGCTGTTTATAAACCCCCCCCCTTTCAACCACATCTCGTGAGAAGAGTGGCCCCATCTGACATCAATTGTAGGCAAGATTGATACTCTCAAGCACGGCAAGAAGGATGTGAATGAAATCAGAAAGGGCTCCGAGTGCGGTATCGCCTTTGATGCATTTACAGACTTCCACGTCGGCGACCAAATCCAGATGTATGAGGAAGTGAGGGAGAAGAGGTCTTTGTAAGATAATGGAGACTGGTGTAAGACATTTGTACGAGATAACAAGATGGGACCGCGGGTATAGAGTTGAGCTACAGTGGTACCTGAGAGCTTCTCAACATCCAAGCTGTACTTAGGTCGAGGACGAATGTATTTGGAGACACAACTCATACAACCGCAAACTGTAAAACAACTTAGGTCATCATTCAATAATGGCTGTCATAGAATATTTGTGGAGGCATTTGCGCCATCTCAAATTTCATTATGTATTATCTTTTTTTACCATCGTTTCGGAGCAGAAACCGTATTCGAAGAGAACGTTTTACTCGTGGTCGTCGCTTGCGACCGCTCCTTCTCGAGCTTAGCCAACCCAATCTTATCTGTGACAGGCGTGGCATTGATGATGTTGTCAAAGTCGTCATCATCTTCTCCATTGTCCGAGTCTGGCTCGACATCAGAGTCGGGCTTCAGATTTTGTGGCCGTGCTATCGACTCCGGCTTCTTCTTCTCCTCCGCTGCCGGGTTCGAGAATGTCTTTGACGCGAGAACCTTGCGCCGTATCTCCTCCATAGCCGCGTCGTCATCGCTATCGTCTGATATCGCGTAGGGGTCTTTGTCATCCTCTTCCTCCTCTTGGTCTTTTGCGGGCTTCTTCCCCAGGTATATGCCGTCGACACTATCGCCTTCGCCGGACTCGTCTCCGCTCTCGTTATCCTCGTCATCATCGTCATCCTCCTCTTCGTCAGAGCTCACCATGGCTCTTCTGTTTGTGTTTCCTCCCTTCCACATATCGTCGGCGTCAGCATCCTCTCTGCTGTCCGCGTACTCTTTATCGAGCCTGTCCAGCCACTCCTCCTGAACCCTCTTCACCCCCTTTTCGTCCTCACTCGCGGCGTACTTCTTCAACAGACTCCCATTGATCTCCAAAAACGCCTCGCCATAGGAAAAGGGCGCCAGAACCTGCTCCGACCACTCAGGGTGCCCACAAATATAAAACGCCGCGGCCAGCGCCTCGACGCAGTTCAGCTTCCACGGCTTGCCGTAGTTGACGGTATTCGCAGCCACCAAGTACGGCAGCAGCCGCTCGCACTTGCCTCCGACTTTATTCCACTGGACGTCCTTCATGCGCGCCCAGCTGCACTCGACCACGGCGGCACCGTACTGGTCCATGAGGTCGCGGTCGGCCGGGGAGACGGTGTGTTTGCCATTGGGGGTGATGATGACGCCGTTGTGCCGCTGGCCGACGTGGAGGTCGCGCATCATGCCCATCCGGATCAGCTTCTTGCCGGAGCACCGCTTGGGGTCGCAGTGGCCCAGGTCCCAGCAGGCGGCCTTGAAGGATGAGCGGGTGGAGGGGCCGTCAGTGTCGTCGCCATCGCGGGGTTGGCGTTGTCGCGGCGGGCCTGAGTGGATTTTGCGGCCGCGGGAGCTGAAGTTGTCTTTCTTATGGCGGACCATTTTGGAGAGTTGTCGTGGGATCGCAAGGTGAAGGGATGAACTTTTTGCGATTCGTAAGGGTCCAATATACCCTTGGGCGATTGAAAGTTTGGCGGGGTATTGGAGGGGCAAATCTCAAAGTCACCATAAAAATATATCAAAATGCATAACAAGGTTCGAATATGCCAGTAAGCGTAATATTTCCGAATGAGATACAAAATTGTGGAAAGTCGCCCACAGGTGAAGCACAGGCCACTTTTTGGTGGCTCCTCCTCCCGCGCCGCCTGTCACTCAGCAGCCCCTCGTCACTCGGCCACAGATGCCATCGGTACCTATCACAGGGTTCATGAGGGATGCCTGCGCCGACCTAATTCAATCTGTCCAATTCGCAGGCGCTCGCTCGGCCAGCTATTAATTCTTTAAACGGCCAGCCCACCCACCCTCGGATGCGCTTCGCACGTTGAGAAACTTGGACGAACGACAAGATCCCCTCCCCCAGCTAGGTCGCCAAGATAGCTCCCTTACCTCCCCGCCCGAGGCTGCCCACGAACGTAACAACCGCAACGACGACGATGGAGGCCGCATCAGCCAGAGCTGCGGCCCGAGACCGCTGGGGCGAAATGGGCGCTCCCACGCCGTCCCAGCTCCAGCGCTTCATCCAGGCCGCTTGCAGTCCCGAGAATTACGAGCCGAACCTCGCTCTGAACCTCGAGATTTCCGACCTGATCAATTCCAAGAAGGGTTCCGCCCCACGCGAGGCCGCTGTCGCCATCGTCAGCTACATCAACCATCGCAACCCCAACGTGGCCCTCCTCGCGATCAACCTGCTCGACATCTGCGTTAAGAACTGTGGCTATCCCTTCCACTTGCAGATCAGCACAAAGGAGTTTCTCAATGAGCTCGTCAGAAGGTTCCCCGAGCGACCCCCGATACGGGCGACGAGGGTCCAGATGAAGATCCTTGAGGCGATTGAGGAGTGGAGAAGCACGATATGCGAAACGAGCAGGTACAAGGAGGACTTGGGCTTCATTCGGGATATGCATCGTCTTCTGAGCTACAAGGGATACACCTTCCCCGAGGTCAGGCGGGATGACGCCGCCGTGCTCAACCCTAGCGATGTGAGGCGCTCTTTTTGTAACGTTGGCAGCGTTCCGGAGCTATACTGACGTGCATAGAACTTGAAATCTGCCGAGGAAATGGAAGAAGAGGAACGCGAGGCGCAATCTGCCAAGCTCCAGGAGCTCATTCGACGAGGTACACCCGAGGACCTCCAGGAAGCAAACCGTCTTATGAAGATCATGGCCGGCTACGATACTCGATCCAAGACCGACTACCGCGCCAAGGCCGCTCAGGAGGTTGCCAAGATCCAGGCCAAGGCTAGGTTGCTCGAAGAGAGACTCGAGGCTTTCCAGCAGGGCGACACGATGCAGGATGGAGATGTGTTTTCTGAGCTTGCCGCTGCTCTGTCTAGCGCGCAACCCAAGATCCAGAAAATGTGCGAAGAGGAGTCGGATGACCACGAGGCCGTCGCGAAGTTGCTGGAGATCAATGACAGTATACATCGGACAGTGGAACGATACAAGCTCATGAAGAAGGGTGATCTCGAAGCCGCCAAGAAGGTGGCTAGTGGTGCGCCGCTGCCGTCGACTTCAGGTCCCGCCAAGACTGCGGCGCAAGAGCTTTCTCTGATCGACTTTGATGGCGAACCCGAGACACCAAATGGCTCATCATCAAGTCAGCCGGCCTCGCAGCCAGCAGGCATTGAGAACGATCTTCTTGGTCTCTCCATGGACGATTCAGCAAGCTACGGCCAAGGGGGTGCTTTGACTCTGGGATTCGGAGCAAACTCGAGTATGTTAAACCAGAGTCTTCGTTGTTGACGCATCCACATACTGACCAAACTAGATATTCCAGGACCGGCGCTGCTCTCTTCCGTTACAGAAAACAACAGTGCAAAGGGACCCATGAGCAACGCTGCAACACCCCAACCACCATCCTTCTCGCAGTTCGCTTCTTTCACCTCTCCTTCAGCATCCCAATCTGGCACACCCCAGCCGTCTAGTATGTCTGCCTTCAAGCCACCTCAGCAGCAGGCCACAACCTCAAACGACCCCTTTGCCGCCCTCGGATCCCCCATCTTCTCTTCCAAGCCTGCTACCCCAGCTCCCGCCCCTGCCATCGCTCCCGCGCCAGCAGCGCCAGCAGCAAACGATGACGACGAATGGGCATTTGCGTCAGCCCTCCCCCCTGAGCCCAAGGAGCACAAGGCCACCGTCAGTGACTCGACTGTCAAGATTGAGATGATTGCAGGGAGAACAGGGGAGTGGAATGCAATCAATCTTAGTTTCGCATTCTCGAACAACTCTACGCAGCCCATCACGGAGCTCCACTACCAGCTCGCCGCCACAAAGGTCAGTCTTGCGCGTCTCTTTGTCTACAATTGGTCATCTTGCTAACACTCATCAGGGTTACGAACTTGGTCTCAGACCCCAGACTGGGCGCGAGTTGGCTCCTAAGCAGAGCAGAGGCGTGACCCAGTTCGTAGAAGTATGGCATGCTGGGGACAAGAGCCGCAAGGTGCACTCCATCAAGTTGCGGTGGAGGATTTCTTACAAGGTTGGAGGGGAACCGAAGAACGAAATGGGTGAGATTACCGAGTTCAGCCTTGCATGATGATTCGGGGAGGAGTATGGGGAAGGAGAGTAGAAAAGGGGCGTCTTGAAGTGTTGGAAGATGAGGCAGCGCAACTAGCGCTACGCAAAAGAGGTATAGAATCAGGGTATCTAACAATCTGATGGGCCATCAACCAGTAAATCCGTCTAGTAGTCTTCTTCGTGGTGATGTAAGTCCCCCTCGCTTCTCTGATACTCCTCACGTGCTCAAGTCCGGATGAAATAGCAGCTGTCCAATGATTTCAGAATAAGGCAGGCAGTCCCCACCAAAGCCCCTACCTTCCTTCCCATCACAGGAATCGAAATCAGGCACCACCAGGACGAGGCGAACGCCCTCCCTACCCTTTATCTATTACGTCCCGCGCGATTGTTCTCGTTGACAGTTGGGCGAGTGGTTCCAAAGTAGCGGCGTGAGAGCGCGGCAGTGAAACCGAATTTACAGACCCTCTTGTTCGCTACTCGGTGGAGGCAGCCCTGTGCGACCTTTGAGGCCTCAAATGGCCGGGTTTAGCACGCGAAGGGGCTAGTCCCGAATCGTTTTGTGGTTTTGACTGTTGTTCTACATTGATTTTTATGATTTTTGGAGGGATTTGAAAAGGTTGTGGTGGTGGTGATTTATTTGGTGTTGTTTGAGGCAGGTGGGCGTGTTTGTTTTGATGTGAGGGTGAGAGTCGTGATGTTTCTTTTTTTCTCTATTCGTGGTGGTGTTTATGTGGTGATGTGAATGCGTGGACGACGGCGGTGGTTGAGGATGGCCGGGCGGGATGAAGACGGGATCGGAGTGGGGCCGTGTTGGACGGGGCACTACGGCGTGTGGGGACGCGCCAGGTCAATCCTTTAGCCGCTAAAATGCACGTCCGTCGCGGGATGACCTCAGAGCTCCCGGTGAAATTCCTACCTTCTCCATTACGGCTTGGGTACGGAGTACAACATTGTCGACATTGCGAATCCAGAACAGGCACTGGCATTCCCCAATTGCCCATTGCCTCGGCTCGAATTATTGGCCTGCGAGAGAGTCTCGTTGCGCAGTGAGAACAGGAGCCGAGTTTTGGCAGAACCCGCATCTGCCTAACCGCTCGCGTAGTCAGCCAGCCAACTGTGAAGGAAATTCCCACCTCCAAACCTCGCCTGGTCCCAAGTCAAAACCACACGAAAGGATGGGTTCCGACGAAGAGAACCGTGGCCAGCGATCACGGCGCAGCCGCCACGACGACGACGAAAGGCCGCGCCGAGAACGAGACACCGCAGATCGCGAAAGCCACCGCCGCAGACGCAGCAAAGACCGGAGCGACAACCGCGACCGCGAACGCGGCTCAGATAGACCACCGCGCAGAGAACGACGAAGGTCCCGATCACGAGACAGACGCGAGACCTCCCGCCGCTCGCGCTCACCAGACCCCTCCGCGCGGAAACGTTCCCGCTCACGAGACCGCGACCGCAGCGATCGCGACCGCAGCGATCGCGACAGACACAGGCGAAGGCGATCCCCTCACGACAACGACAACGACCGCAGCAGCAGAGACAAAGACTCCCTTCGCCGCAGACACCGCGACCGCGACCGCAGCCCCGCCTCCGACTCGGAAGAAGACGACTTCAACTCCAAATCCACAAAACGCAAACGCCTACTAACCGCACCCATAAGCCCCATCCGCCGCACCGGGCCCCTCCCAGACCAAGACGCCTCCTTCGCCGTCTCCAAAGGCGAAGAACCCGAAAAACCAAAAGAGAAACCAAACCTCCGCACAACAGGCCTCCTCGCAGCAGCCTCAAACTCAATCCAGCAAGCCGATGGCACCTCCATCACGCTAAAATACCACGAACCCGCCGAGGCGCGCAAACCGCCCTCCCGCGACCAGTGGAAGCTTTTCGTCTTCAAGGGCGCCGACGTCGTCGACACGGTGGACCTGAACCTCCGCAGCTGCTGGCTGATGGGTCGGGAAGCGGCCGTGGTGGATTTCGCGGCCGAGCACCCGAGTATTAGCAAGCAGCACGCCGTGATCCAGTTCCGGCACGTGGAGAAGAGGAATGAGTTTGGGGACCGGATTGGGAAGGTGAAGCCGTACCTGATTGATCTCGAGAGCGCCAATGGGACGGTGCTGAATGGGGACAAGGTTGCCGAGAGTCGGTATTATGAGTTGAGGGATAAGGATATGGTTAAGTTGGGGCATAGTACGAGGGAGTACGTGCTCATGCTGGCGCCGAAGGACTAGGTACCAGAAACTGGAGATTTGCTGTGGCCGTGGGACAGCTTGCGACACTGATGAGGTTGCGGGTCTCGGATACTGTAGAAGTATCACTTGTCGTCAATAGGGACGAAGACGACCAATTTACAGTCACATGAAGAGATGAATCATGCGGTTGCTATAATTCGCTTTTGACCATACTCTACTTATCAATCTCCATGGAACAAAAGAAACACTTGGCCTCCAAGGCCGCTTGAAAAGGATACAATAACTAAAACACCTCTTCCATTCTATTTCAACACCAGCCTCTTGCCTCCCACAAACATTACTTTTGTCGCAAGCGGCTTGGTGTTCTAATGTGATCCCTCCTAAGGCATCCGCAGTCCCAGCCCTATGGGACTTGACTCTGGAGGAGACTCCAGGTCCGCCTCGCCAGTTCTGACTCGCTGTGAAAGCTCCACAGCCTCTTCATATCTGCGTTGGAGTCGATCGTGTTCTGCCTGAACACGCCGTCGTTCCGCTTCTTCCACGTTGACCGGAATATCGCCAAATGAGATTAGTCTGCCATCTGTAGTTCTGATACCCCCGGACCCGGATCTAGACATTGGCTCGCTGCCGCCAGAGAAGGTCCGCGGACTCATTGTGGGACTTTCCCGTATGAAGCTGGGAACACGACCGACAGGCAGTCGACGAGGCATATTGCTGCCTCCAAAGAGCGCCTCGTCAATGGGACCCCCTCTTTGCCTAATCGCCCACATGTCGTAAGAAACCTGGTCCATCTCTATCGGGGAAAGGCGCGGTGAGGGCTCCGTCTCCACCATGGACGGTGCTCGTCGATGAGGGAGACTTGACCTGACGCTCCCGCTGTTGCTGCTCAAAGGTGTGCCTGCTGAGCCAGTCGCTGTCGCATACCGAGGGTTTGAGCTTGGGTTTCTAGACATTGGCTGCGATGAATACCCATTTGGCGGCGGAGGATTCATAGGACTTCCCGACCGATAGTTGTCTCGATATGTGCTAGATGGGACGGGCCGCAACGGAGGCGGATATCCCACGTTCTCGGCGGGAAACACGTTCAGACTTGGGCGACCGAGACATGGATCAGACTGAGAAAGAACATCATCGTAAGACTCTTCCTGGTATGTGTACGGTGGCTGGGAGTTTGACTGCCGATCGAGGGGATGCTGTCGCAGACTACTCTGTTGGTTTGTAACAACGGACAATCCGGAGGGAAATTGTGGTGGGTAAGCCGGGCCCGGACTGGAGTTTGCTGTTCTCATGTCTTCCCGGTATGTGTATGGGAGTTCTTCCGACGATCTCGGAGCGGACGAGATCGATGAGCCGCTGGAGGAAACCTTCCCCTGAACAGATTTCTCGTGACGCTTGTTCCCGCTGGCTGCTTTCCCAAGTCGCTTGAAGAAACTTTGAAAGGACGGTTTCGAAGTGGGTTCTTGACCTTGCGACTGGCGAGACGGTTCAGTCGGTTGAGACACATTGCCAGAACCAGTTGACTTTGGAAATTGGTTTTCCTTCAACCTGAGGGCGGCGGAAGGCGTGCGGCTGTTCACGGTCTGGAGGCTATAGACGGACCGATCGTCGTAAGCAGCTGTCCTGTCGATTGTCGCGGCCCGTGAAGGTGGAGAAGCGAATGTAGGAAATGAGGGCGTCTCCTCCTCGACCGCGGTTCCTGACACGGCCTTGGCGTAACTTGAAGCTCCGAGCATCGAGATTGGCCTTACAGATGTACCGGCACTGGAGCTTCTGCCCTTGTCGTGTATATGGCCACCGCCACGAGGTGGTGGCGGTGACCCCTTTTTGATGTGAAGGAGTTCGGCCTCAGCTTCGCTTCTTGCGGAAACCTTGGAGTGACTGGGTGATCTGCCTCCTCTGGAAGATTGAGGCGGGGTGATGAGGCCTCTTGCAGACTCCCGGCTAATGCTCACACGAGGATCGTTTATCGCTGCGGCAGTCTCTCTCCATGCTCCTCCACGATCATGATAACGCCTCAGTGACCTTTTCTTTACCGACCGGTGTTTGGTCACAACAGTCCACGGAACATCGGCCGTGTCCTCATATGGACCTTCTTCAATGTCGGGCGGGTATGGAGTTATGGTTCGATCCTCGGACCCCTGGTACTCGATCGAAGACGCCTGTTCATCCACATAAGGCACATAAGGCATGTGGAAGTGAACCGGGTTATCCATTGGCCGCGGCAATATGTATTCTTGCTCCAACTCGAGCGAGTAGACCCCTGGTGATTGAGGGAGCACAGCGGCACCAGAGGCGTCTGTGGAATGTGACGATAGGCTGTTCATGCGCTCGAAGACAGAATTATGAGCAGCCTCCTTTCCGTCGATGATTCGGGTAGATACGGTTCTCTGCAAGTCGTTGAGGTCTGCGGGTACCTTCGCAAGTCGTTCTTCCAAGTCTCTTCGAGCAGCGACAAGGTCCACGGGTCCGGTTCTATTCCTCAACGTCAGTACTCTTCACTGAATTTTTCGTAGAGTCGTATCGAACGAAGCGAAAATGGTGATGACAACGAGATAGCAACGAGATTGGATATCCGGATATACAGCCGTAGAATTTTGACAGGATATCATTGCATGACAGGGGCTGCGACGGGACCTTTAGATAGTTTCCACTTACTGCGAACTGGGTTGCTCTGTAGCCTGGTGAGTCGGGCGGTCGACGGCATGGCGGTCAACAAGATCCTTCAGCCTTCTGCCGTGCCGGATATATTGTCTGTAGTCTTCAGGAAGGCCAGTGGCAGGCTCGTCGTTTATCCTGGTATAGGCCTCGTCGAACGACGCGCAGAAGACACGGATGGCCCGCTCCAGCCAGAAATGCAGCTGTCCCTCCTTGGCAAGATGTTCAATAAAGAACGCTTGAACAATACTGTGCACACGGAGTGTATCCAAAGGCTCCGGAGCCGCGTCGAGACCGCTCTGTGAGCTTGAGGAAGAGACGTCATCGCTCTCGTTTCGTTCAATGAGGGCGAAACTTATCAAAGTAACAAAAGTTTGTGTCAAACTCCTTCTGCCCTTGGATGTTTCCGTTTTCACAGGTGTCCGCTTGTCCAAAGCTCCTAAACCGAGAGCCAGTAGCTCAACTGGTATAAATTGGCTGAAGAAGGAGAGGATGTAGATCAGATTCAACGCAGCGTGGTTACCACGGGTCTGCAACTGATCTCGAATCGCCATGTATGCAGGAAGCTCGCCAACTTTCGGCGAATCCCGAAAGGTCTTGAGATACTTTGCAAGCGGTTCCCGTGTGGTATTCATGTTCACAGCAGCGGCATGAATCATCAGAGGGAGGCGACCCATCAGCTGTACCAATTCATGAGCCCGTCTGAGATCATCAGTGTTATATGGCTGTTTCTTTCCCATCTCTTCGAGCAACAACTCCTGTGCGTCTTGAATTGGCGGCAAAGGCAACTTCATCATGCTGGGGTTGTCAAGAAGATGAGATCCAGGATCGCACCGATCAGTCGATGTGTAGATGAGACTGCTGTTTGGCCGGTCGGGTATGTATCGGAGTATGGCTTTGTCGTTGACGCGAATACCATCAAACACTAGCAGCCAATCGCTAGACTCGTTGAACCACCTTCTGACGATATCGACCATGTTGTGTGGGTTTAACAAGTCATTCTTATATCCTTGAGCAGCCATGCCCTTGATAGCCTGGGTCTTCGCGATGCGCCAGAACCCGTCTTCCATGTCTTGCAACGTGGTAGACCTGATCCAGTACACGCCCCCAGAATACTGGTCCTTGTGATTGAAGTAATACTCTCGAGCAAGATGCGTTTTCCCGACACCAGGAATGCCATGTATTAAAACCGCAGACGTCCCTTGTGAACGCCTCTTCGGGTCTTTCAACAGCTTGTGAAGATCTGCAAGGTAGTCCTCTCGCCCTTTGAAAAACGAGTTGGGTCGGAATCGGTCAGGATGAACATGATGAGGACCGGAGTTCAACACTTGGGGGGCAGAGTCAGAAACAGAAGCGCACCGGGTGCTTTTCGTGTCAACAGGTGATGATTGTTGAGCTGCTGGAAGATATCTATATTCTAGATGCACATGTCAGAATAAATATTCATAATTGACTATCCATCGTCGGCATGGTAATTCCGAGAGAAGGGAATAATACCTGAAATCACAGTCTCTGAAGGACTGTTATACTCGCGAGTGATCTCGGCTGCTTCAGATTGTGCTCTAGCCTTCCTGTCGTCCAGTTCAATGTCCCAACGGGTTCGAATGACTGGCGGGGCTTCTTCTGCCCACGTCCGAATAGCGGTTGAAACGTTTCTGTATCCTGGAGCGCTGCTACTGTTGAACTTGCACATTCCGGAATGAGGGGCCTCGATGCCGTAGTAAACAACGCCTGGCAGTTGTGGACTGGCCGAACTCGCATCCACCACCGTCATCGTCGTTCCTTTGATGTCGGTCTTGTGATTTTCATGGGCCATGTGGATCTTGAAACGCTGGTAAAAGTCGAGGAAGTGGCTATTGATGTTTTGCAGGGTCTCGTTGTCCTTCTTTAAGGTTTTGAGGAGGACCGACTCGCTCTCGAACATTTTCTTGGGTGCAATGGCGTCTGCTATGTTTTGCAAAACGACACCCCATGTTGCCATGCCAGATCCAGTGTGTGGCGTGCCCAGGAAAATGATTCCAAAGGTGGAGACGAAGATAGACCTGGCGTCCTCTTGGTTCTTGTCTCTCAAGTCGTTGGAGTACATGAGGGCACGCTTGACAAGAATGCCACCCAGGCTGTGTGCGACGAAGATGATGGGGTTCTTGTCTGTGTGTTCGCTCTTACGATAGAGGGCGAGGTTCGTAACCAGTGTCTGAGCATGTTGGTAGATGAAGTTGTCGCTTGCACTTGCACTTGCATGGCTTTTACTGGTTGTATAGACGTCTGCGTTGTAGCCATAGACCAAGATATTGGCACGGGTCTTTCCCAGGGATTGCGGTAGTAGATCTGTGGGCCAGAAGACACCATCTTCATGTTGAGATGAAGGTGAAGGTGAAGTCCATGTACTTTTGGGGTGCCCATTTAGACCATGGACCAGGACGATATCGACGGAGGCGTCAGGATGGGTGAAGACGGCAGTGATTTCGTAGCGTGCAACTTGCTTATTGATGGACCCCTGTGGCAGTCAGTATCGCGAAACTGTATTCATTGTGGAATTTGTCGGCAACAACAAGAAAGGAAGCGAGCTGACAGGCGAGAGAAGCAGAAGGTGAGGGAGAAGGTAGAGGGGGTGTGACAAGGATGCTGACGAGCATAGCGGCGGGCCGTTCCGTAATACAAACAGGAGGGGAATGAGATAAAAGCTTACCATACTTGCATGCTCGAGTCCGAGTCAGCAGCAGGGGGGCTCTCTAACGATTGCTTATTTTCTTCCTTCCCACTAATGCAGCTTGGTGTTCTACAATTTGCTGAGGCTCGCAGGTTTCGTTGACTTTGCGGCTCAAAGTAGAGTCAAGTTTGGAGGTGGAGGGGCCGTCTTTATAGTGGAAAACCCCTGCCGCTTGAACGTAGAAATCTAAAGCTGAAAGCCAAGATGAGGCGGATAAATGTTGCGCGTCGAGTTGGCCAAGTAGGTACCGTCCAGCGCCTCGTTCTCAAGTCATGGGCAGGCGCAGCGCCATAAGTAGGCTGCGAGAGTTAAATAACGTAGAAGGCAGACAGGCCGGAGATGTCCCGGTGATGGAGTGTAGCACGCCGGGCGAGTTGGTCACACTGGAGCCGCGGTTAAGCCCGGTGGAGAAAGGAAGAGAAGAGATATCACGAGCCACGGCGGACGCGGAGAGAATTCAAGCGATGATCAAAGACAAGAAAGAAGAGACAAGGTCCAGCTTGAAGACTCAGGGGGTACTTCGTAGGCTTGAACAGAAGGATGTTCCGTTGAAGGGGTGTTTAGTTGGGACAAGTGCGTTGTGATGGATAATGGAACACCTGTTGTGAAGTGGCCCCTGCCAGGATGATTTTGGGAGGTCAAGTTAACCCCAGAATGCAACAGGGAAGGCAGTTTGGGCAGTTTGGGGGAAGGATTCGAAGATCCATTGGTGCCCTGGCCTTGCTAGTTTGATAGTGTAGTCACGTCACGGCACATCATCTGCAGGTGCGAGATGGCCGGGGTCCTCCACTATCGATGCAACGACGCCTCATCCGCCTTCCGACTCTGAAGGCACACCCACAAGTCCACGACATCCCAAGGAAGAGGAAGAGAAAGAGGAAGAGGACGATATTGGAGGGCGGCAACGACGCCACTAGAGACTTGCCGTTTTGAAACATACAAACGGCGCCACCGATTTCGTCTCTATTGCTCTTTTGCTCTGCTCCTCTCGTTCTGTGTCTCTGACATGCCTGTCTCTATCCATCTCCATCCTTCCCGCAGCCCGCAGCAAAGCGAGAGACATTCGCTCGCCTCTGTGCTGTTTCTGTCATGTCGTCCAGAAGCTCTCGTGAGAGCGATGGCTCAACGTCCAGATTTGCTGCATGAGAATTGTCGCGATCAGCGAGGCGCTTGGTCCAGGCCGCGTACAACAACAAGCAACACGAAGAGTATGCGCCCGAAAAGACAGTGAAGTGTACTGTGAAGGCGACGGCGCCGCCGCCCTGTCACTTCCGTTTCGATTTCGGTGAAGGCGCAGGCGCAGGCGATGAAAGAGAGTGACAACGTAAGCAGCAACGACTGTCGTGATAAAACGTTGACTCACCCTGCTTCGCTGAAGCTGAGCCACTGAGCGGTCCACCAACGAAGAGCGAATGAGGAGACATGGAGTCCTACTTGGGGCGAAGAATCCGGTTGCCCTCGCTCTATGCCGATGCGCGAATGCGCTGCACACACCAGGCTGGTCTGGTGACTCAAAGAGAAGAGGCCATATCGAAACAGCTCTCAAGCTCAAGCACCCACAATATCGTTGAGATAAGGTATGGATAACCAGCCTAACGCAAGCCACTGTTTTGTCTCTCTGTCTCGATCCCGCCCCTACCAGATATGCATCATGCAGCGCCGACACGGCCGCTTGTGCTCTTAGTTTCTGCTCTTAGCACAGCACGGGCCGGGCATCTTGGCACATGTAACTTGACTTTTGAACACACTCTAAAGCGGGTGAACCTCGAAAAAGGCGCTTCGTTGGTGGGTTCCTGTGACACAACGCGACGCCTTCTATTATCTGACACTTTTTGACAGCCTGACGACAATGCAACATTAAGTTTTGGTTTGCCGGCTCTCAATAGACCTCACACGACTTTTTGCTCCGTCAGATACGACTCTCGAGCAACACGGATTTGGTCGCATCACCTCTCATGGTTCCCAACGCCATCCGATGATACGGTGAAGAATCGGGCAGCTGACCTACGGCAAGTGGATCTCCCTCCGATTATCGTGAGTCCGTGACGCCGTCTTGACTCAGGACGGCGCCTACAATCTCAACGGCTGCCATCGGAACCGGTTCACGACACCAACACTTAACTACTGCCTTGGTCAAGAGGGACAACTACGGAAACTGAGACTTTTAGACCGCTCCTTTCGGCTTCATTACGAAATGCAAGCGCCTGGTTTTCGTGTTCCCGTTGCAGCCCTTCCAGACGAAGCCTTGTGTTATGTCGCTATTCCCGGGCTGGGCGTACAAGCAGCCACTAACCCTTCAACATTGCAGCCCAGAATACGGCTTGTTTTGGTCGGGGCAACGGGAGTAAAATTCATATTCGTGGGAGTCATGGCAAAGGTGACGTTTTGATCTCGACCCCCTCCTCATGGCCCCATTTGTCCCGGCGGTTTGACTTACACCGAATATTGAGTATCACAGAGTTTCCTTGCCTCATAGCTGAAGTCCCTTCTCTTTCGTCCGAAACCACTATGAGACGAACATGTTTGTCAAGTGGCATTTACTTCGGATCAGAGTTCAGCCTCGCTTGAGTCTGCCTATCAGAGTACATGAACACGCAGTCTTTCAGATATATCGAGGTCACTATCCGCCGTATGAACTCTGTCAATGTATCACGGTTCTTAAAATGATCGTCAAGGATGCAACATTCTGCGGTCCTCGATAGCTCCTGAAGTATGGGCGTGAACGCCTCTGACGAATCAAGGTTTGATGCTGCGTCTGCTAGGTTGCACAGAGCTTTGTGAAGACGACAATGTTTCTGAAAAATAAGTCCCTGATTATGAACCTCTTTCCCATAAACAGTATGAGAGTGTCCTTGAGTCACGTTACAGTCACGACGTCAAAAAGTCTTCTTCGTAGGCGCACAATTGTGCGAGCTGTGCACGATCCCGACTGTCTGGATAAACCATCAAGGTTTTGGCACGGGCTCGTACTACAGACGACTCGGAAAGTTGATTGAGGCAACATGACACGAAACTTTGAATTGGCGAGATCGCGAAGGCAACAGTTGGCGTGGAGTATAACGCGCCTTTCCATTCTTTACGCAATTTGCTGAGCCACTGTAGAAAGTCCGCAAATCGAGACCTGAAAAGAATTAGGCAAAGGAGACATGTGCTTCTCACATGAATTGGTTGTATCTGTCACTTGCAGGAAAATAGACTTGAAGCGAGGCCTTGACTTACATCGACGGTGAAGTTCTCTCCGAACTTTCAAGCTACATGACGCCTTACACGAAGTCCGTGGTACACCAAAAGCTTGTATCATTTCTCTTGCAACTTACCAACCAAGTACCAACAACCATACATCTACAACACTCGGTTCACAATATACCAAAACAACAATAACAACCAGAAAACCAAAACCCCAGTAATCACCCCAGTACTCACAATCCCACCCTTCCCAGCACCCGAATTCGCAGGCACAGGCGGCGCCCAAAAGTTGCCCGCCTCAGCCTGCTCACTCGCACCGTAAATAGCCCACTGCACATCGACATGGTTCTGCCGATTCGCCCAGCAATGCATCATCCCGCTCGCGCCAATCTGGCCCGCGACGTCGTAATCCCGCACCGCGGTGCGAACCACCTCCGCGACGTCCACGCCGCCGACGTACCACCCCGTCATGATCCGCGGTAACGCATCCGCGTAGGGGGGTTTGATGCCAAAGGTGCAGGTGCCGTGGGAGCGGATGCCGAGGATGGTGGTGTTGTCGACGAAGCCCTTTGCGTACCAGACGTAACGCTCTTTTGCCGCGTCGTCGGCGAGGGCGAGGCAGTCTGTTGTCAGGGGGGATGTGGCGCGGGTTATGCCTGTGAAGGAGGAGGCGCCGCAGACTTCGTCTTCGTAGCGGCGGTTGCCGCGGTAGAAGGTTGGGCTGCTTGGCGGGACCCAGACGAGGTCGTTTTTGTCTGGTGTTTGGAGGGTGGAGATGGTGCTGGGGAGGGTGCCGGAGGGGGCTGGAGGAGGTGGGATGTGGTAGGTTATGTTTGTGCTGTTTGTGTAGTTTAGGAAATTGGGTATGTATAGTGTGAGGGCCGGTGTTATGTTGGCGAGGGTGAGGAGGATGATGGGGAGGGATGTTAGTTTGGTCAGCTTTGTGTGGAAGCTTACCTTGGACTTTGATATAAGTCGTGATGTTGATTTTGGAGGGTGAGAGAGGGATGAACTGTGCTCGTTAGTTGAGGTTGGCGTGGAGGTATACTTACAGGTTTTGATGGTGTAGGTGTCGATGTCTAAGTGATAGAGGAAATGGTGTATTGTTGTGGAGTGTTTGTGTTTGCTGTCTGGCCTGTCGAGAAAAGAATCAGAACGAAAGCCTCGGACAGGACCTTTGGTTATGTAGTTCAGCCTTCGAGGCATTCCAGTGGAACGCCTCAAGCTCGTTGTGAACAAGAAGAAAGACTTATGGTGTTCAGACAAGAGACTGAGCAGCTATCAGGTATAAAGAAAGACAAGGCCATTATGGAGTAAGCATAGACAGTATGGCTAGAGACTTTAGAGTCTTTTGACTCGAGAACGATGCTTCACAATGGCTTTGCTGCTTCAAAGAACACTGTTGTCGAACTTCGTCTTCTTCCTTGTTGGTATCAGATTGTCACAACTGGCTTCGTGGCTGGCTTCGAATGTCTCAACGCCACAAACAGGGCGCAACGGCTATTCAAACATCGAGAGAGCACAGGAACAAGACACATATGCTTGCTTGTCAACGTGTTGATTGCATTTGAGCGATTGACCGCGTTGAAGCAGTCAGCTACCTAAAAATGGCCGCAGTTGAGAACGCCACCCCCAACTCCCGCCTCCAGAATTTTTGGTTTACCCTTCCCGGTATTTGTTTTTTCCGCTTGAAAATATTGCAACGCCTATGTAAAATGCAGCAGTGCTCTTTGAAGCACCATTTTCCCTTTGTTCATGAGCCATGTTAAATGTCATGCGCGAAACCCGGACCCCCCTTGACGATTTGGGTCGCCCCACGCTTATTCCCTTCTGAACCATTTTTGTTGAACTGAGCCTAATCAAAGCCCAGAGTGGTATATATCGATTCCCTCCCTTGATCTACTCTTTTCCCACGTCGCTCTCCCTAGCATACGTGGACTACACTAGTCCCCGCAATCCGCTGGCATGATTTAGATGCCAGCGTCGACACGCCAGCCCTCGACAGGGAGGGGGAAGCTGCCGCTCCACTCGGCAACCTCCTTGCGGAGGTTGTTGATCTTGGCAACCTGGCCGCCGGCGACGGTGGCCTTGAAGTCCTTGAGCTTGTTGGCCTCCTTGGGCAGAGAAGCCTGGACCTCCTTGCAGATCTTGATGGACTCATCAATGTAGTTGGCGACACGCTCGAAGTCGGCCTCTCCGAATCCACGGGAGGTCATGGCGGGGGTACCGATGCGGAGACCGCAGGGGGTAAGGGCGCTCTTGTCGCCGGGGATGGAGTTCTTGTTGCAGGTGATGTTGATCTGCTCGAGAACGGCCTCGACACGGGCACCGTCCAAGTTGAACTGGCGGAGGTCGACGAGGACCATGTGGGAGTCGGTGCCGTCGGCGACGAGCTTGTGGCCGAGGGCCTTGAACTTGTTCTCAATGGCCTTGGCGTTGTCAATGACCTTCTGCTGGTAGGCCTTGAAGTCGGGGCTGGCAGCCTGCTTCAGGGCAACGGCGAGGGCAGTGATGGTGTGGTTGTGGGGGCCACCCTGGTGACCGGGGAAGACGGAGAAGTTGATGGGGTTCTCGAGGTCGTAGAGGGTCTCCTGGCCCTTGGCGTTGACGGAGCGCACGCCCTTGCGGAAGAAGATCATGGCACCGCGGGGGCCACGGAGGGACTTGTGGGTGGTGGTGGTGACGATGTCGGCGTACTCGAAGGGGGAGGGGATGACGCCGGCGGCAATGAGACCGGAGATGTGAGCCATGTCGACGACGAGGTAGGCACCGACGGAGTCGGCGATCTTGCGCATGCGGCCGTAGTCGATCAGACGGCAGTAGGCAGAGGTACCGGCGACGAGGACCTTGGGGCGGAAGAGCTGGGCGTTCTTCTCGAGCTGATCGTAGTCAATGATGCCGGTGTCGAGGTTGACGCGGTAGGGCATGGTCTCGAAGTAGGTAGAGACGGCAGAGATCCTGTTGGGGAGGAGAGTTAGCTATGATTCTTCGATTGAGCGTCACATCCGTATGGCAACGTACTTCTTGGCGGGGGTCTGGTAGCCGTGGGACAAGTGACCACCGTGGGGGAGGTCGAGACCCATGAGGCGGCCGTGGACGGGCATGATGGCCTGGTAGACCTGGAGGTTGGCGGGAGAGCCAGACAGGCACTGAACGTTGACACCCCACTTGGAGGAGTCAAGGTTGAAGGCCTTGAGGGCACGGTTTTGGCAGAGGATCTCGATCTGGTCGATGTGCTCGTTGCCACCGTAGTATCTGGCACCGGGCTGGCCCTCGGAGTACTTGTTGGACATGGGGGATCCAAGGGCATCGAAGACGGCACGGGAGGTGACGTTCTCGGAGGCAATGAGAATGATGGACTCGCGCTGGCGCTTGATCTCGTCCTTCATGATCTCGGCGACCTCAGGGTCGGAGTCGATGAGAGACTTCTCCAACATCTATCGGTGAGTCAGTATATAGGCCTGTAAGGCATGGCGGGGCAAAAAGAGTAGACTTACCTCCTTGTGGGAGACGGGGAGGGAGTAGGAACCAGTAGCAGCCATTGTGATGTGTGGTGTTACGAAGGATCGTAGATGTGAAGTTGAGGAAAAGAAGAAAAGGGATTCTCGCAAGCAATGGCAAGAAGAGAAGTAGATGTAGGTAAAGAAGAGGAGGAGAGGGAGGCCGGCAAGGTTATGAAGGGATGGGAAAAAAGCTTGAGAAAATTTGGCAGAACATCGGAGGGAGCAAAATGTGAATCGAATGCTGAAGCGGTGGGGGTTAGCGGGGTGTGATTGGCGGGGTCGAGCTGTAAGTACCTTACCACCTTACGCAGTATGCGGTGGAATTGGAGAAAAAAACTAAAAAAACTGGCGCGGACCCCTCGATAGTCGACTGATCAGTGATGGCTTGACAATGGACAAGCACCACCGCTACGGAGTGCCTATGGCAGGGACAATTCGGAGGCATTTGGTTCGCTAAATTGGGATCGCTCGACAGTTTGCGACAGCGAGCTTGGAGTACTTTGGGCCTTTGGTGGACTCCCCTGTGGTTCCCGGTTGGAACGCTAAAACGGCGCTTCCCTGACGTTCCCTGAACTCACATCCTGTGGCGGGTCTCGTCGACTCCGATTCTGGAACGGTTCCACGAGTCACCGAGGGAAACGGACCCCATTTCACAACGACGGGGGTGCAGTTGGACCGTTTAGCTGCTCGTGCCTCCCCCGCCTCAACCGTCTCAAGACTCGAGAGCTTCAGACAAGTACGGAGTACTAGGCTTCGGGTGAGCCGGGACAAACACGAGCGGACCACTTGTGGCAATTGAATTGTGACTCAATATCAGTCTCATAATTATTCTCCGAAAAGAATAGTAATTCGCACACTTTCTCTCGATTGATGTGCTTCGTCGGTGAGTTCCCAGCCACCTCGTTCTCGACAAATTGGGGGAAAGGAAGTAAGGGCCTCATGTCGAGGAAATCACCCGAGAAAGAAGAGTCATTCTTGAAACAGACAGCAGTATTCCGTCTCCGCGCTTAGCTACAGCTTCCACAACGTATGGAAGCTCTGTGCTTGAAACGCCGTAGTCAGCAAGACAGGCCTGCCTTTTACTTGTGAGAACTATTCATCGCAGCGTTGATGCAGAACCACTATTATTACTGTCTACGCCAAAGACCCCATGAAGTGACAGTTGCGATGTCGGCGGAAGGTGAGAGAGTCAAGACGGTTGCATTTCTCTTAGCTCATTTCAAGAGTATTTGTGATTGGCCAATGTCTGAATCGCAACTCTAGATAATTCAAGACTTTTCACATCAAACTCTATGCGGCTTTGACGTGAACCATAGGATTCCTGCTTTGAGTTGAGGCAATTGCAAAGGGTGACTTGGGCCAACACTGAGGTAATTGTGACTACCTACCTGCGTGCAGTTTAGTCCATCTCCAAAGCGCATTTGGCGCGAGAGAACCTGGAAGGCCTCGATCCCTAGCTCAACATGGGTCACGCTCTGCTCTTGGGAAATGCTGACTCATCTGGATCGCATCCACATTGGCCCCGAGCTCCGAGACAGTCTACTCCCGGTCCGTACGGAGTAGGTACCTAGGGGAGGATGCTTTGGCCTCAGGTACCAAGGCGCCAGCCAAGACGCAGGCACCTTGGCTCCCAGGCACGCTTTGGATGCAGGGTGCTAGAGCAATAAGGTAAGCAAGTCAAGCTTGGCCCACGGATACCCGAGTGAGAGAGAGTCAGGGAATCGGTTACCGAAGGCGAGCTGAGCTGTCTTGCCTTATCTCATCAATCCACCTCGTTGCGTGATGTCAGGGTCCCCGTCGCAATGTTATCCCGCTGCTGACACTCCAGAGTCCAGCGCGCTGCGCTCAACAGTGCATCTCTCCGGCGCAGGATCGACTGAGTGCACAATGGCTTCGGGGTGTAGAAGGCTGCAGGGACACGCGATCAGACACGCAAGCTCCGTACTGGCAGCCGCATCACCCTGCGAGTGTGAGAGGACGGAGACGGGAGCAGTGTGAGTGTGAGTGTCACCGAGCGTATGAGAGCTGCCAGGAGCTCTGTCTCGGGCTTCTAACTCGCTGCGTGCCTTGGGCGAGTTGGGGCAGCTCCGCGCCGTCTTAGGTTCCATGGTTGCTCCCCCAGCCAGCTAAAGTGGATCTTTCGAACCAACCCCAGCTTTTGATAGGCAGATAAGGTACCTGCACCTATCGGGTGCTGCGTCATGGTCCTTCGTGCCTTGCGGAGGCGAGTGGGCAGGTTGTCACGGGGGCGCAGTTGCTAAGGTAAGTCTGAGTAGCCTGCCACACCTGCCAGTGCCACAGCAAAGGTACCTACCTACTTAATAGGTACAGGCGCCGCCCCAGCTTCCGCATCTTCCCCCCGTCAACACATCATCATCCCCCCCCCATCCGTTTCAACCGCCATCTCCTCAGTATCACCAGCACGAAGACGCAGGGCGCCAAAAATCATCGTAATCTGGGTAATCGAGGTTAACAGCCACGATGAAGAGCACTCTCCTCACCGCGGCCGTGCTGTTGGGCGCGGCCCAGGCCGAAGTCCACAAGCTGAAGCTCAAGAAGGTCCCCATCGAGGAGCAACTTGTATGTTGAACCCATCGTCTAGCATCTCCGCAACACTGTTTACTGACTGCTGTCATCCTTAGAACTCTGTTCCTATTGAGCACCAAGTCAGACAGCTCGGCCAGAAGTACATGGGCGCTCGCCCTGACAGCCATGCCGATGCCATGTTCAACCAGAAGCCCTTCACAAGCACTGGCGAGCACCCCGTGCCCGTGAGCAACTTCATGAACGCTCAGTGTACGTTCCATGCATTTCTTTGTTAGCCACCATCAGTAAACTAAATTTCGCACTTCAGACTTCTCCGAGATCGAGATCGGTACTCCTCCCCAGACCTTCAAGGTTGTCCTGGACACTGGTAGCTCCAACCTGTGGGTTCCTTCCCAGCAGTGCGGTAGCATTGCATGCTACCTGCACTCCAAGTACGACTCTTCGTCGTCTTCCACCTACAAGTCCAACGGCTCCGAGTTCGAGATCCACTACGGCTCTGGCAGCTTGACTGGTTTCGTCTCCCAGGATGACGTCTCCATTGGCGACCTCAAGATCAAGAAGCAGGACTTTGCCGAGGCTACCAGCGAGCCCGGCCTTGCCTTTGCCTTCGGCCGCTTCGACGGTATCCTCGGTCTTGGTTACGATACCATTTCCGTCAACAAGATTGTCCCTCCTTTCTACAACCTTGTTAAACAGAAGGCTATCGACGAGCCTGTCTTCGCCTTCTACCTCGGAGACACCAACGAGGAGGGTGACGAGAGCGAGGCTACCTTCGGTGGCCTCGATGACTCTCATTACGAGGGCAAGATCACCTACATCCCCCTCCGCCGCAAGGCTTACTGGGAGGTTGACCTTGACGCCATCACTCTTGGCGACGAGACCGCTGACCTCGAGGGACACGGTGCCATCCTTGACACCGGTACTTCCCTGAACGTCCTTCCCTCTGCTCTTGCTGAGCTGCTCAACAAGGAGATCGGTGCCAAGAAGGGTTACAACGGCCAGTACTCTGTTGAGTGCTCCAAGCGTGACGAGCTTCCCGACATCACCTTCACTCTCTCTGGCTACAACTTCAGCATCTCCGCTTACGATTACGTCCTGGAGGTATCTGGCAGCTGCATCTCCACCTTCCAGGGCATGGACTTCCCCGAGCCGGTCGGCCCCCTCGTTATCTTGGGAGACGCCTTCCTCCGCCGGTGGTACTCCGTTTACGACCTCGGCAAGAACGCCGTTGGTCTGGCCAAGGCTAAGAAATAAACGCCTACTGATAACCCCCTTTCCTTGAGAATACGTCGATTACTCGGTCAATCAGATTCAAGGTGCGGCTGTAATGTAACTACGATAGGTAGCTAGTCTGGACACCGTTGTGAGAATACCAATAGTAGCATTTTTCTTCGAGCATCTGTCTCATCGTGCATCTTTCATGTGAAATGGGGTCTACTTCTCAAGGGGTCGCGACTGCATTGCTGTAATTCATAAACTTGCAAGTTCATGTTATGGATATACAATAGATCACATTGTAAATGAACTGAATGCTCCTGTAACACTAGAAAGAAGCTTCAATAAGCTAACCTCTGCATAAACTCTGGGTTGAAATGTTCAGCGTACCAACTGTAAAGGTACTTCACCTCATTATCAAAAGGCAGTATCCATAAGTCACCAAGGTGTAAGCGTAACGTGGGGCCCATTTTTGCTCTGCACGGACCAAATCATCACGTGGGTAACAGACCCGCTTATTCAGATCGGCAGGCCAATCGCTGCTGGCCTCAGCTCAGTGCCTTTTCGCCAGCAACCAACAAGGACCCGTGGTTCTCTCTAATTTTCCAGTATAGCCTCCCGACAGTCACGCAGGGGAATTGCTCCAGGAGCATTTGCAAGGTGAAAAAAATCCAAAAACGGCGACTTTGATGGACCCCATTCATTTTCCGAGTACCGTTGCTTGTCTTTGAGTGTGTTCTTGGATGAAAAGGTTCCCCAAAACGCCTGGCCTCGCGACGCTTGACGAAAAAAGGTTTTGGAGTTCCACCAAGACGAGCGACCGACGAACCTCGCGCGTCGCGACAATCCCGCCCTCCACTGGGCTACCGACCACCCCCGTCGTCCCGCGCGACATCGACAGAACGAACCGCCCGAAACGCCCTGGCATCGCGACAATTCCCACCGATAGCCACAACCACGATCCCCGACGACGATTTTCACAATGGCGCAGCCGGATTCGGTCCAGGCAAACGGCATCCCTGGACCGGACCATGCTGAGTCCCCCCAACCTGTCGTCCCTGTGAAGAGGAAGCGCGACACCGAGGATGAGGGCGACGAAGTTAACGGCGATGGACCCGAGAAGATGGAAGTCGACGCTGAAGTCCCAAAGGAGGATCATAAACCCCTCATTAAGAACTATTTCGCTGTTCTTAGCAGGTACGATTGCCGCGGCCCCCTTTGCGCCCTTGGCTGCGCGCCCATCCCCATTCATCAAACCCGAGGCCGCATTGTACTGACGTGCAGCCCATAGCTTCGATGCAAACCCATCAATTCTGAAGCGTCGCCTTCCCGAACCCGATGCGGAACAGCCCGACGCGAAACGCCAAAAGTCCGCCGATAGCCCTGCCACCATCGCCGACAAGGTCAGCCACGACTCGTACTCGCATGTCGACGAACTCGCGGCCGACGTCGTCGAAGCCGTCAAAGATCAACTTCAAGAACTTCAATCGGCCAAGGTTGAGAAGGACAAGGAGGTCATTGATGGCGGCGCTGTGGTGCAGACCATGGAGTTCCAGCAGAAGGCAATGGACCTCCTTCGAAGGGAGATATCGTACCCACGCAGCGCTGTGAACGTCAGCAACGTCAAACCAGTCCCAGAAGTCACTCCAGGTAACGCTGTCTTGACAGTTGTTGGCCTCGGCCCTCATGGCAAGCAGCTCTTCTCAAGTCTGCCCAAGAAGGTCCCAGGACAAGAGAGCTCCGCTGCAAAGGCATCGTCATTGGAACTTCCTTTGGGCATATCGAAAACCTACATTGTTCCTTCTCGCCAGAGCGAAAGATCAGCCACTCTTGGGGAGCTGTTTTCCTCGAGCAGACCCCTCCCTCCACTGCAGCCGCCCAAGCAACCGAAGCAGCTGGTCAAGGGAAATGTCCTCGGTTTTTACCATCCCGAGCCGGCGCAAAAGTCCAAGTACTACAACGAATCTTATTCTAGCAAAAAGGTCGCCGTCGGCTGCTACTTGGACTACACCAATGCGGCACCCTCGTCCAAGAGCAAGACCAGACAGCGCGAACGCGCTCAAAGTCTTGCAGGCCACCGACCCTCGTCTACCGAAATTGAAGTGAACGAAATGGAGTCGTTGTTTCGCAGCGCGTTCTCCAGCTTCGCGCCCTGCAGAGATGATTCCGGCTCTGTCGTTCCGTCCAGCCATGCTGGTCGCATGTACTGGCAGCTTACTGGACAGCGAAACTTCAACCGCCTCATTGAGTCGGAGTTGCAGGAAGTCGATGATGACGATGACATGCTCGAGAACCACGTTGGAGACAAGGTGGTCGAGACCGGAGACGTGGACGAGGAGTTCGTCAATGAGGCGATTGAGAAGTGGGATGAATGGCTGGTGGACCCGGCGCTGGAAGACATGAACGATGTCCTGTCGAAACCCAAGGATAAGGACCCCGCCGACAAGGAGGTTGACGAATTCCTGGATGAAGTCACTGACATGATTGAGACCTTGCTGTCGTATCAGCGCATCCGCAACCTCACCTTGCCATCATCACAGAATCGTTATGCAGGCGATCCCGTCAATGGCGACTTGCTTTCTCACGGTGCTGTCTCGGCACCAACGGAAGAGGAGACTATGACGTACGAAGCACTGAGGGCTCAGCTCAGTCTGATTGTCGGCGCTCTTCCTCCCTACGCTGTGGCTAAACTCAACGGTGACCAACTTGAGGAGCTTCTCATCAGCACCAAGCTCGAGGTCCGCACAGATCAGTACAAGGGTGTCATGGAGGACGATGCCGCAACGCAAGCCCGGATGCGTCAACAGCAGAGTGCCGCCGCTTCTGCTCCCACGAACCGGCCTGCCCCTCACCGGACACCTAGTGCATCCACTCCCTATAACGGCCAGTACGCGGCGGGGCAGTACGGAACCCCCACCCGAACGCCTTCACTCGCGCCGTCCAACTACTACCGATCGGGCCAGCAACCCGCCATGCCCCCGCAACAAGGTTCCGTTCCTCGTCCGGGCGGCGTACCCCACCAGATGCCTCATGCACAGCAGCCCCGTCCCGGTCAACCGGGCAATTACCGGGCCACCAATGGATACACCAACTACGCGCAGCACGTCGGAAAGGCACAAACACCGTATGGCCACCAGGGTGTTCAGTATGGCTCTCAACAGCGACCTCCACAGTACTCCGGGTATGCAGGCACGCCTTCACACGGCACGCCCAATGCTCGCTTCCAGCAGCCCTACCAGCAGTCTTTCCCGCAACAGCCGAGCACGCCGTCCCAGGGCTACGCAGGTTACTACGCTAATGGTGCTAACAACATGCAACCGCGGAACATGTCGCCTCAAGTACCAGCTGGTCAATACAATTCGCCAACTCCACACCAGCAGCAGCAACGGTACTATGGATCCACTCCCCACCAGAACGTGCCTGGCACCCCTCCGATCAACCGTCAGCATTATCCGAATGGTAGTCACCTCCCTCAACAACCTATGAATTCTCTAACTGGATACAATACAGCCGTTGCAAGGACAGACCAGCAGCGCCTCCACGCCGAGCAAGCGAGATATAGAGCCGCTGCACAGCAAACGAGCGCAGCTTTCGGGACCAAGATCCAGGGCACACATGAAGGCAACAACATGACCCCAGCTCCCGTCGACGACCCCAACGGCCAAGGGTCTCCCTACAATGCCAACATGCGAGCGCGTATGGCCGCAGGTGGTACCCCGAAGCCGCAGAGCCCTGTCGGTAGTGTAGGAAAGCCCAACGGAACTCCGCCAATCCCACACAAAGTGACGCCGGTACCCATTCCGGTTATACCTCAACAGCAGCAAAGGAAGCCAAACTAGCAATATGGTAAACCTCAACTGCCTTCGCAGGGTCCACCCCCGCCGCCGCGGGTTCCAGTGTCCAGGCGACCTTCGGGAGAGGCCACAGCACGAAACGGTCGTCAGAAGACGACGCCCTATGCCGCGCCTTCGTCTCAAGCGGTGCAACATCCACCGCGGCCCGGATCAGCACAAAAGTGATACCTACGACCTCCATCTCAGTCGGCCGTGGTGTATCTTGCGTCAACAAAATGCCGATTTCCATTTACTCTACGGTGTCTGAATAGCCAGGGAAGCGATGTCCTTTCGGAGTTGGTGAGAGAGAGAGAGAGAGAAAGGGACTATTTTTTTCTTTCAAATCGCGTCTGCGACCCAGACAGCGGGTTTGCTGTGTTGAGCGACGCAAAAGGGGTGGCCTGATTGATGATGAATGGATGGGTACACGGGGAAGAAGTTGCATGAGAGATGTTTCTCTGTTCGACCAACAACCCTCTGACTCTTGGCGTTCTGGCCCTTGTGTTATTAGAAAGTTTTCGGAGGAGAGTTGACAAAAACTCAGTAGATGATCGCCAGAAAGGGCGGCTCTTTTTTTGTTCTTTTACGGGGTGGGTGTGTGTCGACATGGAAGAATCAAACCATGGGAGAGAGTGAGAGAGGTTTTGTGCCACACTGGCACAGCGGGGAAGGAAGGTCTTTGCTTTCCCTCCTTTTATTGTTTTCCAATGAAACCAAACGCACAACGGGGGGAAAGGTGGGGGGGTTTCGCGAAAGGGGAGGGGGAAATGGAATCATGGTCCTTTTTTATCAACCTTGGCTCGGGAACGGTGGAAAGGGGGGAAAGGGGTTTGGCTCCATGTGTATAGAGTGATTCGAGTAGCCGACACTTTGTATCCTAATCAAAAACTAGTGGCATTTGCGTCAATGAATTGTGTGCCTTGGTGTGTTGTGTGTGAATGCTCTCGCTGATCTGTTGCTATTCCCCGCGATGTCATATTCAAAGATGAAGTAATGAGGGGTGTTGCCGGAGCATGTCAGCATGGCTGATAGTTCGTCTGAAGTCCTTCCCAGCCGGCCGGTAAGAGTGCAGAGTTGAGTCGGAGATGAATCAATCGTAGGACTTAACTTCCCTTCGGCAAAGTTCGGGCCCCGTACGGATAAACAGAGTATAGTCTGAATACTTGAGTTTATGTTTCAGAGCTTCGAGGCTCTCGGCATCAGGTCTGGCTTGAAAGGGGGTGTTTCCACCTCTCTGCGTTGAGCGTCAATACGTCGACGTTGTTTTCTGCCTGGCTTCAAAGGTATGAAGCTCACAACTCCAGACAAACTACATATGGGTATTTCCATTGTCAAACAGTCACGTCGTAGGATGTATACAGCGGTAATTTCTGCCTGTAACTACCGGCGCCATTATTGTGAGAATTCATGTTAATTTCATGAGAAGAAGTTACAATTGACTGAAAATGAAACTGACTGCGAACTTGGATGATTATGTTGACGAGAGATGAGGATGAGGCCATTGAATAATTCCTCCGAGCACCCTCGTTGCCAAGTGATATTTAACTTCAGCGCGCCTTGAGTTTTCGAAGATGTGATGAGATGGGAAACCTATCAAGTCACTTTCACATCACCAACTTGGCGCAACCTGTTTTCAGCCAAACTTGCCTTCAACTTTATCGCCTGAATCAGAAAACGACCTACCATGGCAGATCCAACGCCTGAGCTCTGAGCACCCAACATTAAACAGTCTCCGGTCTCGGTATCACAGCTGCCATAAGCAAGTCGCTGCATCGCCTTGGAAGATGGTGACTTAGAAGTGAGTCAACAGCTACTTCTGAAAGGCTCAGGCCTCGGAAAGACTACTCAACGAAAGTTAATAACTCCACTCTGCCATGTTCTGACCCATGGTTTACGGAAACCAGCGGATATCACTTGGTGTCATAGCATGGCTACCTAGAGTGAGACGTGTGGACGACTAAAGTAGCCCTAGATAGATGTGTGAACTTGCGGGGTTTGCCTCAGCCAGCCACATCTGAAGGAGCCAACATCAATCACCAAACTGAAATTCTGAGCTCCATAAACTAATTTCACTCTGTATCGTGAAATGAAGGCAGTAAGCAATCAAACATGAGTGTAAGTTCAACAGCAGGATTGCATGGGGTGCACGCGTTGTCAGTAGTCCTTCTTGTCGTACCACTCCCCACCGAATGTACATCAAGGGTAAACGCTTGAGAGAAAGTGACTACATACAAGTACCGATAGAATCACACACGAGAAGTGCTATGAATCAACAAATGATCAAGTACCTTCGAGAATCAAGCGAAAACCATGCTATGCAGAGGTGGGCAATGCAAACAGAACATGCGACCTTGTCTGTCCTCAACGGCCTACTGTAAGCCAAATGGATACACAAGACGCCAATTGAACTGTGATGAATATTTTGAATTCAATTCAAATTTGGCCACTATTTTGGTCTGTGAAGTTTATGGCAAATTGAGCCTTTCCATCATTCCACTATCACAAACTGCTGATCTGCTTGTTGTATCTAAGTCATGCAAACATTTTGCGGCCTCGTTCTGAATCGATATTGTGATGAGCGAGACAACCTAGCAAGAGCTAAAAAGCTCATTGCGACTAAGATGATGATGAATGGCCGGAAGAGGAAGATGAGTAGTCTTTTTGTATTAAGTTCGTGAGTTTGGCCAAGGGGCTTACAACAAGCCATGTCTGGCTCGACGTCGAGACTGGTCTATTCAGTTCTTTTGGAATTGATCAGTCCATAATGGAGAGCTGAGTCCTGCAAGAATTGAGACATGAAATACGACCAGAAGCTGAGAAGACAGCTAGCGAGGACGGAGGTGATTTGTGACAGTCTGGAAGCGGCAAATGATACGATGTCTGCAACTGCCGCCATCGATTCTGCGTCACAGACAGAATGAGGCTGCCTGATGATGTGAGGGCGACGCGATGATGTTGATTCAGAAGATACAAGACCTTTCCCACTGTGACGCATTTGGAACCGCATGTGAGATCGTTGCCTCAGCCAGAAGGAGTCTGTGGAAAGCCACACGCTCTAGCAAACCGCTCTTATGACGATGGAAAACTATAAAACCAAGAGGCCGCCCTGCAATCCAAGGTGTATTTTCTGCACCAGCCATCAAACAACTTCATTGAGTATCTGTTAAACTTCTACAACAACTTCTTCCTCTCAGCAATCCATTACCACACATCATATTCAAAATGGGCGTCGTTGAGAAAGGCAACAAGATCTTCGTCTCCGCCAGTGAGATCGACAAGAACAAGGTCACTGTTGAGTTGCAGCAGAATTTCAAGCAACGTTCGCAGGAGTATTACACTGTTCCCTTCATCAATAAGAGCCAGGGTGTGTTGATAACAATCGTCCATCGCATGAGTCAATCTCGAAACTGACTGCTGCTATAGGAGACCAGGAGAGCGTCCTCTTCATCCAGACAACCTACCTTGACGCCTTCAAGCAGAAGCAGGCTGCAGGAGAACCTGAGTTCACTGTAGTCGTTGTCACCTCCTTCCAGTACGGCCAGAATGACGAGAAAACTTCACGCTGGATTGTCTATCATGACAAGAGTATGAACGCCTTCCAGGTAAGCAATTGGCCAATTCATTTACCTAGAAGTATGCAGCTCAGAAGCCAATAACGTTTTATTAGTGGCGATTCGTTGCGAGCGTCAAGTCCAAGCTGGGCAATAAGCTGGGCTCGTTTGGTGGTGGCATCTTCAAGAGCTTCGTTGGGGTCGACATTGGAAACTTGGCTGCGCTCTTCGGCGACACCCTCCGAGACTTCTAAGATTATCAGGACAGAACGGCAAGCTAGCTGTCGCAAGCTTCCCACTTATTCATTGCTCTAGTATCAGATTCATGTCTGTCTCTCTGTCAGACGTTGACTGTGATCCATATCGCTCTTCTTCTAGGGCATCTTACATAACATTCGACACACTCTTTTGCATCCCGGGACTTTACTATTATGATTAACGTGAATGATAAGCGAGTGAGACAGACAAGCGAGTGAGACACAAAACTGCGCCGATGATGCTTCAACACAAATGGAGACGTTTCTTCCACAACACATCATGGCATCCAGAAGTAATGAGTCAGGCATACAGCTGGCCCTTCAAGCTATCAGAATCAATCCAGAGCTTAGTGCACGGGCTGCAGCTACGATCTACTCGGTCAGCCATGCAACATTGAGTCGACGATTGAAGGGCTCTACATCTCGAAGCGACAGGATACCGAACTCGAGGAATCTTACTTTGCTAGAAGAGCAGACGTTAGTTGATCACATTCTCGATCTAGATGCCCGATCATTCCCTCCCCGGATCCGTGGTGTGGAAGAAATGGCTGATCGACTGCTTGCTGATCGCGACGCGCCTCCGGTTGGGAAGCGCTGGGCCTTAAACTTCGTCAAACGACAACCACAATTGCGGACGCGGTTTTTTCGGAGGTACGACTACAAGAGGGCCCAATGCGAGGATGCAGAGGCTATTCGCGGCTGGTTCGCTCTTGTGAAGAACACAATCGCGAAGTATGGTATCGATGAGTTTGATATCTACAACTTTGATGAGACTGGCTTTATGATGGGCCAGATTGCATCTGGCATGGTTGTCACAAGTACTGAAAGGCGTTCAAACACAAAAATGGCGCAGCCTGGTAATCGAGAATGGGTTACAGTGATTCAAGCCATCAACTCGCAAGGCTATAACGTCCCGCCGTACATCATCGTTGCAGGCCAATATCACCTCTCAACCTGGTATACAGAGTCAGGTTTCCCGGACGACTGGGTCATTGCGACGTCAGAAAACGAATGGAAAACAAATGAAAGAGGCCTAGATTGGATCCAGCACTATGATCTTCATACGAAACCACGTTTGAGAGGCCAATATCGCCTCCTCGTCGTCGACGGGCACGAAAGTCACCACTCAACAGACTTTGAGCTATATTGCAAGGCAAACAAGATCGTTACACTTTGTATGCCGCCTCATTCGTCTCATCTACTCCAGCCCCTTGACGTTGGGTGCTTTGGTCCGCTAAAGACGGCGTATGGGCAACAAATTGAGGATAAGATGCGGCGGGGCGTAACCCACATCTCAAAGGAGGACTTCTTTCCTGCATATCGCAGCGCATTTAGTCAAGCGATGACTGAAAAAAACATCCAAGGGGGTTTTAGAGGAGCTGGGCTTGTTCCTATGAGTGCAGAAAGCGTCCTATCAAAGCTGGATATCCGGCTACACACTCCAACGCCTCCAGCATCACTACCACAGACACCTCCGCCTTGGGTTTCAAGGACACTAAACAACCCAGTAGAGGCAAGCTCTCAATCCAACTTTATTAAGAGTCGGATCACTCGTCACCAAATCAGCTCCCCAACCTCTATTTGCGAGGCTGTTGAACGACTTTCTAAAGGTACAAGAGGCATCATGCACCAAGTAGCCTTACTTAGATCTGAGGTACAGATTCTTAGAGACGAGAATAACCAACTCAGTCGACGACGGAGAACTAAGAAAACACGCCTACAACATGGAGGAAGTCTTACTGTAGCTGACGCAGCAGATATACAGTCACAGAAAGATGTGACTGCGCAGGTTCAGGAGGAAATGCGTCGTACTAGTGGTCGCAAACTGAGGGCCGAGACAGGTCAGCGACGGTGTGGCGTTTGTGGTCACCCGGGACACAATTCACGAACGTGCCAGTTTATTGAAGAGATGTCTGAAGATGAGGATTATGAGTAGTTTGAATTGAATTGATGCTGTTGATGTTGATATGGAAGCCAGTTTATCTCATCGGCGCAGTTTTGTGTCTCACTCGCTTGTCTGTCTCACTCGCTTATCATTCACGTTATCAGAAGTAGAAGATTGATAAATTTGATACATTCTTCAAAAACACTAAGACAGTTGATCTGACACTGAGGTGTGTCGATTGAGTCGTATGACTGACTGGCCTGACTCCATCGCAGAACGGTGAGGTTCGGGGGATGATGCTTCTCGTCCTCGGGCCCGGCTCTATAGAACTTGCGGATCATTGCGGGAATACATCGTATGACCAATGGTTTGGACAATGTACGGTGCTTACATTGAATTCAAGTGGACTTGCCAGCTCACATTTATGATGGGGTCAGAGATGTGGTAGACAGAGTTTCAAGGCAGGCAGAGGCTCCGGTCAGAAGTCGAATCTAACTGAGTGATGCTTGCCGACCTAAGGTTCATCACTTGAACATACGCGGTCAAAAGCCATGTATCTTGCATCGCGATAAGTCACATAAAAGGAAGGAACAAACTGAAAGGCAGACCTGCTCCTTCCCCTTCTGATTTTCACCCAATCCTCAAAATCTTCAACTCACCGCTTTGTCTGATAATTTCTTTCTTCCTAGGGTTACTGGCACCGAATCCACGGGCCCACGCTTGTATCCTTTACCAACGTTATCTCAATAATTGTCCTTTCGTCCCTTACCCATACCCTAGGCTCTTTCAACCTATTCGTCGATGGTCTCATTATTCAATCTCACAATCCTTATTTGTTTCTGTTTTATCTCGTTGCTGGCCAACATTCAAAGACATCTCACCAATCGGCCTTTCGTTCCGCAGGCTCGTCATTTTTGAAATTCTTTCAGTCTCTTTTCTTTACCGACTACATTCGGAAGAAGTCGCTGGACGACTCGAAGACCCTTCAGCCTAATCACCCTAAATTCCACACAACTCTTTCGTCTCTTTTCTAGCAACCATGGGCGATCTGGATCTCTCCTCCCTGCTGGAGTCGGGCGAATACAGCGACCTCAGACTCATCACCACCAATGCCGATGATGGAGTTGAGACCGAGCACTCCGTTCATCGCAATATCGTCTTCACCCAATGTTCGAGATTGAGAGACGTGGTGGCTTCTATTGGACCATTGGTAAGCCATTTGCCCAGTACTCGTATGACCTCTTTTAATAACGTACCTTACAGAACCAAAAAAACGGAGTTGACATCGCCCATCTCGACCATGATGGCAAAGCCCTCGGTACTGTGTTGCGATATTTGTACTCTGGAAAGTACGAGGCACAGTACGAGGTAGCGACCCAGCGAGCGAATGAGGCTGGTCATCTCGATCAGCCTCACTCGTTGTACTGGTCGATCCACGCCATGCAGCTGGCACATGAACTGTGGCTCGTCGGTCTATACAGGGAAGCGGCGGAGGCGTTGTGTAAGGCAGCAAAACAACTCACAAACCACGTCGACTTCCCCGGCATGGTCGACGAGCTCTACGAGACGTGTAGCCAACACCCAGAATTCCCCAACCATCTCGCAAGGATTGCAAGAACCATTGCAGAGAACTGTCTGATAAGCAGTCGGCTGCAGGATCGACTGCAGCCCACCATGCTCAAATACCCGCAGCTTGCCCTCGACGCAATGGAAGCAAGCTTGGACGCTCTGGCCGAAACCCGAAAGGATCTCATCGAAGCTGAGGACGAGATCTCCGACCTTCGAACTCGGGGATACCGAGCTGATGACTTTTGGGCCGAAGTTGAGCGTGATCGGGAGAGGAGAGAGGGAGAGGCGATCCGCGACGACAGTTTTGAGTTCAAAATTGTTCAGGGCAGCAAGAAACGAAGTCGCTCTTCTTCTCATGGCGCTGAACAATACGCGGAACGAGAAGGAGAGATCTAGTTCGTGATGGGGATCCGGGCAGGAAGGACGGGTTGATTCAAGAACAAGGGCAAGAGCTTTGGGGTATTCGCTGGCGAAGAAGGAGCTGGACTCTATGATTAGACCTATCATTAGTCTCGCGCTGTTCCTGAGATCTTCCACAATAGGGTCTATCACAGAGTAATAGTGCAATCATATCACGATCTGGCTCTAACTACTTTCCGAGAATCGCCACTTCTTCCCGAGTTGATATTCGAGAAAGAACGATATACTACTTCCTTCTGAATGTGAGGTGAGCAGGAATGAGCTCTCTGCGTCAATAAAAAGCCCTCCTCTCCACTGATTCTCTTCTTTTTCCTCTTCCTCTTCCTCATCCTTCTTCTCCTTCTCACCTCGGCCCTCTCTCATATTTGATCAGACAAACCAAACGAGGGGAAAGGAAAACTTGCAAATCGCTTTATAAAAACTGATATCTTTTCATTCATATCACTTCCAGCTTGATTTCTCTCTCAAACATCATACCGTAGAGAATCATTGCTCGCTCAACTAAACGTTCAAAGTTTCAAGCTACATACACAGAAAATTCAGAATGGCGGGTATTGACCTTAGCAGTCTATACAACTCCAGCCAGTGGAGCGACCTGACGATCGAGGCGTCCGGGAAGGTCTTTCACTGTCATCAGTGTATCGTCTTCAGCCAGTGCGAGGACTGGAAAAAGTTGCCTTTGGTGGTAAGTCGAGGCCGCTCTAGCTGTATGAAGCATTCATGAAGGAATCTTTGCTAATAAAACACCTGTAGAACGGACGTCTCGTCCTCACCGGGGCATACAGCATCAAGGCAATCCTCAAGTACATGTACTCCGGCACATACAAGCCCATCAACATTCCCTGCAGCATCGACAGACCACGGAGCCTCGAGACAAACGCGGAAGGCACGACCGACAAACTTGACTACAGCGATAACAGCATGTTTCTCACCGCCTGTGTCCTGGCTCGAGCAAAGGCGTATAACATCACCCAACTCCGCGATCAAGCCAAGACCGCTCTCTTGAGCATCGCGTCTACTCTCGGCAACCACGCAGAATTTGTCGAAACCGTCCACTACGTCCTTTGCACTTACCATGATGAAGAGGGATTACAGATTGCTCTGCACATGATCATGCCACAGTACGAGACGAACGCTGGTCTGCGTAACAGACTCAAGGATCTCCTGCTCCGCCACCCCCGCCTGGCTTGCCTTCTACTCGAGCACACAACTGAAGAGCTACGTGCGATCAAGAGGGAGAAGAGCTTGACACATTATGTTGGCAAGACCGAGCTCGGCGAACTTTCCGGAGGCTACAGCCTGTCTCCCGCGGCACCTGCCTTGGACTCCACGCGGAGCACGCCTCTGCAAGTTGTGAGCGCGACTTCCAAGAAGCGCAAGGATGGCGATGACGAGATGCCCGTGATTAAGCGCCTCAGAGAGAGCATCGAGTAGTCGCTCGGTTCGTTGGACACATAAGGACGGGACATGAGCCAAACATGGACACGCTGCTTGGTTTAGGAGAGGAAAATAGACTTGGCAATGCTTTGATTAATAGACAAATCCTCAGCTTCTCATAACCATGTGATCAAGATTACATTGATCGCTTCTATACACACGACTTAACTTTGGTGTTGGTATGATTGGGTATCTATCCAAGGATTCCCCGATTCTATCCTTTTTGATACACGACGCCTTGCACATTGGCCCTTCCTGTTGTAGGTTCCCATCATGTAGTGGGTATGATTATACATATCTTACACGTCCAACCCCCATCCGACACTTCTCGTCAGATGTCTCGTTCTCCCGCACCTCTTCCTCAGGCCCAGGCAGCTCTTGCTTCAAGGCTAGGCCACGCTTGATGACCTCGTGCAGATTCTGATGGTTGCCCCATTCACCCTCGTATATATACTCTTCCACCTCTTCGTCAGACGGCCAGTGCATCGGCCCCCCGTTCCTGCTACCGCTCTGTGCCATAACCTCCTCTCGTAGAGCACTCACCATCTCCTGATCGAGCAACGGCTCCGCGTAGGCGCGAAACGCACGGAATGCCCTCGTGAGATACCGCGCGTGCGCCAGCGAAAGGTCCCCGCCGGCCTTGGGAGTCCACTCGCGAACGACCCACCACATCAGCAACACCATCTCCTCGCGGTCGCCGAGGAACGCGAGTGTGCGCATGTACGTGTTGATCGTCGCTGCCGTCACGAGCTTGTTCACGTCGGGGTTGGACGCCGGACCAAGGGTGGCGAGTGCTCTCCACGCGGCCTTGAGTTGGCTCGACGCTTTTTGGACTGTCTCGATGGGCGTCTGGCCGTGGCCCAGCTCTTCGCGTTGGAAGATGGGGTGGAGGAGTTGGCGATGTGATAGCTTGCTGAAAGAGCCAGGAAGCCGCAAGACGCGGCCCTTGGGGATCTTTACTTTGTTGCTCTGCTCTTGATATAGCGACAGAAATTCTTCATCTTCGTCTAGAGTCCGTGAAACAGCCGCGTCTTCTACGCGTGGGTTTCTCGGTTCTGTTTCGCCCGTTTCTTGTTCTTCAGAATTAACTGGCGATTTGGCCGCATCCTTGGCAAGCAAGGCGCCCAGTCGGGGTTGGACCGCTTTTCGCAATACACTGGCAAATGCAGTGACCATGTTGAGACTGAGCCCGGAATGTCCCTCAGCCATTTTTAGGGCTTTGATTGCCAGATGCAGCACTTCGATGTTGTTCTCTCGGGGCATGCTGTTGCTGACCATGATGTTTGATCTGCCCAAATTGAACAGTATTGTCTCCCATGGCGCCCGGCCAGAGACATCGGCTGAAGCCCAGCCCATTTGCGCAAGTTGAAAGGCGTAGTGGATACTATACATGCTCTTGTTGGAGATGTGTGGCGGTGTATTCGATGTTCGATTTGGCTGGAGGCGACAAAGTAGGTCGATGAATGCATGTAGTATGTCGTGAGGCGGGTTTATCAACGCATTCCCCGTGAGACCCTGGTAGTCTTTCAGGCTCTGCCTGATGCTGCCTTTGAGTCCCTCATCCAAACTACTGCAATCGACATGATGCAAAGCAATATCGACGCTGGGTGATTGCTTGATCAGTCCAGCCAAGAAGGGTCCACGGATGGGGATACCCGCGGCATACATCTCTTCCACAATTCTGCGAATGCTAGGCGGGTTGGTCCGCGCCCTCTCAAAGTCGCTAAGGTTCTCATCGTTGTAGGGGAAAACCTCCCTTCCATCTCCTGGAAGATTGTGATGTCCGGCCTTTGCTGGCTTCGCAGAGAGCTTGGCTATCAATTCTCTGTACACCTCAAATGTTGGTTTCATCCCTGATTCTGGGGGATGTTTGAATAGTGCCCAAGCTTCTTGTGCATTTCGAGTCGTCCGAATCTGAGCTGCCCATGCACCTTGCTCAACACGAAGGTGGCGCGGGTAATTCGCCCTAGTCTGCACCGTCGGTGAGCCATCAGGAGCCATGCCACCTAGGATATCCGTAATCAAGTCGAAGTCCTTCTTGCTGTATCCACCCTCTTGCATCATCACACCGGCCTTGACAACTCGGCTTTGGTAGGCTTCGGGACCAGCTTTCTCTTCCATACCATCTCGCATAATCCGATGTGGGGGCCAATGACTGGCAAGAGTGCTGGCCGTATCTCGTTCCGAAGCTGTTTTTGGTGATGCTAGCAAGACTTGCCGAATCGCCCGATAGCTCTCTTCCTCAATGATCAAGGTCTTCTCCGAGGTGGATGATAGCGACAGAAGCTTAGTCACAGCTGTCCAGTTGTAAGAGCTGTACTGATATGGAGACTTTTTCGATACGACTGATACAGCCTGTAGAGCGCGATTGAGCGCCTGGCATTGTAGCCTGTACGCCTTGTCTGGGTGACGATGTCCATGCGGGAGAATTTTGATGTACGCCACTGAGAGCTCTGCGATATCAGGCAATGCGTCGGGCTGCAGTCTGCTCGCATGCTGACACAGTTTGTCGAGTAATTTGCCGAATAAAACCGGTGTAATTACGGAGTCCAAGTCAAAGGCCTGTGGCGCATTGTCGGACGACTTGCGTCGTTCCGCATACCATTCATTACAATATCTCAGCAGTCCCAACAAGGATTCAGAGCTTTGAAAGTACGGCCTGCTGGTGAGCAGGTAGAATAAGACGAAGAGGGGTTTGTGACCTGGTCTGCTCAGAAATCTTTCGACCCTCTTGTCCGGATCGCGCGGGATAATTATCCAAGCCCAATTAGACACGTTCGCCTGTGTATGACCTCTCGCTGACAATTGTCGTAGAGTCGCCTGCCATTGTCGACTGTTGCATAGTAGACGCGCAATATCTGATCTGAGCTCTGGGATCTGACGGAGGATTTCCTGTGCAGTGATGACGCTGAGCTGAGGGGACCTCAACTGTGCTAGGAACCGCAGATTGGATAGCTTAGATTCGGAGGGTGTTTCGGACGGGAGGCGATACAGGTCGGCAGCATCGGCAAGGAGTAAGTCTGAGAATATCGATCGCTCATGGCGCACAATCCGTATCGAATCGCGCCGAGTTGGGGATTTCGGCGCTTCATGTGACTGGGAGGGGCGTCTGAACGGTTGGATTAGCTGCCAAGAAGGTGTTTGCTGTATTGCGGCGGCAGTATGGCTGGGCTGGTAGTTGTGCCGTTGGGATAGCTGCTTGAAAGAAGGACCATGTTAGTTACGATACTGAGAGAGCTTTCAAGGATGGAGGTAGTACTCACAGCTTGCCAGTCGCGGCCAAGCACCCATCGGCCCCTGGTCAGGACAATACCGTGTGATCTGGAAATGGGCGGCGGCCGCATTGCCCCATCTTCGCTAGTGAAACCTCGAGATCCCACGATTGAGATGCTGCGAGACTACTTAACGTTGACCTTAGGGGAGCTTAATGAAGTTCCATAGAAAAAAAGGTCCGGGGCCGAACGTCGCGAATGCGGGAAGCTTTACGCAGTGCATCACGTGCGATAAGGAAGCTCAATCGATAAGAAAAAAGATCCCTGCTTGGTGTACCTTAACCTACCTACGGAGTAAAGTTACTTAGAAACCAACAAGTCCCATCTGCGAAAGCTGTGAAGCAACGTTGTTTTTCTTCTCTTTGTCATTGTGTCTAGGAATTGCTCAATGGTGCCCAGAATCTCAAAATGCGACCTTCTCATTTCAAGATAGCGTCTTCGCTCAGTCGGGGGCTGCACACCGCTCGCTCCATGCCCCGCCAGCGATACTTCCATGTCACAACACCAGCGAGCATGCCTCGGAAGCGGACTTTCTTCACCTCGAACGTTTACCTTTCCCAGAACACTGGCGAGCCGACCGCGAGGCCACCGAGGCAAGAAGATGACGATTCGTCTCAGCTCACAGCACCAAAGCGTAAGGGGGTGCGCTCCGCCGGCGCAAAGAACTCCCTACGACGCGTAGCGATCATCGCCCAGCGACCGGCGCAACGAGAACCAGGAGAGGTGCCTGCAGAGGTGGTGGATGCATCTGCACCCACACTGATAAGCGCCGTGTGTGTTGCCGAAGCTTTCAATATGAAAACGGTTCTGGACATTCTCCGGGCGCATGGGTTTGACATTGATCCGTACCAGAGCGGGTTCGAGGCGAGCGAGGTGGTCCACGCGCGAGGCGTCAATGGCGGTGATATCTTCGTTTTCCCCTCGGGGACCATTGTAACCTGGGCCCTGCCACCAGATGTTGTCACGAAGCAGTTGCTGAATGCGGCAGAAACGCCGCTGAAGCCGGCTCTTCGGGAGATGGAGGACCTGGAGTACGTGTCTGATCCGAGCAAGGAGACGAGCAGTATGAAGGGTGACATCGTAGTCCTGGGCACAAAACTCGAAGAACGAGACGGTGATAGGCTCGATACAACCCTCGCCAAGATTGCGTTTTCTTCTGGACTGGCCCGGAGTACAAAGCTTGCAGTGCTGGAAACCGCGCTGACGGCTTACTTTGAGAGCACCAGAAAGATTCCTTCCGTGCTATCAAAGGGTTCTGGCCTACCCTTGGGCAGGAAATTCATCTTGCAAAAGACGGGCGAGCTGTTGAGCCTCCGCGCGAGGCTGAATCACTATTCAGAACTCACTGACTCTCTTCCAGACATCTTCTGGGACAGCCGCTCCGAATTGGGTCTGGAAGGCTACTATGAGCAGGTTGGCCGGGCGCTGGACGTCAACGTACGAATCCGGACTTTGAACCAGAAGATGGACTACGCGCAAGAGATTGCGAGTGTTCTGCGGGAGATGTCGAGCGAGCAGCATAGCACGAGGCTGGAGTGGATCATCATCATCCTTATTGCTGTCGAGGTCGTCTTCGAGGTTAGGAGGATTGTGCTCGAGTACAGAGAAGAAAAGGAGGATGATAAAGTGGAAGCCTAGGATTGTGTTTATTCGAACTAGGTTATGCTGTTGAACTTTAAAAAGATACCCAACTCTATGATTAAACAAGGTTTCCAAGATATGTGCATTCAGTCCAATTTGGATATGAAGACACTCACAATGTCCTGCATAATTGGCTTGCCTCGGCTTTTGCTCATTTCATATAAGGCACAGGAGGTGACATTCCTTCAGTTCGTAGCTGAGGTACTTGAGATACCTAGTAAGTTAGTTATCACCAAAGAACGGCTCATGAGAAGTCCCTAAACTACTTCTACATGTTTCTTCTACTAAAAGGGCCTGATGCTCGAAAGTCTGATCCGACCCGCGAATAAGTAGTCCTAGTTGAACATGCTCATGCTAAGGTACCTTAAGGTACATGGATTGTGCAAAGTCACTTTCGAGATTCCGAGAGACCCTGCGCTAGCCGCTGCAGGAACGGCAACAGCATGGCACCAATTGTGGGATTGCGCTTACCCAATTAGATTCATCGACAATTGTTGTACAATGGCTGAAAGTAAACAATTGCTCTGAATACCAAGCTCTATTTCCAGGTGAACTCTTCCAGACTTTTGCCCTTTTCGGTGTCCCTCTAGCGAGACTATCTACGAAGTACTTTCAGGTCTTCTCAAGATCAGATCTTCCTCTCCTACCTACCTACGCCGTCCAGTACCTTCTATCTCTGCTAGGCCCTTTTCCCTGGAGAAGGAAACTACCTAGCTACAGGTACCTCGCCTTTCATTGCTCGTCGCGACTTAGCACATTTCAACCCAGTAATCTTACCTAACTTGGTTAGCTCGAGGGTCTTCATTCAACTCTTCCTCCACCTAGGCATCCCAATATTACTTGGTCAAATACCTTCCGGGTACAACATCGCGCTTAACGACCGAGCCTACTTCGCCTACGCGACTAGATCGCCAACCTTATTTTGGCCATTCCTGTCTATAGGGTCTCGATCACTTATCGCAACACACAATTGAGCCTCGATCCTTCTCCAGCATTGTTCGGCAAATAAAGCACCCACCAGGCAGGGGTTTAATGCGTGTGCGACACCCGGGCCGCGCCTACCTCGCCTCGCGGTGCCGAATCGACCATGCCTCCACCGCTTATTGGTATGTTTTCTTTGTCTTTTCACATCATGTTGGCTCGTATTCATCTCACTAACGTTTACCCAAGAGGAAATGGAGGATTTGGACGGCGGTCTACCTCACGATTGGGAGGAAGACCTAGATCTGCTTGCGGATCCCTTTCTCGCCGCTTATGACAATGAAGTCGATGAGGGGGAGCCCGAGCTAGGCAATGAGGTCTCCAACTTTGACGATCACGTCCCTTCTCAAGCCTTGGAAGCACCACCATCATTCATCGATGATGAGTTATCCCCAGCACAAATTCCAGGACCGCCGATGCCTGTCGACGCTGTACCGGAAGCTCCGTTACAGAAGCAGCCCATCTTCGACCAACATGGCAAAAAGATAGGCACTATTCTACCGGCGATGACCATCAACCCTCCGCGGAACATATCGATCGACATTCCCTCCAGCACGCTTACCAGACCGGCGAGTCTTTACCAAGGCGAAGAGCCGCGACTCAGCGAACGAGAATGGGTAGCGGTGCGGTCTTTGTTGCAAGAGACGCGGCAGAACAGTGACGATGGAGACGAGCAAGACTTCATTGACTTTGAGATTGAAGACTTCGCCGTGTACATTGACGCTACGGTACCGGGTGGCAAGCTTTACGAGGAGAGACGGTATCCCTGCGAGATGCGCCCCCTGCAACATCTGAGTATTCAGACCGCATGCACTCAGATGTACGTCGATGGTGTCTTGTCAGTGGGGGATAAGCGATTCTTTGTTAGGCAAATACCTTTCGACGAATTGCCTATCGGCAACTACGGGGTTTCCGAGGCCACAGTCGGCTCTGAGATTTGGATACGTTCCAAATATAACGTTGCCATCGCCGACAAGAAAGGCTCAGATGTTTACTATCGTCTTGGAAGTCCAGCGCCAGAATACCGACGCTATCATGCTGGGTTTCTCTGGATTGCAGATCTCGCGAAGCATGTAGTAGACTATCTCTCTGCGGCTATCGAGCAACGCCGTCGCGTGACGTTCCGTGACTTCCGATCCAACTTTTCTCAATGGCTCGCGGAGACGCATGGTAACTCGAATGCTTTCTCCAAATGGCGGCGGCAATATTCCGGAGAGGACTTTTGCACAGCAATTGTGCCGAATGTCGAATTCATCTATAAGGAAGCTTACGGGGTCCTTGGGCACCATAAAGCCACAACGATATATCTCTGGAGAGAGATTCGCGAGTTCACTGCATTCGCCGATAAGCAGAACAAGACGCTCCAGACCGCTGACAGTGACGCTTCCACGCCACAAGCTTCACCGTCGCCAACGCCGACTCCAAAAAGACACAAGCCAGCTAATATACCCAAAACAGTGGTAACTCCTTATATCAACGACCTGTTCCATCATTTACCCTGTGGGCCGATGATGGTGGCAAACAGTCCGAGCGCAAACGTGGAAAAGCTCCGGAAGGGCGTCATCAGGGGCCTGGGCTTGGAGGAGGCTACCAGAATTCACACGACAGCCAAGGACGTCTTTGAGAAGCCTGGACAGGAAGTGCGAGTTGGAGATGTGGTTTCAACCCACAGAGACGACAACGAAGACCACTGGGTTCGAGAAGATGGTACCGGATTCAATGACGTCGACTGTTGGTTCGGGCTCGTTCAGAAAGTTCATCATGTCCACAACTCGCGACAGAAGAGTTTTGACGTCATTTGGATCTATACCCCTACGCATACGCTCTGCGGCACCATGAGGTATCCTTGGAACAACGAGTTATTCCTGTCGGACCACTGCACCTGCGGCGATTCTTCCGTTGGAAAGATCAAGGAGGACGAGGTATTGGGGGTCCACAAAGTAGACTGGGGAGGCTCGTCTGGAACTGATGCGGAATTCTTTTGCCGCCAAACCTACCTCCACCAGGAGCGCAGGTGGATTACCTTCAAGGAGAACCATCTGCGATGCCTTCACCGCCGAGATTTACTGGAGTTTCCTTACCGAGTTGGTGATACCTTGCTGGTAAGCCTAGAGTCAGATGACGCCACAGCCGAGCCCTGCGAGTTGACAGCTCTCCCCAACGCCGACGGCGTAGCAACGTTCCGCCGCCTGGAGCGCAGACATCGTCTGCAGCCTGACATGAATGTTCCGCCGAATGAACTAGTCTACACCGACGAGATATTTACTCTGAAGCAGAGAAAGATTCATGGTAGGTGTCTCGTCCGAGTCTTCAGTCTAGGAGAAAAGATACCACCACCATACGATCGGAACGGGGTGGGCAATGCCTTCTTCATAACGCAGCGATGGCAGGATGGCGCCATGGTTTCCGTTGACGATGCTCCAATTTCATCGCTTAGACAGGCATTTAATCCCCAGAAAGTATTCCACAAGCTTCGGGGCTTCGACCTCTTCTGTGGAGGTGGAAACTTTGGTCGCGGCCTTGAAGAAGGCGGGGCTATCGAGATGAACTGGGCCAACGACATCAACATTAAGGCCATCCACACTTACATGGCCAATGCTACCAATACCGTTCACCCTTTCGCCGGATCGATTGACGACCTTCAACGACTTGCTCTTCAAGGAAATTTCAGCGAAAAGGTCCCTGAAATCGGGATGGTCGACTTCGTTTCCGGTGGTAGTCCCTGCCCTGGCTTCTCACGCTTGACAATTGACAAGGCCACCCCCGAGCAGCGCAAGAACCAGTCACTTGTGGCAGCTTTTGCTTCGTTCGTTGACACGTACCGACCTCGCTATGGCCTGCTGGAGAATGTCATGGAGATCCTTCAGCCGAAGGGACGCCGAGGCGAGGATGTGTTCAGCCAGTTGATTTGCGCCCTCGTCGGGCTCGGCTACCAAGTAGAGGTCTTCTTGTTGGATGCTTGGAATTACGGATCGCCTCAAAGTCGAAGCCGGATTTTCTTATGCTTTGCTGCGCCTAACCTCGCTCTTCCCGACATGCCTCTCCACTCTCATTCCCACTATACGGATAGGATTCGCAGCCGAGGACTGGGCTGGATCCCAAACGGCGACTCAATGGTCGACCGGCTGGTAATGCCTACCCCGTTCAAGTTTGTCAGCGCACGAGAGGCGACGGCTGATTTGCCTGACATTATGGATGGAAAGGCAGACTATTCCATCAACTTTCCCGACCACAGAGTCGCCGTCGGTGTCACTAAAAGATTACGCACGCAGATGGGTGTCATCCCCATGCACCCCTACGGAATGAATTTTCGCAAAACATGGGATAAAGGGGAAGGAGTCATGACACTGGCGGAGAGGAGCCTCTTCCCGGAGAAAGGTGAGAGGGTTAATGATTCGATCTCCAACTCCTGGGGACGAGCTTTACCAGGCAAGGTCATGCCAACGATTACGACGGTTCCCGCACCTACGGATGCCCGCATCGGATTCGTCATGCATTGGGAACAGGATCGCGTTTTGACCGTCATGGAAGCCCGGCGTGCCCAAGGCTTCCGAGACCACGAGGTCCTACTTGGACCTCCCAAGGACCAATGGAAAGTGGTCGGAAACAGTGTGGCTAGGGAGGTCTCGCTGGCCTTGGGTCTTTCCTTTCGCCAGGCGTGGTTGGGATCTCTTATTGACGGGGATGAAGTCGCACCAAGAGTTCACGTCGAACACGACCTCTCTGATGATGTGCAGATGATGGACACGCCGCCTCTAGCAGAGTCCGGTGCAAGCATCTCTGGATCGGCATCGCCAGCTTCATCGTCAAGTCGCGCCGTGCCTGCTAAACGTCCCCTTGGAAGCACACTCTTGGTTGGGCGCTTCACGTCAAAGATGACGAAGTCGAGCCGGATGCAAACGGCAACACACTCTTGGTTGGGCGCTTCACGTCAAAGATGACGAAGTCGAGCCGGATGCAAACGGCAAGCGGGAGCAGGATGACAGTAGAGGCGGAGGGTGGACGTCGGGCCGAGATGCCGACAACCATTGTAACCTCGGACATTGAGATCAATGAGATAGACTAGGCGTACAGATTCTGGGCCGGCATTGATGTGGTTTACGGTACATTTGCATCTTTGCGCGACAGAGCGCAGAGCTCTCGGGCATTCTTTGTCTTGAATCCTACCTAAGGAAGAGGCAACACTTGGAGGCACTGGAAAGATAGACAAAACGCATAGCAAAGGGGATACGATTTCGAGCTTTACAGGATGATCAAATCATGATCAATTAATAGAGACACTATAACGATGAAGTATTCTTTCTATATTGTGAGTGAACAAAGTGCTAAACGCGAAAATAAAACAACGCTATTTCCCCCGGCCCAAGATTAGGTATGTAAATTTGATGGCACACATGTTTGACTGGCAACCTCCTCCTGATGGCATCCTCTTCAGCTCCTAGTCACCGTAATAGTGACAGTCTCCTTCTCTTTCTCGGTCACAGTCACAAACACCGTCAAGACGGACACACCCTGCTGAGCACCGACGGCCGGCATCGAAAGAGGTTTCGGCGTAGTAATCGGGCTCGGCGCGTCCGCGGCGGCGGAGGGGGCGTCCGTCGGGATGGGGTTCACGATGAGGGTGTCGGTAAACGTTCCCGTTAATGTCACGGGGGTGCTTGCTTTGGTTGTTGAGCTTGCTGCTTTTGTTGTTGTGGTCTCTGCGACTGATGACTCTATGTTGGTGGATTTGGCTGTGCTGGAGTGTACAGTCTTGGAGGTCTCTTCTTCCACTGTTGAGGTGCGCGTTTTATGGGTAGACGTCGACGTGGTTGGATCTTCTCCTTCTGCTGATGTCGACGACGGCGCGGGAGCCGGGGCCACGGTCTGGGTAACGACCACGGTCGTCGTGAAGCCCGAGGCCTGACCTGCGGATGTTGTTCCTGGGGCACCTGTTGCGGTCACCGAGATGGTATACGTCGCGATCACGGTAGGCGTGATCGTGACAGTAGTCTCGTACCCGAGGTCAGAAGACGCCGACGGCGGCGCCGGGACCGCAGTGGCAGTCGTAGACGTCGTCGAACCAGGCACAGAAGCAGACGCAGAGACCGGCGTGCCCAGGATCTGGCTCGCGACCTGGGGATCATAACACCCGACAATCACGCCCTCAGTCGTCGTCATCGGCAGCGCGAAGCACGAGGTCCCCGCCCCGCAACTCTGTACCGCGAAGGCGCCGCCGTTGGCTCCGCAGATGCCGACGTTGCCCTTGACGCAGGCGATTTGGCCGGCCGTGCAGGCGGATTGCTCTGTTAGCGAGGCGAAGAGGGTGTTGAAGGTCTTTGCGGAGGCGAGGTTGTTGGCGGCCACGGCGGGGGAGATTGTTGCTGTTGCGGATGGGGTGGAGGTGCGGATTGTGGGGACTTGGTTGTTTGGTGTTCCTGTTACTTGCGGTTGGGGTTGGAGTGTTGATGAGGGGGGTGAGGACGTGGTTGTTGGGAGGGAGGAGGGGGTTTCTGGAGAGGGTTGGGGGTTTGGGAGGGTTGTTGATGCTGTGGTGGGTGTTGTGGAAGCATGTGATGAAGGGGGGACTTCAGCTGTGGTTTGTGACTCTGCTACTGAGGTCTCTCCTGGGACGGGAAACGAGAATGAGAGGGAAGACTGCAGCGGTGTACCGGGGGAAGCGGAAGAGGAAGCACTTGGAGGTCCGCCGAGATGTGGAGTGACTGTTAGACTCTCCGAGACACTGGCTGAAGCAGAGGCCGTGTTACCAGGTACTACGGACGACACATTCTGGAAGCCGGAGGTGAGGTAGGGCGGCAGGGAGATGGTGCTGTCCATGGGAGGCAGAAAGACCGCCGAGGTTGTGGTCGGTATCGTCTGCGTCTCTACGGTAGACTCGACCGGTGTCGTAGAAGGACTCTGGTCCACAGGCTGTGTTGTTGCGGCCGAGGTCCTCGTTGACGAGCCGTCGAGGGTGACGAAGATTGGGGTCGGCGTGGTCCCATCTTGGTCTTGCTGTGTTACCGGCGGGGCAACAGAGCTGCTTGGTTCTCTAAGTTTGTGTAAGTGTTGCTTCTGAGAGACAAGAGAGGTAGTGGGGCTGTACGTTGAGGATGATAGACTGTCTGATGAAGCAGCAACGTTTTGACTGTAGGTTGTGTTCCACTCCCTCCGGAAACTGTGAAATTTTGTTAGTGGACGTAAATGGGTCCTGATATGGGGCATACTCACTACCTCTCACCACGTCTTAATGGGCCGGCCTGCGCGGTCTGGGTGATCAGGAGGAGCAGCACGACATCTGCTATGCGTAGACTGGGGAGCATTGTGGTGTTCTGTAGTGAGCGGCCTTTTGTGAAGAGATATTGACTCGGACTCGCTCTCTCCACAGGGTAGGAAGAATATTATGAATAAGAATTGGTATCGATACCGCGCGTTGCCTCGCTCGCAGGCAAGCCAAAGATGGTTGAAAGAGAGCGGGTACAGTTCTGGCGTCTAGGCACACAAAGGCGACGATCAACAGAGACTGGGAACAGAGTAGGAAAAGGCAACAAAGGACAAGGAATGACGACGTGGAGAAAGGAACTGAGAAACAAAACACGAGAAAAGACGGAAGAGAAAGGAGAGAAAGAGAGAGAAAGACGTCAATATGACTCGAAACCACTGCGGATAGGCGAAGGAAATGATTGTATGACGGGGTGTGCTCGACAACTCGTCGGGAGGATGCAGGCTCCATCTTGTATGACTGGACCTGACGGCAAGGTAAGAACAAGAAGCGGTCCAAGGGTCTAGAACTCTCAACCTTGTTGTGGCCCATTCAACACGCCGGGCTGTGAAGGCATTCGAAACACTTTTAGTCTGCTGGGTCTGGCCAAGGTTGGATATGGAGCCCCCAGCTTTAGATGAGGGCCCGGCAACTTGGGGACGACGTCGTCCAATGCCTTGCATATCTTTCCTACTTGCAGCCGGGGGAGTAATCGGATGTTTAATTGGTGGCCAAGCAAAAGACCGATTACCTAGAGCCTAGCTCATGGAGTCCCTCGCAAGGTTGCCGGGGCCGAGATGCCATTGCCGCGAGACTGGGTAGTACCCACGCACCGTAGCCGTAGCAGTAGCAGTAGCAGTAGCGGTGGGCGGGCAGAAATGGTTTGCTTAAGCGCCTCTCACAAGGAAAAACAACGTCGATACGAGGTCTCTGGTGAGAGGAACGGGTCACTATGGACTAATTATGAAATGAGAAGGGGTTTTCTTGGTTCTTGGTGTCCTTGTGGTTTTGTGTCTGCGTCTTTGTTTCTGGAGAGGGCGATTGCAGACGCGCGGGAAGCTATTATTGGCAGCTTGGAGGATCCCTGTAGTCTTCCCGTGCAACAGCAGCCAATCATTGGGGCGGCGCTTACACCACCTGGAGCAATGTGGAGACCAAACGGTGCACGCCTGGCCCAAGCTTCACTCGTCGCCTCAGTCTAATAAAACGACTCACTCACTCTCACTCGCTCACACTCACTCACCCTCCTCACTGCTACTCACTCACTCATTCACTCTTATTCATAAGTCGGCTGCTTCTCACAATCGGTGAGGTCTTCAAGCCTTCTAGTTTCCGTATAATCTCTTCGGTTCTTACGTCATGTTGTCAACCTTCATGACACTTCAACGGGTCAGCCACAAACACCTCCTGCCTGGTGGCTTGTTTCGACCGAGTCTCATGCCATGACGGTCCTGAGTCCTGGACAGATACCATACGAAGCCGAGTCACAGATTGGCTCATGTTCAACCAGTGTTCTGACTTCCGATGTCCGTCGTCATTGTGACTGTCGCCTGCCGACAGTCTCGCGACCGAGACCTTTTACTGAGCATCTTGGGTCTACGTCACTCTCTACTATCGAGACTCACCACTTTCAAGACATTGGTGCATCCTCACTTAACTATGTTTCGTCTCCATGAAGAAATTCACAAAGGTTGACCAAGAAAAGGCCCATGTACGTACGCCTTAGTTTTGCGTATAACCCTGGTAACTCACTCCCACGTCCTCTCCTGGCTGCTGGCCTCAACCTGCCTTTCCTCGCAGCTTTCCTCCAAGGTTTCCCAAAGTCGAGCGCGAGGTAGATTAATAGTATTCCATCATCCAAGCAGATGAGATTGTGCAGCTGTTCAAAGTCTTATCACAGTATGATTGCCCAAAGCACGTGGGCTGCCAATGTCGTGCCACCTTCCCCTCTCGTCTCCAAAGCCAAGGCAAAGACCGGGGGTTCAAAGTCGTTGGAATATGCTTCCCTACCTCTGTCACGGGCAGCACGTTGCCCATCGCGTAGCATCTATTGGGACAAGCGGGGATCACACTCCCACCGCCAAGCCGTACCCCGGGCACCACGGCGTCTTGGCCCTCAGGAACGCTGCGAAACATCCGCAGCAGGTGACGGAATCATTCGTGTTTATCCTCCTGATGAGCTTCGAGCCGTAGCGCACTACCAAATGCATGGCAGCTCCTTCCAGGGCTAGTGATATCGCATTGTAATACGCACACCAAAACCATCGAGACACTATTGAATATGATCCGTCATGCCAAGTATGTACGCCGCAACGACGGCTGCAGGCGGCACAGAACACGACGAAAGATACTACAACGCGTAGAAGCAGGCCAAGAAATTTGAAGATGAAGAGTTATAAGAACCAAAATGATGACTGCAACCTTGATGGCTTCTCTCGAATCTCCATGATCCATTCATCGTAGCAATTACTTCCAAGATGCGTTCTTCAGCCGTGGTCATTGCCGCCTTGGCAAAGTCTGTTCTGTCGCTCCCCGATGTCAAGAACTTCATCTACATCGTGCCAGATGGATATGGTCCCGCCTCTCAGACCATGGCAAGAGACTATGTTTCGTTGCTCCAGAATGGTCAAAATCCCAAAGCACCTGTGAGCTTCCAGCTTGCTGCTGATAAGATGGTACGTTGAGAATACATAGACTTCCATGCTATTCATCGGCACTGACAGTATTCAAAGGTCCTCGGCAACGTTCGCACTCTCTCCAGCGACAACCTTATCACGGACTCCGCCGCCTCTGGAACCGCCTTTGCTTGCGGTGTGAAGTCTTACAACAACGGTACGCGGGCCTCGTGAGAACTCGACGGTCTTTCACTAACACAAACACACACACGACAGCCATCGGCGTCAACCCCGCCGGCGAGCCCGTCGGTTCCATCCTCGAGGCCGCCAAGCTCGCGGGCATGAAGACGGGCCTGGTCGTCACCAGCACCATCAACCACGCCACCCCCGCGTGTAAGTAAACCCACCGCCAAAAGGAAAAACCCCCCTCATTTGTCATGTAAGACCCCACGATCGATAAACACCACTGATAGGCATCCAGGCTACGCGGCTCACGTTGCCGATCGCAACTCGTACGCCAAGATCGCTGAGCACGAGATCGGCTACGGGCATCCGCTCGGCCCCGTCGCCGACATTCTCCTCGGAGGTGGCCGGTGCTACTTTAAGCCCGAGTCCGACTCTTCCTCTTGCCGGAGCGATGAGATTGACCTCTTTGGCTTCGCTCAAGAGAACGGATACCATGTGATGCAGAACCGTTCGGCTTTTGACGCTCTCGACAAGGGTCTCGGCGACATTCATCTTCCTTATATTGGTCTCTTCAATGATGGTAACTTCGACAACTCTTACCTTTACGGCGGAGACCTAGATACTAACACACCCAAGGCCAGATGATGTACGAAATCGACCGCTCCCGCCAACCCTCACAAGAACCCTCCCTCCTAGAAATGGTCGAGACGGCTCTCAACTCCCTCCACCGTGACACTCACTGCAAAGAAGAGGGTTACTTCCTCATGATCGAAGCCTCGCGCATCGACCACGCAGGCCACGCCAACGACCCGGCCGCCCACCTCTTCGACACGATCCACTACAACGAGGTCATGGGCTTCGTCCGGGAGTGGATCGACGAGCACCCGGACACCCTGCTCGTGTCGGCTGCCGACCACGAGTGCGGCGGTCTGACGCTCAACGGCTTCAATCCCCTTCCACTGGCCAAGGTCAACGCCTCGACTGAGTTTCTTATGGACGTGTGGGATGCGTACACCGGCTCTGATAAGAAGGCTTTTCTCGTGAGTGAGATTCTGCCCGAGTACGGGCTTGCTGATGCCACGGACGCCGAGGTGAATACTCTCCTTGCCGCTGGCTCGCTGAGTTCGGAGCTGGGGAATCTGTTGGCTAGTCGTGCTGGTGTGAACTGGTCTACGGGGGGGCATACCGCTTCCGATATCACGCTGTACGGCTACGGTGCTGGTGAGAATGGTATTGCTATTAAGGGTGACATGGCTGGGAACTGGGATAATACCGAGTTGCCAAAGTACATTGAAACGGTTCTTGGCGTTGACATGGGACAAGTTACGGCGTTGCTGAGGGCTAATGGCACGGAATGGGTCGGGAAGCGGGATTTGAGCCGACGGTCTGATGAGCATATTCATGGACATGGCCATTCTCACTAGGCTGAAGCGTTCAAAGATATTGAGGCCGATCGGGACAAAGTCGAATACTAGTTTCTGGTACATTCATCTCTTCCGGAACACATTTAAACCCAACGGACAATACGTTGGACATGCTAGTGACTGCCTATGCCCGCTGTGGTTTCTCCCACATCTCGCTTGAAATTTGGTCAAGCAGAATGCTTTATATCATCATGACACAGGCTTAATATGGCTACCAGGTATACGCTGAGCCGTAAGTCTATCGTTATTCGGCTTCTTGTCTCTAGATACAGCTCGCCAAACGCCTTCTAAAAATATGGTACTCGTCTTCTCCCACCGTATCATGACAATCCCCATCTTGCGATTCAAACGCCACATATTGCTCGATAAACTCCTTCAGAGGACGTATACGTAAGGCTCAGACCCGTCCTTGGGTCTGTGTTTGCCTTGCGCCACGCGCCTGTTATGCACCAAGTAGACAGCTTCCTGCAGCAAGGCAAAGGCCATGCCGATTGAGACCATAATAATCATCGTCAAAAGACCTTTGTCGTAGCTATCACAAATCCATCAGTCAAAGCTGTAGTGAATTGACGGGAAGAAACTTACAAAGGCAGATCGTTACCCCTGAAATACTGAGATCCCACCATCAAACCACTAATGGCTGACATGACCCACATGCTTCCTCGCCTGTCAGCTTCTGCTAGATACCTCAAGATTAAATGGCAACTTACGCGATGCCGATGCTGCGCTCTCGGGGATCACGGCAGTTGACCTGCAGCCAGGTATTATGCGCCGGATGGTAGCACACAGCAAAAGCGTTGATAGCCGTCCACAGCCCCCATCTCGACCACTTCCCGACGTGTGGATGCACGGTCCGAGCCACCACGAGTATCGTCAGGTAGCACACATGTCCCAGCAGTACCGTCGATCCTCTCTTATTGGACCGATCACTCAGCATGGCAAAGGCAAAGACCACAGCCATGGCGAGAGACGCGCCAACCGCGGCTAGGGCGTTTGCGCTGATGCGGTCGAAACCGAGGGCCCTTGGAAGCAGTTTAGATTGCCGTCTTTGATCGTCTGTAAAGAGAGAGAGAGAGGAAGAGGGATGACTTACATGATGATGGAAGGGGTATACGTCGTCAGCGGCGACCACGTCGAAAAGACGCAAAAGGTGGAAACGTAGTGCGGCCATCTCTTGTAGTGCTTGACTGTCTTCCAGACGAGTGCCCAGGGAATCTCGATACCGTGTACTCCATCACTTTTCCCAGGCTCCTCAATTTGCATTCTCTGTCGTAGAATTTCTTGTTGTCTCGTCGAAAATCGAATGAGGCCTGGACTTCCCAGGGGTTTCGGCGTGTCGGGTGATCCAGGCAGGAGGAAGATGAGCATCATGGCAACAACTAGAGTCGCCAGGCCCTCAACTACGACAACCCATCAGAAGAGTCCGTAAACCAAACGGACTAAAGAACAAAAGAAAGGAGAAGCAGGTCCAGCACTCACTTAAGAAAAGCCACTGCCAGCCTGTCAATCCGCCTTTCCCCGCCAACTTTAGTATCCCAGAAGCAAGGAGCGGACTCAGGGCGTTGCCGCCAAACTGCCCAAACATGAAGACGGCGATGCGCTTGGCCAGCTCGTGTTTGGAGTACCAGTTTGACAGGGTGTACATTGATCCGGGTATGTATCCGGCCTCGGCGAGGCCGAGCATGAGACGGATCGCGAGGAAGCCTGCGCGGTTCTTGACGAGGACTTGGAGCGTGGCGACGGTGCCGAAGAGGAGGACTTGTAAGGATATCCATTTGCGGGGGCCAAACTGTTGGGATCGGGGTTTAGCATAATGCCAACTTTTGAAGTGAAGGCTTGAATATGAAATTGCAAAGAGAGAGTGAGAGCAGTATGGACTTGATTATGGGGGACGTACCCTTTGTAAGAGTAGATTACATGGAATCTCCAAGACGACGGTGCCCATGAACATGAGCTGGTTTCCCAGATTGATTGTGTCTTGACTGACGTCGATGTCTTTCGCGAAGCCGGCTGTAAGTGCTGAGGCTAGGTTCATGCGGTCGAGCTGGAACATGAGTAGACCCAAGACGAGGAGAGGGAGCACCGTCATGTCGATTCTGGAATCACAGCAAGTTAGCCTCACTCACCATTAAAGCTACATTTAAGCTTAAATCTTGGTATCACTGAGGAGCGGGGGGTCTTACTTCCTCTTGGCCCTTCGCTCCTCATCAATATCCCATTCCAGCTTGTCCTCGGATGCCACGACGGATCGGTCCGTCGGCGTGGTGCACACCATCTTATCATCTGTCGGAGAATTCATGGTAGTCGATCACGGCAAGTACCTTGCACCAAAGAAGAGACGACCAACATTGGCCATAAGATTCGGCTGAAATGCCATGTTCAAATGCTTTTGTCTCATATATCTGACCATCCAGGTTCTCCATCAGACTCTCACGATCCCAGCCAGCCCTGGACCATCTACCCATGTTTCCCCCACATTCTCTACGAATGCCCTCAAGAAATTCAGGGTTCGTGATGTAAGTGCTCGCACCTTGATGGTCTCCTACCTCATCTGGCCGGCATTCACAGATAAGCGTTATCGATAACAGCACATGCTTGTGACGGGTGACGGGAGACAACGTTTCCTCGCACGATAACGCCATCGGGCGCTAAGATGACCAAATCGACTTTCCACCACCACGGACAGCACCGGCACCCCTGCCCGACTACCCAGTCAGGCAGTTTACGACGACATGATTGGACTGTCTGGTAATCCGGTAGTGGGGTCCACCCCTGTTCCCCTCTGAACCCCTCCATCCGTCCGCTGCAAGCCGCTCCCAAACTCTCGGGAGGGCAGCTAAAAAAGTGAGAGGATTCGCACACTCTCGCGCGCTGGATCGACTGTCGCGTATCCTGCTCTTTCTTCCTTCTCGTTCTTCCATTGAAAGACTGTGATACCCTCTCTACTAGTCTACGTTGAAGATTTAGTAGAACGTTCGGAAAAGAAGCGACTCTCTGAGGAATGGGTGCAGTCAAACGAGTTGCCGTCATCGGCGCGGGGCCGGCCGGGGCCATCACCATCGACGCCCTGGCACGGGAGAAGACATTCGACGTCATTCGTGTGTTTGAGCGTCGAGAGGCAGCGGGCGGATGCTGGTGAGTACTTCTTCTTGTTCGTCGCAAGTTGTTGCCATTGGACTGTTGCGCGGGGTTGGTTGTACTCATATGGAGCTCATTGAAGTACCTTTGATGGTTCAAGCTGTTCCCTGGTGAAATACAATGGAACAGAACCAGGGACAATTAGAACCCTGATGGAGCTCTGGTACGTTATGTACCTTAGATCGCTGAAGCAGATGGTCAGTTCCTGCAGCCAATGAACCGCGTTATCAATGTCACAGGATCTGGCAGCCTGGGCGTAGAAGAGTTGGCAAGCGATGAGACGGAATGAATATGATACCGGGGTTAAACTAGAAGATGGGAACCTCAAAGACATGCACTAACACCTTCCGTCACCACAGGGTCGGCGACCAAACACCACCACCAAACCTGACAAACCTCTCCTCCCTAGCCGCCCGGACCGCCGACCAACCCCTTCCGATCCCAGAAACTCTCCCCTCCCGGACGCCGAAATCCCAGGCCGGCTCGGCCGCGGCCCCGCCGCGCTTCACCGAGTCCGGAATCTACCCCTACCTCGAAACCAACGTCGACGCCATCCCCATGTCTTTCTCCGAAGAATCCCTACCCGAACAGCGTACCGAAAACTCGATTGCCCTGCACGGGCCCGAGACACCCTTTCGACACTGGACCGTGGTGCGGGACTTTGTTCAGGGCTTGGTCAACCGCAACGGCTACCAGGATTTCGTTTCCTACCGCACCACGGTCGAGCGCGCTGAGAAGGTTGGGGACGAGTGGAAGCTTACTCTCAGGAAAGAAGACGACGAAGGGGACGACTGGTGGGTAGAATACTTTGATGCCGTCGTCGTTGCGACGGGGCACTACTGGGTCCCGTACGTCCCTCACATCGAGGGCCTCGAGGAGTTTGAAAAGGCTCGGCCGGGGAGCGTGATTCACAGCAAGCACTTTCGCGGACGAGAACAGTTCCGCGACAAGGTAAACATAGCCTGCTAAAACTCTCGTCAGCCGATCAAAGAACTAAAATTGAAAAACCCAGCGCGTCATCGTAGTAGGCGCCTCCGTCTCAGGCGCAGACATCTCAATCGACCTCGTCAAGACAGCAAAACTTCCCATCTACTCCGTCGTAAACGGCCGCAAAGCAAACCTCTATTTCGGCGACGGCGCCTTCAACCACCCTTGCATCTCGCGCCGCGCCACAATCGCCCGCATCGACGCCTCCACAAGAACAGTGCACTTCCAAGACGGCACCTTCGTGTCAGAAGTCGATAACATTGTCCTCGCAACAGGCTTCACATGGACCCTCCCCTTCCTCCCCTCCGTCTCGCTGCGCAACAACCGTGTCGTAGGGCTCTACCAGCACGTAATCTACCACGCCGACCCTTCGCTGCTCTTCATCGGCGCTGTGGCGGCGGGGCTGACATTCAAGATATTCGAGTGGCAGGCCGTTCTCGCGGCGCGCGTGCTGGCTGGACGGGCAAAGTTGCCGTCCAAGGAGGAGCAGGCGAGGTGGGAGGCGGAGAGGGTGAAGGAGAAGGGGGATGATATTCGGTTCTCGCTTGTGCACCCGCACTTTGAGGAGTATTTTGAGATGGTGAGGGAGCTTGCGGGCGAGCCGGAGAATGGGGTGGGCAGGGCGCTGCCGGTGTATGATCCGTCTTGGTTTCGGGTGTTTATGGACGGGCTGGAGTTGAGGAAGGAGATGTGGGTGAGGCTGAATGCGGAGGCAGGGGATAAGCTTGCTTCGGGAGGTGAGGCGGCGAATGGAGCTGGGAAGGAGGGTGAGAAGGGTCCTATTGTGAATACGATTGAAGCACCGCTGGAGGTACGATAGACTTGGAGATGTAGTACAAAAACGATCTGAAAAGTATTCATCTATCTGGCAACATCACAGGTAAAGGCGATACATGCCAGGGCATGACTGATAGTCCTGTGGTGGGCGCTGGATTTGCGACATCTTCATGGTGGTTTTTTTTTTGTGCCCGAGCATCAAGACTGGTTGAGTAATTTGAGTTGGCGATAGGTAAGGCAGCCAGTCATAACGATACCCTCGCAAAACCAAAGTCCCCAAACAAGTATTGGCTGCTTGTACTGACCACCATACGGTAAACATAGACTCGCGCTGCCTACCAAGGACGTTCTTACACTCAATCAAGCCACGTGATCATTGAGGATGACCCAGATCCTTTCGTTCTCTAGACGAACCAGATCGTCTCGCTAGAAAACACATTTGCAGCTGTTGGTACCAAGGGGTCGGGATAAGCGCTTACATGTGGGCACCGTCTTACATCAGACGACAGGCAATCATTCCCAGAGAGCTAACCGGCCACTCCTAGCTCGCGGCTCGCAGGCGAGTGAGATTCGAAAAGGGAAACCCCTCATGATTTGCAACTCAGGGAAAATAATGCCAGCGCATGGCCTCTGTTGGACTTGGCGCAGCTCACTGTGTGGGTTAAGCTGAGATGGCTGCGGTAGCTGTGCAAAGATGATCAAGAAACAAAATCGCATGTGAAAAAGGCCAAGATCCCATGCCGCAGCGGCTAAAACACGAGCAGTAGACTCACATATTGGAAGGAAAGAACCTCCCGATCAACACACAGCGATGGAAACCCAGCCCTCCAGTCCCCCAAAAAGGCGAGGCCTCAAGCGCCGCTTCACCGACCTCCACGTCGACATCATGAGTATCCTGCACGGGTACACCCCCTCACCGAGATTCCTCGTCAGCGACGTCATCGGGTTTATTCTCTTCACCCTCCTCGTGACAGACTGGCCATCCGTCTGGCGCGCGAAGCTTCTCCGAGCATTTCCCTTGGCACAAACAGCTTCCGAGACCCTCTCCAGCTTCTGGAACGCCTTCTGGCAGGAACGATGGCACCAGGAAGACCACGCGCAGGAAAAGACGGACAAGTGGAATCCGTCCTTGTACAAATCGCCGCCTCCGCGAATGCGATCCTGTCGTGAGGTGCTGAATCGGCAGCAGGCATTGCGGAATTGTTGCGCTGCGCAGATGACGGATCTCGAGGGGTCTGATGTGGCTAGGAATATGCTGCTGCAGGTGGCGTTGGCGTTTTGCTGGCTTTGGAAAGTGCTCAAGGACTATAAACGGCTCCTATGCCTGGTGGATGCCATAGAAACCGATGGAGAAGGGTATCGCGAGAAGATCGAGGGGGAGGTGCCGGTGGTTGTTTGTAAAGGAGAGGGAACCATGCCCGTGGCGCGGCGCGGATCGTCGTACTGTTGCTTGAGACGGCTTCAACGACATATTGATCGTGGACAAGGCCTGATTGACAAATTCGTAGAGCTGCAGATGTGTGATGGTACTGAAGATGCTCTTTGGACTGAGACGGAATGGCTAAGCGAGAAGGAAGGCGACATTCCTGCGGAAATGCTGCAGCAAGATCGGTTCCTCGTCAACCGTGTCGTTTTCTCGGCCGGGTTATCATGGCTCATGGTTGCTATCAGCTGCGACTTTGCGACCTTCTACTTCACTGTCTTGATGCGGCGATTAGGGGCTCGTTTACTGTCGTGGTGCAAAGTTGTCTGATATGCAAAACCTGTGAAGATATGTAACGAATAAACAACAAACACAGATGACGTGCTCAAGGGTAGTTCATGATAATGATATGTTATTGTGGGCATGTATTCATCAGGACTGTGAAATGGGATATCGTTTTCCATGTAAACGCCTTGCAATGCAAATGTCGACTCAGCGTCGTCTTCTGAACTTGCTGTTGTATCCGGTTCCGCCTTTCGCGCCGTTGTTCTTCAGTTTCAATCGCCGGAAGTTTGTGTGCGCCATCGCGTTCACCTTTCTGACAGCCTTCTTGACCGTCCCCTCTTTCTCTGTTTTCTTCTCAGTCTTCTTTTCTTCCTTCTTCTTCGTGGACTTGGCCTTGGGTGCCGATTCGTCAAACTCCGAGTCTGAGCCCGAGCCCGCGAGCTCATCATAATCGTCCTCTGGATCGCCACTGTTTTGTGTTTTGGGCACAACTTCTTCTTCTTCGTCGCCTTCTTGTTGATTCTCTTCCTCGGCGGGGGCAGATGGCCGTTTGACGTGGACAGGCTTCATGTTGGATCTCCTCGTAGTTCGTTTCTGCCCCTTCTTCTTGAATATCCTCAATGGCATTCCATCACGTCCCACCTGCTCTTCATCAGGACTGTCGTAAAGAGCCTCTTCGTCAAATCCTCCCAGGGGTAGGTTGACCCGACTGTCTGCAGCGAGAATATCCGCTTTCGGCTTCGGATGTACTTTCGGCTGCATAACTTCCCCTTCTGCCTCCCGCAGAGCTTCGAGTTCATCTTCGTTGTCCAGGTTATCTTCTTCCACTTTTCTAAGACTTGCCACGATGGCGCTGAGGCCACGGACCAACGGCTTCCGAGGCAGTCGGAGTGGTGGCGCTGCAAAGTCTTCGCTCTTGCTTGGTGGTGGTTGGGTATGTCTTTTAAGAAAGGACGGGGTGCTGAACTGAAGCTTTGAAACAGTTGTAGGTGTTTTGGCGTCTGCTGCAGGAACAGCTTTGTTCTTCAGGGGTGTCATGAAGCTGTCTAGCATTTGTCGTTTGCCCGTGGACATTGGCGTCCGCCCAAACTTCGCATCGTCCTCCTCGTCCATGGGCGTTGCACGTTTTCGCGGTGTCGTCATCACTCTGGCATCAGCAGAGGTGTTGATATTCATATTCTTTCTTGACGGTGTGCCGAGTTCACGCTCTACCATCAGGTCGAACAGTCCTAGTACACGGCCATCGCGCTGTGGTGTAGGTCCAATTGACCTTGGGGCTACAGGGCTAAAGAGGGTTCTGGAGATCGAAGGGGTGGTGGTGAGGCCGACATCTTCGGGATTCGTTCTTCTCTTCGAGGGCGTCTCAGTGTGCTTGTGTTTCTTCGACGGAGTTCTGGCAAGAGGAGGGATTTCGTCCTGCTTCTTCGGTCTCGGGACTTCTTTTGAAGGTGGAGGAACTTTTCCCGAAAGGATATCGCGGACTTTGTTGTATTGCTTGTACTTTTGCGCTGATCATCTGTCAGTCTTTGATCAGTTGTGTGCTTGAGGGAAGACAATGCTCACCTATATCAGCGTTACACTTGATATCGTCTCTGCCCGGCTTCTTTCCATCGTGGGACTTTGCCCAGGAGGTTTCCCACGTCTTTAGTTCGGCACGTAGTGTCTGTGACTGGAGCTCATACTCTGCCTTTGTTGGGTCGTCCATTGTGAGGCAGTCGCTGGCCAAGATGTATCTACGTCATTGAAGATTGGAGAAAGCACAAAATTAAGGTTGAGTAAGTGGTTTGGGTTGAGGTACGTAGTTGAAGATGTCCAGGGTGGATTTCAAGGTGGAGGGAAGCAAACGCGGTTGCGACGCGACAGGGGAAAACACTAAACACGAAAGATCCACGGTCGCCCAGCAGCACTTTAGGTACGTACCGCCATAAGGACTGCCCCACCACACCCGTTATCTTATCGGAGTTCAAGCTGCGTCCTTGCTGATTAACCAGCTGTTACACCACTGAAGTGACTGAGCGACATCGTCTTCTTCCTCCGTCATACACCACTTTCCTTCTCTTGGGCACGCTCTGCACCTGTGGCATGTCTGCCGAAGCGACATCCAGCGACAACTCGAGTCCACGAGATATTCATTCCGTCGTCTTGCAGACCACGCTGCAGGAGATCAACACCCGACCGAGGGATCTTCAAGACTGTTGCGTCATTTGCCTCGAGGAGATCACCGAAGGCTGTGAGGCGCAACCCTGCCACCACCACAATTTCGACTTCCTCTGCCTCGCGACATGGCTAGAACGACAAATAACATGTCCGCTATGTAAAACTGAGATCAAGGAGGTCCGCTACGAGTTTAGCGACGACCGAAAGCAATGGAAAACCTTCAAGGCCCCAGAAAGACCCTCGGATAAGGCTGAAGCCGCAGCGCATGCTTCTTCTAGTCAGCAGACGAGGCGGTATTACTCCCAAACTCGCCCACGGCGGTCACGGCCACATGCGCCTTCGACGACTCGACTCAACCCATCGCAAGATGAGGCAATCACCCGCCGAAGACATGTCTATCGACATCAGTTGTACTCGCTACATGTGGGCTCGAACCGGATATCAAGATACAGAGACTTGACTCCGCAAATGTTTGCCTCCGATACAGAGCTTGTCTCGCGCGCGCGTACTTTTCTCCGGCGCGAACTACAGGTCTTTGAGTTCCTTTCGCCCGACAATGATGCACGGCCACAAGATACCGACCCAGTCCGACGTCGCAGAGCCAACAACGCCGAGTTCCTGCTCGAGTACATCATCGCTATCTTGAAGACGGTCGATATGCAAGGCAGCATGGGCCAAGCCGAGGAGCTTATTCAAGAGTTCCTGGGCAGAGAGAACACACGACTGCTGCTTCATGAGCTTAGAGCGTGGCTGAGAAGCCCCTACATGTCGCTCGAAAGCTGGGATCGCGCTGTACAATATCCGGATGTTGCACCTAAGCGGCGACGGTCACAGAGTCCCAGCGCAGCCAATCGTGGAGAATCGTCCACAAGCGCCAACAGTATTTATCCTTCAACATGGAGGAGAGACGAGCGACGAAGGTATCGCAGGCAGCCTTACGAATCGCGTCGGTCACGGAATGACCAGAGACTACGAGAGGCGACAGAACGATATTCCATTGGTTAAGCCCTAGGAGTACGACTCGAACATAATGATACCCCCGGCCCTGGCTTTACACGTATTTGCGGCGGATCCTTTTGCGGAATTATTTTGCGCAGCGATGACAGAGAATACAAGCTTTGGAATGGGCCTGTGCTTTATTAGCTTGCAACTTGCAAAGGCGGCAGGCCCCTCGGCGGTGGAAAGGACAAGGGGCGCAATAGACTCCACGAATCATGAATGCAACGTAACAAATCAAGTGCCGAAATGCAGAGTGCCGAACGCAATCGGAACCTTCCCAGACCTGCCTTCGCCGATTTTGCACGGCTGAATAATGGCGGATGTGGGCTCCTTTTTGCTGATGAAGAGACGGGTAAGCTCGCTCGACATGGAGGAATCCCGCCGGCCTTTAACTAAGAGATTCCGGTCGGATCGGGCTCCGGGGTTGATTGGTAATCAACTAAAAGTCGGCCAGTTTCGGCGGAGTCCCGCCGTATTCGACGCCGAGGCCGATTTAACGACATATTTGACGTCTTGATCCCCATATTCCTCAATGATAAACCTTATTCAACCACGTCTGTCTGTGTATCCATATTCTCCTCGTCGATTAACAAGTTTGGGAGCGAATGAACGCCGCACGTCAAGCAAGCAAGATGGCCACCATTAACATCAAAGTCATATCAGACCCCGTCTGCCCCTTTGTAAGAGAAACTCTCCGACCTAGAATTCGTATGCCAAACCGACATCGCTAACGTCAAACGCAGTGCTACCTCGGCAAAGCCCGTCTGAACAGGGCGATTGACCTGTACAAAAAGACGTACCCCAACGGCAAGGACGACACCTTCAACGTGACATGGCAAGCCTACTACCTCGACCCGACGGCGCCCCCCAAAGGCGTTCCCGTCAACGAGCGCATGGCGGCGCGCTTCGGCGCCGACAGGCTGGAGATGATGCACGCGCGCATGAAGAAGCTGGGCGCCGCCGAGGGTTTCAATTTCACGTTTGGCGGCAAGATTGGGCAAACGCGGGACGCGCACCGGACGATCCAGCTGGCCAAGTCGAAAGGTCCCGAGGTGGAGAACGCGGTGATGGATTCGATTATGAAGAGTTATTTCGAGGAGGACGGGGATGTGACGAGCTGGGATATGATTGTCGACGCGGCGGTACGAGGGGGGTTGGAGAGGGATGAGGTGAGGAGGTGGCTTCAGGAGGGCAAGGGAGGGGAGGAGGTTGATAAGCAGGTGGAGGATGCGTATCGGATGGGTGTGAGGGGGGTGCCACACTTTGTGATTGAGGATAAGTATGAGGTTGGGGGCGCGCAGGAGGTGGGTGAGTTTTTGGGGCAGATTGTTGCGGCGAGGGAGAGGGGTGGGAGGGCGGCGGGTGGGCAGGATGGGCTTTCGTGTTGAGGTTCTCGTGGCATGCACACGGGAAGAATTGTATCGAGTGTAAGATACCTTGGGTCATGATGGAGTTTGTTTGAATTTTGGGGGGGGGGGGGGTATCATTTCGTAAAACAACCGTGGTAGAAACGCCCTCGTTTAATATCTCTCTCCTGTTCCCCCTCACATATTCAACAACGCCCCCAGATCCTTCTCCATCGCCCGCAACCGCTGCTGCAGCTCCCGCTTCTTCTTATCAAGCTCCCTCACAAACTCCTCCTCGGCCCGCAAATCCTCTTCCGTCATGACATCCTCGCCCACCACCTCCTCCTCATCCTCCTCGTCATCAAACTGCTCGTCGTCGCCCTCCCCCATCCAGTGATCCTTATTCATCCTCTCCACCGCAGCCTGGTTCTCAGCAACCTTGGCCTCGTAGTACGCCAGCGTATTCGTCTGGTGCGCGTACCGCGACCTCAGCTGCGGGATCCGCTCGAGCGCGCCAGGGAGAGCATACACGCCGCACAGTTTCGTCGCGCCCTGCAAGAGCACCTCGACATCGACGTCGCCCCCCTTGCTGGCGGCCTGGCGCTCGCCGCGGCGCAGCTGGGCGTGGAGATCGCCTCCGAGGACGGCGGAGACGGCGATGTGGCGGCGGGGTCCGCCTAGGCCGCTGCCGCCTGCTGCGCGGGAGGTTCCTGGTGGTGGGCCGGTCGTGACTTCGCCCGAGGCGACGTTGAAGACGGTTTGGCGGCGGGAGGTGGTGGGTTTCGCGGCGTCTTGCGTTTGTGAGGAGGAGGAGGATGTTGTTGGCGGTGGTGGGGGTGGGGGTACGGAGAAGAGGGCGCGTTCGTGGGCTTCGGTGTCGCGGATTAGGGAGGTGATGTCGGTGTTGTAGAGCATTGCGTTTGTGAAGATTTTGGGGGGTGGGAAGCTGTGCGTGTTTGTGTGTTAGCGTAAATGTCTTGGACGGGAAAAAGTGAGGGTATCTTGAGGAGGGGGGGGGCTGTGGTGGGCGTGGGAGGTGCGTACGGGAGCGAGTCGATGCCCTCGCAGGAGATGGCGATCTGCTCGAGGTGGACGGCGAGCATTGACATGGTGATATCGTGTTTTGAGAGTTCCTATGTAAGGATGTTGCGCTCTCTAGGCGTTGAGATTCGAGTTGTCACTTTGACAGCTGCGGGATGTTGACGTGGGATTTGGAGGTTCAATGTCAACAAACTGCCCCACCAAACACATGATTTGTTTCCCCAGTTGGAGAAGGAGCTGTTTGTCCCGCGACGTTGCTTGGTGCACGGACCATTTCTTGTTCATCCCAAAATCCCCAGTCTGGGCGTCAACTTCCCATCACACGCAGCAACTCTTCAACAGCTGCGATACTTCTAATCACTACATCCTCAGGAAGACCAGAGTCACGCATTATTTCGGTGAAATTGAGCCTTCGAATATCAGGCTATGGCTGAGACCGATGATTCTGCTGATGCTCAAGGCATCTCCTCGTTGGAAGGCAGTACGAAGGCATACGATGCTGTCGAAAGATTAACAAGACCAACTGCGTCAAATCCGACAGCCAAGCCTCTCCATGTCTTTCCCGCGCTTGAATCACTTGATGGACAAGGAAGTAAGAAGTCAATTCACCTGGACTTTTGGTGATGTATGGCTGCACGCGGTAGGACCCGAACAGCTCAGCTCGGTGTCTGCCAGATCGACATCCAGCCACTCACTTTGACACTTCCCCAAGAACGAACGGTCAGACCTTGGGCATTATTCACGAGGCTATCATTCCGTCCCAAACACATTCGACATTCAAGGCTGCCTGTTGCCTCGCCGGGTGAGGGTCGCAATAAGCGGCTTGGACCCTCGAGGTTGTGACTCTATCGGGTTGAACGTGCCGATTAGCTGGGCATGCAACGTCAGAAATGACGACAGATGAGCACTCTTATTGGGTCCTATGCGCGTCTGCTGGCTCTCCTTCAAAGGGCTGTTGGCGCTTGTGGTGCACTCTTGTTACTGCAGCCTGTAAGACGCCCACATGCACCTCAAACAGCCCCAACGCAAGGCATAGTTGCTTTCTCTGAATTCTTGTCATTTTCTGTTTGCAACTCCAACGGCGTAACCGTCACTGGCCTCTCCTCGTGTAATCTGTCAACATCGCAGAGCCTCGTACTATACCGATGGCATGCTTTCGGTTTCTTGGTGCACAGCCTGGATCTGACTGCATCGCATATTCGCTTATTCGCACCCCCCATCTCAGCCCCCAAAACCACACCGGATTGTCGACCTGTAAGGCAACAGAGAGAAGAGCAGGCAGCGGAGTGGCGCCCTAGCCGCTGCGACCGACCCCCCTAATTGGCGAGTGCCCCCCCCCCCTGGTCGAGTGACCAGCCAAGAAGGACGCCGTCGTCTATCCCGGCCCGGGTTCAGACCAACTCAGCCCTGCACCTTGGGTCTGCTTGTGTCTCTACTTCTTTTCTGGAGCAGAAAAATGTCTTACCCTTTTCCCCATGAAATGCTAACGACCGCTACGAGGGGGAACTAGGATCTCTAGTGTGTGGTTGGAAGTTTGTTCGTTTGTCTGACCGGCGCCGCCCTCCATCTCCATCTACTTCCCCACGATATAATGCCGCGTGAGCACCCACCGTCCATCTCCCGCTGGTCACTTGACCACATTCCTTTCCTGTCATCACCCTCTCTGTCATTCTCACTTTCGCCTTCTGGCTATTCTTGGCTCTATATCGTCCTAGCCATACCCATCATCATGGCCGCCGGCCTCTTCTCCATCCCAGGTTTGGGCGACAGGTTCGCGGTGCGGTATCGATCACGACAACAGAAACGGACCGAGCTGCATAGACAGAGGATGGGTTCGACACAGTTTCTCGGCTCCCAGGTGGGAGGCAGCTCCGTCATCAGCTACTCTTACACCGATTTTCCATGGAAGCTGCTCGCATGGGACATTTACTACTTTTTCCAGTACATCTGGGCTCTTCCATGGATCGTATGGCCTATAACCCCAGCCGATTCGGGGGACCTCGATGAGTTGGCTTTCACAAGGCAAAACATCTTTTGCGTGGGAATGCATCTCTTTCTCTGCGTTTTGCAAATTGCATTCATTCTGGCATTACCGTTTGCCGTCTTGTTGCCTATTTGGAGCGCCGGCCTCGCCTTCGGTGCCTTCTTCGCCGTCAACTATCTGCTATGCTTGTTGCTGAATGGGCCGACCCTCACCTACACCTCGGACCCCAAGTACGCACCAGAGCTACCGGAGCACGCTCACGAGAAATGGATCTTTTTGAATGGGGTTGCCGTAGGGTAAGTTGTGATCAGCCATCATTATATGTCCTCAGTGCATTTCAATATGCATGTTTAAGGACTCATATGGAGGGCATCAAACAGACTGACTAACACTGCATCAGGGACCACTGGATGAAGAACAACTTGAACAGACTTGCTCTCACCTTTAAGCGGCCAATCCTCGGTATTCACAACCAGACCTCGGGAATCCTCTTCGATGTCGTCGAATGTTTGATCCAGCGAAACTTGGGGTACGCGACCTACGATGTACGGATGTGCTATCGGATTGTCAAGGAAACGCTCTACAACCCGCAATACTCCAAGGTTGTCTTTGTCTTGCATTCGCAGGGAGGCATTGAAGGTGGTCTCGTTCTCGACTGGCTTTTGCAAGAACTGCCACAAGATCTTCTTGCCAAACTCGAAGTAGGTGATAACCATATATGCTGTATAACAACAAATTTAATTTTTTTTGACAAACCCCCAGGTGTACACCTTTGGCAATGCCGCAAACCACTTCAACAACCCCCATCGTCACGCAATGTCCCAGGCCCTCGCACAAAGCAACCCAGCCGCCATGACCTTGACGACAACCAGCATAACCCACGGCGACTTCGTGAGCAGTCCCATATCACCAATCGCCAACAGCGGTCAACAGCGCCTCGTCTCCAGCCACAGCACCGGAAGCAAAAACGAAAACAGCAATCCACGCACCCCCAGCATCCCCAAAGAGTCGTCGTCCATTTCCTCTCGATCCTCCACGGCCGCACTAGACCGCGCCATCGGCCACGTCGAGCACTACGCCCATACAACAGACTTTGTAGCCATCTGGGGCGTCTTGCACTTCTGCACCTCCCTCACGGCGGACCACAGCATGCCGCGCTTCATCGGGCGGTTGTTCGTAAGGGCCTCGGAGCGGGGTGGGCACCAGTTCTGTCAGCATTACCTCGACGGCATGTTTCCCCTCGCAAAGGACCCGGAGACGGGCGAGTTCATTGGTGCCGCGGAGGAGAGCGAGTTTATGGAGAGTGAGATTCAGGTTGGTAGGCAGGGTGATGCTGGAGCCAACGCGCGCGAGGCGTTTGAGGTTGCGTATCTGGGGAGGGATGTCAACAATGAGGTTGAGTTCCATGGGGAGCATGTCAAGGGACGGCATAGGAAGAAGACTGTCAAGGTGAAGGAGCTTTCGAGGTTGTGGTTGTATCGGAATGGGCGGAGTCCGCCTGAGACGCCGCCTTATTTGTATACGGAGAATGGGATTGTGAGGAATGCGACTTTGTAGGTGTGGAAATGAGGGTTTTTTTTGTTTTTTTGTTTTTTTGGTTTGGTTGGTGCAGGTAGTTTTATAGAATGATACCCTCTCATTGTTACCGCATATAGCAGGCACTTTCATGATACAATGGCTATTCCCTTGATGATGGCATCAGTTTCCATACAAGGCTTACAGGCCAGCGTCCCTAGCTGCTTATGAATTATCGTTTCAGAAGATCGTGCTGACAGAGTACATCCTATCCAGCAACGAGGACCTAGTCATCCTGGCGTTGAGGCTGCATTCAAAAATCCCCATACACATTACTACGAGTTCGTCAACAGAAAGAGACAAAACAAGTTGGAAAAACAACAATGGTCCGACCGATCGAGGCTTCAAACTTGAATCCCGAAATAGAACAGGAGACTTTACAGTTCTAGTTGGGGCCTCTGCGGCCTCTGCCCCAGGTGCTTGTTGTTGTTGTTGTTGTTGTTGTTGTTGAGAGGGTGGTGGTGGTGGTTCATCGGGTATAGAGCCTCGCAGGCTGTCTGGTGCTTATTCTGGGGTTGAGATGGGGCATCTCCTTTCGAGGTGAGGTATGCCGCATCCACGGACAGTATGTTATATAGGGATTGATGTGCTACGTTTTCTGTCCAAGTTCAGGCAGGTGTGTCAGAGATAGCCTTCTGAGGATATAAAAGGCGGGTAAATGTGCTAGGGACCTTTGATTTAGGCAAGGCAGAAAAGTGTTCTCCAGCGATTGCAGAAGATTGTTGTGGATTGCAATATCGTGTTTCATGAGTCTCTGCATTTCTCTATATCTCCATAAGTGGTGTGCAGGAGGTTCCGGTTACAAGTGCAGAAGGCATACCATCCGACGGTTTTTTCTTCCCGAGTCATGAGTCTTCGGCATTGAATATAACCAGAACGAGGAATGATTCTTGGTATTGAGTGCGTAATGGGTCGGCTGTGATTTGATAGCAAACTGTGATCCATTAGTCTGCGCTGGCATAGGTACGTCAAAAGGACCATCACGACCTACAATACCAAGTTTTGACGCCAACGGTTGGCAAGAGAAAGCAATGGAGTCTTGCAGCCAGATCTAATGTATAGGCTGCTCGTTCTGTAGTGAAATATTCAACAAGAGTAGGTGCAGCTAGAGTGGGGAAAACACCATTGGAAACGGAACACGTCTATGACTTTTGGTCCAGATCGATCAAAACAGAAGTAACGTACAACCATAAAATCATGACTGATTGAAGAGGATATCAGTCGTAGATCACATCCATTTGTCTTGGGGTTGCATTTGCGACGCGTAGTTTCCAACGAACCATCGAAATGTAGTAAGAAGGGAGGAATGCAGTAGAGGTAAAGAGTCTCTTCATACATGTATAATGTTACAGATACGCTGAAGTACTCGATTTCAGGCACATACGCACAGTAAAATTGGGGTGCAGACCTACAACCCGTTGCGTGAAGCTCATGTTGACCACACTGGTGATGTTTCCCCTCGGTGAAGTCACTCACCGAAACGCAGACGGGCAGCGGGCAGCGGGCCGATTGGGGGGGTCCATTCTGTGTGTGAGTGGAGCCTACCTTATCGCAATGACTCACCGAGTGGCGGGTAGTGGGCCTTGTCTTTTTTTCCTCGCCTGCAAGCTGCGGCTTTGCGGCTTGCCCCTGTCGATGAATGGTGGACCCTGATAAAAATCGGCTGGGAAACGACGATGCCAGCGAAAACACGCATGCCCAACGGGGATCCATTCATTCATGTCGGGACCCATGTCTATCCGTGTGTAAAAATGTACTTGTTCAAATCAAATTGCTTGGGCTTGACATGTGCCCAGTTTGTGAAACTCAGCCTGGCTCGGTTTTTCTGTTTCCCGCTTGGATGACCTGCTCGAATCATTTCAGGTATTCCCCCTTATTTAAGCAGTGGCATGACACTCGTCTGTTAGTCAGACTGCTCACTTCCGTGGAAAGGCAGATGACTGGACTGGGTACACCGCCGCAATATTAGTACAATGCGCAATGTCAGCCAAGAGCTATTTCTGATGAGCCGCGCAAAAAGCAAGGCGGCTCGCGCAACGGTGTGTGGCGCGCGTCCCCGAGAGAGAAAAAAATGTTGTCCTCGATGGGAATGCCGCCCAACAAAGGGACAACGAACAATGATGTGGATCCATCCCATGCCGAAGCTACCTGCTTTATAAGGTAAGGAAGATAAGTCACGGTGAAGAGCTGCCGTGAGTTAATGCATTAGAGCTATCCAAGACCGGAAAGCAGGGGACCTCGCGCGAATTCTAGCTGCGGAAAAAAAAAAAAAAAAAAAAAAAAAAAAAAAAAAGGTCAAGAAAAAGGTCCGCTTGCCTCAGCCCTGGCATCTGGTTCGCGGCGTTGCGGCTCGCGCCATCTTCAAATCTTGCCAATCTTTTTTATTATCGGGCCGCCGAAGATTGACGCAAGCCGCTCCCTGCGCCTTCGGGATACCCACCGATTCCACACACCTGCTTGTTTTACCACGCCTGCACCGCTTGGGAGGGGTCCATCAGAGCGGCAAAGGAGGGGGTCCAAAGGAGGCATGTTTGTGGCAGTTTGTGGTCCAGAAACGGGTGTGGACGGCTCCATAATAAAAATTGGAAATAACCCGAGCCGATCTCGAATTAGTTTCGCCATCTTTTGCGCATTTTCTGCCCTACGCGCCTCCCTATCAAGGGTGTGTAAGGCCTATCTACGGAGTCCTCAGGCGTCTTTTTTGATAAGTGACTGGAGGGCGAGAGATGATTTTTCATACAAAGAGGAAGGGTCTTTCCTCATTTATCGCCTTCCGACTAGCAAACATCCCATTAGGAATTGTTCCCCCCCCCCCCCCCCCCCCCCAACCTTTGGAGCTTACTTGAAGGCTCCTCACATCCAACATCACCATCAACAACAACAACAACACCAACAACGCCAAAAGGCATTATACACACCACCAAGCCATGAACTCGGTCCACATCAAGCACGGCTCAATTCGACAGGGCAAGTTTGACATTTACTGGAGCAAGGACAATGAGTGGGCTATCATCGACGACGAGGAGGAGGAGAACGAGCGCAGGCTGAAGGAGGTTCATCGCCTGAGCACGCGATACTGGAGCGCTGGTCTCTTGGTTGCCCTGGTGCCCGCTATGTGCGGTCTACTATGGTGCTTCCGGTAAGCAATTATTGTCTTCCGCGTATTTCGGATCTCACTCACCAACACTTTACCTCAGATTCAGAAGACGCCTCTAAAAAGTGTCGCGTGTTTTTCAACACTCCACTCAACTCTTTTATGATTGAACTCTTCAATCGAATTATGACTATCCTTCGGGCATGTCACGCCCTTCAGTAAAGGTCTATTCTGAACCGACTGGGGCGAAATGAGCCGACGTCGTCAACATCAAAGACCAACGCCGCCACGCGTTCGTCTTGACACCGAAGCTCTCATTTCTTTTCCGATTCCTCACTCATTGAACCACCTCGTTCACCTCCCCCCCCGTCGACCTCTCCTCAACCTTCATCTTTCCTCTCTTGGCCTGCGCATGCTCAGCCGTCGCAATCCCAGCATCAAGCCCAACATGAGCAACCCCCTTGACAACACCATGCGCCGCCGCCGCCGCGCTCGAAGACGACCCTCCCCCGGTGCCAACCAGCACATCCGCACACACCTCGGCCCCCTCGATCGCGACCGCGCCAAACGTCACCCCCAGCGCCATCGGAACCAACACGTCCCCCCGCTTCGTCTTCACCGCCAACCCCCTCTCGACGGCGTGCCGCTCGAGAATCCGCCGTTCTCTCCGGGCGTTGCGGATGCGCGCCGCGTCGTAGGGGACCATGAGCCAGCTTAGGCCCGCGGTGACTGCGCCTGCTGCGGTGTGGAGCGCTGTTGCGGTCGAGCTGCTTGCGAGTTGGCGGACGTAGTGGGTTCGTCGGGCGATGAGGGCTTCGTTGGACATTTGGCGGCATTTGAGGTCGTATGCGTCTGCGTTGAAGGGCATTGTTTCTGGTTTTCTGAGTCTCTGGAGTCTTTGGGATGTAATTTGTGCAGAGGATGAGAAAGGGATATGATATGGAAAGAAGCGGAAATCGAGGCCGAGGTTTGGTTGGACTTATTCCATCCTCACTCAGAACTGGACTGAGAATGTGGTCCCGTTGGGAAGCAGTTCTACCAACATACAGCCCTGACGACTGTGGCCGATATAATGTCAGAAACATTCAGGCGAAGATGGCAGAGGCGGGTAGAACCAACCAGAACGCATAAATTGCATAGAGAAGAAAAGAAAATGGAAACAAGACCGCAGCAGCTCGCACTGATGAGGCTGAAGAAACCTTGAGCTTTATCGAGACCATACAATTTGCTGTCTGTTGTCAGTCGGGGGAGAGAAGTCCGGCCCCACCAGTACCAACTTGAATGCCCAGGCCCGAGTCCGAAGAGGTGGGGGGCGGGGTTCGGGGGCGGTTCTTTCGGGCCCCGGGATGGTGTGGGGATCAGTGCGGCCGGACGCTCCCGGCATGGCGGGAAACGTTGCTCTGTTGAACATTGGACGGACTGGGACCGGGGCTGCGCGGGGGGGATTTGTCCGGCATAACTTGAGTATTTGAGGGGCGGGCGGGCGAAAAGAGACTGATTAATCTGTAGTAGAGCTTACGCTGTAAAAAGCAAAAAAAGTTACTACGGACCAGCAGTCATCAAGCTCAATGGATATAGTTAATAGCGGCTTTGATTTGACCGCTGGTTTCGTAGGAAACTTTTCCATTGACAGCGGAAGCACTTACATGGTTTGTTTATGTCACGGCACCCCGGGCCTTTTTCTGGGCGGAGTTTCGGAGTCCGCTCTGCTTAGAGGATGGGCCCTGCTGACGGCGATCGGGGGTATGTGGTCCAAATTCAGGCACGATGAGCCTGTCATCTGAAGTCTGGGAAAGAAACGGAAAGTCACGGATCATATGAGAGGTTTCCAGCACGATTCTTACGAAATTAGGAAAGTAAAGAGTTAGTGAAATAATGAGTAATGAGGTTTCTTGCATTATTAAGTCTTTAACGTTATGAGGTCATGAGCATCGTGAAAAAAAATTTCATCCTCCCCTTTGTCCGTCCCATTCCGTGATTTCCCATCCGATGCTGTACAATAACCCCATCTCCGGAATCCGATCGCCGTGGTCCCGCCACGAACATACTTGATTAAGCTCTCAACTCGGTATCCCGCCGATACGTCCAGGAGTGAGCGTCAGAATACACGGGCTTATACCCCAACACGCCCTCGACAAGCGAGAGGATAATGGTGGGCGTGAGGATAAAGGCGCCGCCGTACTTGTGCTCCGAGACGAGGACCAGACGGTCGATGCTGGCGCCCATGCCAAAGGCGCACTGGTGTAGCTTTACCTCGACTGCAGAAGGCTGTTTCTCAATGTTAGCACATTGCGATTTCATGGGTTTGATGTGGAAAAGGTGAAGATAGGGGGGTGGAAGGGGGGCCTTTACCTTGCTGCTAATCTGATGATTCGTCCTCCTCCACTTCTTGAAGTACTCTGCCAAAAACTTGAGCGTCGCGCTGTGGCTCCCCTGGATCTCAATCTCGTGCGCGCCGCGGCTGTACACGATGAGGTGGTACGGCGCCTTTTGCAGCAGCTCGTCCGGGCGCGGGAGGGCGTCTGCCTTGGGCATGAAGTCTGCCTGTGCTGGTCCTCTTGACGCCGTCGAAGAGATGGAGGCGCGCTGGCGGAGGTGGTTGCCCGTGGTACCGCCGACGGAGAGGCGATGAAGACGGGCGTCCATTTCCAGGTCGGCCCAGTCTTCTGTCGGGGAGGCGGAGTAGGGCGGGAGCTGCTTGTGGTGGTCGGCGAAGCAGTCTTTGATTTCGGATTTGAAGAGGGGGTGGAGGTCCATGGGGGTTATGAGTTGGGTTTTGGGGAGGGTGATGAGGAAGCCGCCTCGGTCGTCGGACCATGCTGTTGAGGCTTGGTCATCGCTGGCGACCTTTTTTTTTTTTTTTGAATGGTCAGTATATTTTGTACTTCTCACTGCAAGATATTTTGTCTTGGAAGAATAGGAAAACTCACTTCGACAAAGAGTCGCAACCTCGACCAGGTCAGTCTCAGCTTGTCGAGCAAGGTGTCGGTCCACTCTTCATTCTTGTCGTCCTCGAGGAGCTCCGTCGCGGCGCGGCACCATGCTTCGACGGTGCCGGCGACGGCGGCCGCGAAGTCGGTCTTGTCTGCGTACTCGGAGTCGAGCTGGGTGAGGAGGATCTGCCAGTCCGGGGTGACGTCTACGTCGAGGCCGAGGACGTCTCGGAGGGTCTTGAGGGCTTGCTGGAGGTAGCTGTCTTCCTTGGTCCAGTGGTCACGGATTGCAACCTTTACTCTGAGGGGTCTGAGTGAGTGTGTTAGTCGTTTGTTAGACTCATGATACTCTATGAAGAGACAACTTACAGAGTTGTCATGCCAGGCGTAAGATGTCTTGGGTAGTGAGTTTCTTGGTTTGTGATTTCTGATTTCTGAATGTCAGATGAATGAGATGATGATGATGATGATGATGATGATGATGATGAGAATGAGACTTCTCTCTTTCCTCCCTCCCGTCGTTATAAGGGGAGTCATCCGGTGGTTGATATTCACCTTCCCAAGCAGCACGAGTGGAGCCGCGATGCAGCTAGACGCATCAGTCGATAATCCACCCTGGCGACCCTGCCACTCCCCCCCCCCCCGGCGCCGCCAAGATCGGGCGCCAAGAGGTGCCCGGCAGCGTGGTGGCATGCAGCTGGGCATGTGGCGTCACACTCGCCGTGCAAAAGGCAACAGGGGAAGGGGGCGGAGTACCTTTTACACGTCAATCATGCCATATGCGACTTTTGCGGCTTGCCGTGTAGTTCCCCGGGGGTTAAGAAAGAAGGAGAAATGACACAATGCACGTTGTACGGTGTAGTCGGGGGTTGTTGATCTGGGTTTCGAAAGAATACGACGCTGCGGAAACCTTGGCTGGGTAAAGTGCGTGTTGTAAGCCCCGAAGAAAAAGAAAGAAAAAAAAAACCCAGCACTGCGTTTTTACACCTCATAGCGCACGGGGCGGTACGGGAGTCCACTGACAAACTATCCCTACTTTACCTTACTGTGCAGTACATCCCAGGCTACCACTTAACGGTACAGTTAGTCTGGTCCGGGGCACGGCGGCTCGATCTGCAATGGGTGGGACGCATCAGGTCAGATGATGAGCTGATGGTTCAAAACTTTCAGCGCGGGACTCCATAAGCGGCCACCCGCGTGAACATGCCACAGCCCAGCGGTTCCATCGGCCGGCCGGCCGGCACGCAGCGCAAACACAACCATCAATGGACGGGAAGTGACAACAAGCAGAGTTCAGAAGGGTTAGGTTAGGTGTCAATGACCAAGGCACGTGCCGGGTTGCAGCGGTCTTGTTAACACGACATCCCTGCGAATAAGAGTCTCGACCCCCTTCGACAACTCATTGAACGGTCAGACTCATACAGACGGTGAGAGAAAGAAAAGGAATACCAAGACCCGAAAAAGAGACAACAATAGCAGCACGGTGAGACGGCCAACGGTCCGGTCCGAAGAAGAAGAAAAATGTTCGGAGACTGACGGACGGACACACTGGGTTGATGATGTCACGATTGTCAACCACCTTGCATTTCACTCTACCTTATGAGTCTCCGGCGCGTTGGCGGCCTCCTTCTCGCCCGCCCGCAGCTCCCGGGTCCGCAGACATAGTTCAACACTTTCATTAAGAGACGGGCGCCGGTTTCGAGTGGTGCCGCCGCTCCTACGTTGGATTACCAATTTCCACCACTGCCACAGCCTCATAGTGGCACCCAAAACTCCGCAGTGATGCGAAGCTGCAGTGCCGAGCAACACTTTATACTCCATAAGCCGATCGATTGTCGATGTTTACCCCATTTACGACATGCGAGACTCGTCTCATGGGTAATGGACTCATGGAGTCCATGGCGATGGCTGTTGATCGACATGTCACCCCGCAATTCCCCTCACTGCTCATCTTTACCGAAGTACTAACCTTAGAGGCTTAGGTTACTTGTAGGTTAGGTTAGGTAAGCTAGCGTTTCTGAACCCCTGAATGACTGCCTGAGCTGTTGCGCGATGCACCGCGATGCGCCACCACCAAAATCAACGAACCTCACCTGTGAATGTCCACAATATTCAACATGAGGAGAAAAGAAGCGACGAGGCAACGCAAGGCTAGGCAGATGTCAAAGAATAACCTCCACATCCGTCGCCGTTTCTGTTTAGCCTCGCCAGGCTGAATACTTAGTCGTTGCTTAAACCCTGTGATTGGGGGTGGCTAGTGGCCGTTGGCGGGCCAAGATTCAATAGTGAGGCTGTTTTCATCCTTCGGGAGGAAGAGCTGAAAGGAGGCTCAAGGAGGGGGAAAGGGACTTCGTAGATGGCAAGCTGGGCTTCAGGAATTGAACATGATGGATGAGAAGGATGAAAAAAGCTGCTGTTCAACGACTCACATTAGATGAAGTTGCTCCCATCATCCTGAAAATATCTTCACTTTCTGTCCTCATCTGATCAATCGTCATGTCTCGCTTGCCTCCAGCCGAAAAGCTACCCCTCGCAGTCCCGAAGAACAGTACGTATTGATGCCCCAAGTTGACCCTCACTTACTAACCGCCCTCAAGTCCGCGATGAGTGGGAGAGCAAGAAGGAAGACCTCCAAAAGGAGCTCTCTGACGTCCTGGGCGCCGAGTGGACGCTCAAGGACATCAATCCCAGCGCGCTCTACCCTTACGCCGTGGACGGCTACGCCAAAGAGTCCCTAGGAAGCTGCATTGAACAGTAGGACTACTTCCCTCGAACACAGACGCGCAAGAGTCAAGAAGCAATCCAGTCTCTAACACGGCATCAGATACGTCTCCTCGGCAATCTACAACCTCAAATCCTTCGCCTCCACCTACGGCGAAGACGGCAAATCCGAGCTCAACTCCATCTGCCACGCCCGCTCCCTCCTCATCGACCTCGACGACCGCCCCAAGGACGCGCGCGTCTCCTACTGCGGCGTCCTCGTCAAGGAAGGCGGCGCGCTGGCGCTCGTCTTCTCCGAGGGCAACCTGGGTACCAACGTCAACTACGCCATCGAGACGCAGGGTCTCCTGAGCGCCTTGAATGCTGCGCCGCCCGCACCGGGATCCGCCGCGGCGATGAGTTTTGCGGCGCGTGCTTCTGTGAGGCAGGATTACGATGATAAGATTGAGGAGACGGAGGAAGAAGTTGGCGGATATGCTCGAGAAGCCTGATGTTGTGCTGTGTCCCAACTTTGAGGCGAATTTCGAAAAGATCAAGGCGGCGGCGGGGAAGAAGGGTAGCGAGGTGAGGAGTGATTGGGAGGGGAATATGGGGTGCGTTTACGAGGATGTATTTTGAGGGGTTGGTGTATCAGATGAGTTATCAAAAGTTTGGGGATGATGAGATGTTGAGGGAGGGGTTCAATGAGGCTGTTGAGAAGGGGGAGATTCACTTCCGGATTGTGGATAAGATGGCGTATGCGACGTATGGGGAGGTTGTGTTGGAGGATGGGGCGATTTATGTTCAGGTATGTTTTCTTGACTCTTCCACGAGCCTGGGATGACTATGAGATGGCGTTTGCTAACCAGTTTCTCTTAGACTCAAGCGCATAACTTTGGGACGAACGTCGATTACGCGGCAGAGAAGATCTTGGACCAGCTCTAGGCGGGTGCCGGACTCAAGCTGAGGCAAGGGGGCAAGGGATGTTTGTGAAGTTTCAAGTCAATACTCGGGGCGGTCAGCATCTTAGAGCCTTTTCTTGTTATACTTACCGTTACTGTTGAAAAGAGGGCAATTCTTACCACCCATCATTCTAACTGCACACGAGAAACACAGCCACTTATTTCCATACTCACTTGTTGATGTCGCGTCTTTTGGCTGTGCGAAGTAGCAGAACAGCTCATCATCGATGGCTAGTGTCATTAAACCTGATGAAGACTCTGATCTTGCTTGGCCTATGCCGACTCATGGCTGTAGATGGCGTCAGCTTGAGCAGGGCCGTCGAACTGGAACTGGTAGTTGGCGACAATAGGTGCACTGCGACTCTAAGAATCGGCGAAGACAAAATCCCCGAGAAAAAGGTATAGAGATCCCGTGCCGGTACAGGAACCGCGCTTTTGTTAACTTTGTTAGTATTAAATATCCTTTTTCGATGAGGCTCATATCGAGGCTTTGCTTGCCGAGCTCCATAACGGTAAGACCTAAGTTACTGGTATAGCTAGTATTAGAGCAGCTAGTAGGCGGGCTCTCTATAAATCTAACGCTATTAGTCGATGCAAGTAGGTAGACGATAGAACGATCCGCTACTTAGCATATACTAGGCCTACCTTTACTACTATCCCTACTACTACCTCTCTCACTACCTCTTCTCTTATTATCTTTATTTTTATCTTTATTTTTACCTTTAGTTCTACTTCTATTTCTATCTTTAATTCCACTTTTAATTCTACCTCTAATTCTACCTCTAATTATATCTTTGTTTCTATCTCTATTACTACCTTTATTATTACTTTTATTATCACCTCTACTCTTTCTAGTTAATCTTCTAAGTCTATTCTAGGAGGGATATACCTGTAGAATCTAAGATAATGATGAGGATAGTAGTGGAAGTACGAAGTAGAAGGGCATTATTAATATATTAGCCAGTAAATTACACTGTCACCCAAATAGCCACCTCTCTACCGGGCTTTATGGCACCACCGTTTGCCATCGACAAGCGAGCGACACATCGCCATCTCGAGAAGAGAACCCACCACGCCACCAACAAGCAAACCCCCCGCATCGCCAGCAGTAACAAACCCAAGACTAACCTCCCTAGCAGCCGTTTCCCTCCCCTCTCCAACTAGCCTTGCCAGGACATTCACATACACAGATCCCGCCGCTAGACCGATTAAGAAGACCAGAAAAAAGGCCAGGTGCGGCGAAATGAGGAACACGGCGTTGAAGAATGCAAGCATCGTCCAGACGCACAGAGCAGTCATGTGCAGTCTGAGATTCCGCACCGGGAGAAACTGGAGCGAAGACCGTCCGATCCATACCCCTAGATGAAGAGCCATGCCATATGTGGTGTAAAAGTGGGCAAATGTCTCAAAGGCCGATCCGTCGAGCGGCCTGGCGAGGCCGTACTGTGACAGAGACATCGCTGCGGATGCTATGAAGAGAGGCAACATCTCTGATTGTATGAGACTGCAGAATATCTGAAGGCCACTGCGCTCGTTACTCGGATTAGCGGTTCTCGATCGGCTGCCGTCATGCCACAAGAAGATTTGTCCTTCCTCGGCACTGGCATCCTCACGTTGCTTCCCTCGCGCGTTCTTCGTACCCCTCTTTGAGAATCGTTGAGGTAATACGAGAAAGTGAGCCACCAGAAGCAGAGCCACAGCGTAGTATATATACGTCGTAGCGCTGCGCAAAAGCTTCCCGGCCCCGTACGTCAGCATGAACGGCCATATGGCGTTCTCCAGCGACCCCGCCCCGGTACCGAAGCCCCACCCCGCGAGACCCGGAAGCCCGGCGTGCCCTATCATCCCGATAGACGACACCTCCATCGCTGCGGATGCAGCCGATGCAATCATAGTCGTCGCAATTCGTGTCGGCGGAGGTACATTCGGCGGCGTATCATCTGCAATTCGCTTGAGAATAACCCATACTACCGCGACGAGAAGCGGCCGGATTCGGCAAGGAATGCGGTGGATGATGAATGGTAGCGTTAGCTTGGTGAGGAGTACCGGCGCGACCTCGATGAGAATGACGATGTGCCGTGGGTAAGGAATTATGAGATAGTTTGCGGCGTGGATAAGGAATGGTAGGATCGTGTTGGCTAGACCTGCAGTTCGGGTGAGATGGAATTGTTGAGATTGTGTTCACCGTCTTCATCAATTAAGCATCAGACTCACCTAGCAGGGCAAAAGCCAAAAATGTCCGAAATTCATCAAAAGACCAGGCGGTCCGGGCCGTGGTCTTACTTTTCGACGCCATCGCGAAAGCGAGGTCTCGGGGTATGCCTCAAGGTTTACGACATCCTGCAACAGCGAACCGAGACATGGGGGGCTTTACTCTAAAGAAGTATAAGAAAGAAACTGTGCCGCCGTCTTAGTCGACTCATAATCGACATCAACTACTCCGTAATAAATTCTTCACAGAGTACGCCGAGTGATCAATGGTAAAGCTGCCCGTCATCCACGTGTTAGTGCCGTTAGAAAGCCAAGCATGGGTGAACGGGCAATTGGCCGGAACCCGGTCCGGACGAATCGAATCCACCACGTGGGATGAATCCGGCAATTGATAGGGGACTACGGCGTCACGTTCACGACCCGTCACTCAAATTAGAGTAACACTGAGCGATTCTGTACTAATTTGACTAGAGAAACGATACGGGATCATTGGGAAAGCCATAGCAAGGCTTACCGAGAACTTTCGCCTCTTATAAGGCTATCGACTGTAGCTAAGCAAAGAGGCGGTTGGACTCCTGGATTTCGGGTGTAAATGTCGGCCGCGTTCAGTACATAAAACAGCTGGCAGCGAGACAATTATCCAGAACCAATACTCAACTGGAAGTTGGCTGAGCGGTTGTTGATGAGCTTTCTGGTGGAGCCGAACTAGACACCAATCCTTGATACCAACCGTGGCTCCCGAGACTGTATTTACGGGAATATGCAACTTCTCCGAAAACTCTGTCGTTCAGGTTGGCCAGCTTGAGAAATGAGCCTCGAGATCTAGTAGCGTTGCCATATCGTTTTGGTAAAGCGAATACATCGCTTTGTCGCTTTCTGTATGCGATAACAACGGCGCTCGCCTGGCTGGATGACGAATCTCTTTAATGCAACTATGTCAATGGCATCCCATGTCAGGTTATATCTAATCAGTACTGACACGCTCTGGTCTTGATGTATCATGGACGAATACGGTGAGGATAGGAGACGAAGATCACGAGGAAAGCCTCAGCGCAGGGTGTTGCGATTGCCGCTCTGTATAATGAAATCATCCACAAACTCACTTGTTTTCTCTAGGTACGGGTCAATACATCTATTTGAGAAGTCATTACCCTAGAAACACTCACTCTTGTTGCGTTTTCTCATTTCTTTTCTCTCTTATTACCCCGTGTTATCGCCAGAAAACGTCCTCACTTGTTTTGTCCACGTGCAGTTATCTGATGAAAAGCCAAGTATGGACCGGGATGCGGCGGTCATCCGGGGCCTGGTCCGGGCGAATCGAATCCACCACGTGGGATGAACCCGGCAATTGATAGGGAACTAAGACCCCGCGCCGGGCCCCGTTGATCTGTACGACGGCCATGGAATTACGCAGCCATCTCGGCCGATTGACATCTTATCAGCGTCGTCAGCTCTGATCACTCAAATTAATGCTTGGCAGACGCATTGATTTGGGCGTTGATTTGAAAACCAGAATGCGTCGCAGGCGACAAGCCAACTCCCTTGCCCATCATTGTTCACCTTCGCGAACATGATGATGCCTGGAATAGCACCAAATCCGTTTTCCTGGCGTCGGGGGTCAAAATCAAAGCTTGAGACGCAAAGCAGCATGCGGGATGGCGAAGCTCAACACCGTCGCCAAAGCCCGGCCGCAAGGTCAGGTCAATGTTGTGCCGCTGTTGTGAAGTTCATCTTCCCCGTGGTTATCTTCATGGGCCTTTTTGGCTTCGTCTTGACGAATTTTGTATAAATCTATCAGTCTCTTATACTCTTACGGTACCGCTAACATGACCTTCACAGTTTCCTGCAGAGTTCAGATACTTCATCCACGGCAGCACCACAGAAAGAAGAATCACGGGACTAGACCTAGGAAACCTCGTGAGTCAAACTCAAATTGACACAGGGGGCTCCCGCCGGCTGCGACTCTTCATGCCCGCCGATGGATCAAACATCAACCTCTGCAAGACAGTCATGTCGGCCATCGCGCTGGGTTATCCTATGCCGACGCTTCTAAACTGGAACGGGGAATTCAACAGGCCCGACTGGCACTTTGCCGGCTCCCATATTGCGAAGCTCGAGTCGCTTCTGGCAGTCATTGATGCGCTTTACGAAAAGGATGACGGTGACGATGTGAATGAGAATGATCTGGTTCTCCTTGTGGATGCCTACGATATATGGTTTCAACTTCCCCCTTCCGTCCTGATTCAGCGCTTCCACCAGCTGAATCGCAAAGCCAATATCCGAGTGCAGACGCAATGGGAGGAGAGTAGCCTGAAGGGCGGTTTCCCAATTAGTCCCCCAACACAGAACATCATCGCCACCACGGCCAAGGATTGCCAGCCGGACTGGGAGTCAGGGTCCGATCCGCGGTACGACTACTGGCCTGACTCGCCCCTACCACGAGACTTCTACGGGAAGAAGACTGATCAGATGCTACCTCATATGTTTGATTCCGCGAGGAAGTACAAGAAGATTCGGCCCCGGTGCGTCAACAGCGGGATGATCATGGGAACCATCGACTCTCTACGAGGCGCTTTGCGAAAGAGCAAGGAGAAGGTCGACAAGGCCACCGCGAGCGGGCGGCAGCTCTGGAGCGACCAGGCGCTCTTTGCGGAGGTCATTGGGGACCAGGAGGTCTGGCGCCACTGGGTCCGTGGTCTCTCTTCAACATGGAACGGCTTTGTTTCTGAAGAGCATCTCGGGAGCATGCCGAAGGAGGTGCGGCGGATTGCAGATGCGGCACTGGCTGGTGAAAAGTTCGAGTTTGGTATCGGACTGGATTATGAATTTGCCACGATCCCGCCTACCTGCTCCTCCGAAGACGACGGGTACTTTGTAGAGCTTGACGACGCCAAGGCGATCGAGAGAGAGTCTGAAAGGGCAGGAGTTCCTGGTGACCTGAGAGTACAGGGCATACCGGAGGAACTACGAGACGTTCCTCGGCCTCTTCCCGGGTATAGCTGGGGTAACGTCTCGCTCTACACCGACTTCTTCTTTGGTACCGCGCCTGTGGGCATACATCACAACGCATACATCTTCGGCTTGAAGAAGTGGCGGTTGGAGAACTGGTGGAGTCTAACGTGGTTTTACCCTCACTTGCGCGATCTCGTGATGGGAGCTCTCGATGCGAACCGGAAGTTGACACCTCTGACGAGACTTCTCACTCGCGGTGACAGCGGAAACGAGATGGTTTATTGGGCGGCGGAGGAAGAGATGAATGGAAAGAAGAGCGTTAGGGTGTATGACGGTTCGGAAAAGCCGGGGAACTTTTCATCCATTGGTTGGGATGGAATATGTCAAAAAGGAGATGAAAAGTGGTATGATGCGCTGTTTGGAGACGGAAAGGGGCCGCTGGAGGTGTGAGGTATGTAGTGAGAGACGCATTGATGAACTGGCAACTTGGCGATGGCGGGGTAAATCCATCTCTTTCTCAGAACCTGCTTCTCGGCTAGTGGTTGATAGAACTATGCCTCTTTGTGTTGACCGAACATCTCCTCGTGGTCTTCGCCGTAGGTCCTTCCACAGACAGCTCCTTAAATTTGTGGAAGACCTGCAGCGAAGGCTTGCTCTGATCCTCCTCTCGCTTCGTTGTTACGGCATATCATAGCAATCTCATGTTCTTTTGAATTAATCTTTCGACTAACCGTGCGCTGGGCATAGTGTTACTTCGCCGTAGTCAACATTGCTCTGCCCGAAGGCGAAGAATGACCCGTCGTATTAGATGGCCTTGCATTGGATTGAGCCAACTTACATCGTATCGATGGTGATGGTCTCTTCAAGGAGAACTGAATAGCTTCCCCTATCGAGCCTTGGCATTTACTCCCACCTACACTCTATATTTCTTGCCAAGGTCGTATCTCTATGGCTCAATCAACCTAGACAAGCTGTGAGATGGCTGTGAACTGCTACTATAAACCGCCGGAGCATCCGCCTGCAGAGTCATCAAGAGGGACAACAATATCGTGCTTGGTCCAATTCATCTAATCAATGAAGGTCAAGAGTACTTCATAGTTATAATGGCCTACACACTCATTATGTGAGCTTTGGTGCGAGGATGAAGTAACAGAGACATTAAACGTTTCCAAACGCCTCTGCCGTGCCAAGCTGGAAGGTCCCGAATATGCTCCAACCCATTGACGGCGATCACCAACGCATGAGGCTATGTCGATAGCAAAAAAGGAGGTTGATTTAGAGTCCTCGTTTTCGCATCAAGAAGCGTGGTAGGCAAATGCTCGGGACAACCGGTAATGAATGCAGACTCCAACTCCTATACACAATGACGGAGACAGCCCGTCATCATCCAATCGGGACTGTATGCGACGTAGAACAATCGATGGAACAACGAGGAGAGACCCGCGTAGATGATCCAGTTGAATGGGACGGCACATACCTGAATTAGGCATGTTGTCGTATTTGACGTTGTCTTATTGGTTCGCTCCGTGGGTTCTTGGCGTGAACAAGCCCCCCGTAATGCGACGATGCTTGTGGGAATACTCGGATCCGAAAGACCTTAGGGGGAGGCGGCGCAGTAGGCCTGTACTTGGGTGCTTACTTGGATGGCAATGCTGCGGCTTAGGGTAGATCGTTTCGTAGTCGTGATGAGGCTCTATATGGTTGTCGATTTGTATAAGTTGACTACATCTCTCTGCTGATGAGGTGCTTTGTTTCTCTCAACAGTCAAGGACATCATTCACTCACTCAAGCATCCTCCTCGTCCTGTTTCTACTAATAACAACTCACTCTCTTTTCTACTCACAACCTCAAAGTTCTGAGCATCGCTAGTCTCAGAATGAAGCAAGTCAACATCTTCACCGCGGCCATGGTGGCCTACATGGCCCAGCTCGTCGTAAGTTTCCCCTCCCTAACCCTCTACACCCGCAACACTCTATCTCACCTCCAAAAATCCAGGCCTCAGCAGCCACCGTCGCAGACTCCCAAAATGTCACGGCCCCAGACTTCATCGGCAAAGCAGCCACATCCCAACCCCTCCGCCCCAAAGAACGCTTCTCCCCAGACGCGCTCCACGCCCACATTGACGGCGGCAACACCCGAAGCGACGACTACATGGGGCCCCTCGGCGTCTTCTCCGTCGCCTCCTCGGCCGCCGTGAAGACAGGCTACATGTTCTGGGAGAACAGCACGAGCCTCCTCGTCGCGATGGAGTGCGTCTTGTCCCAGGCGCCCATCGGCTTCTGCCTCGCGGCGGTGGACCCGGAGACCATGGACGTGTTGACGCAATGGACCGCTCCCGCGGGCCGCACCGCCATCTCAAATGACTGGCAAGTCGTCGACAACCATGTCATCATGCCCACCCTCGAAGGCTTCATCATGGAGATCCAGCGCTTCGGCACCGGCGCCTCCACAACCTTCACCCAGGTCCGCGAGGTCGACGTCTCAGCTCGTCTCCCATCGGGTTCCATCATCGCCATGGCGGGCTACACGGACGACGACAACCTCTAGTTCGTCGCCACCCCTGCACCTCTCGTCGGTCTCCAGGGAACCAACACCACCACCGTAGGCTACGTCCAGCGCGACGGCACAATCTTCAGCGCGTCCCTGGACAACCAAATCGTCGAGAACGGCATGGCCGTCAACGGGAAAAACATCTACTTCATCACAGGCCCCTCCGGCTCCGAAGACCACGCCGACGCCAGCGGCCACTTCTACGCCTTCCAAGCAGACACTGCCAACGGCGGCGGCGTCATCGCGGCCTGGAACGAGACGTACCTCGCCGGAAGCGGCGTCAAGCCCGGCGGCCTCTCCCGCGGCTCCGGCGCGACGCCGGGCTTGCTTGGACAAAAATACGTCGCCATGACGGACAACGCCGACTCCCAAATCAACCTCAACGTCTACCGCCAGGCGTCCGCCATGACCGAAGGCCAGAACTCGAGCTTCGTCTGCTCCGTCCCGCTCTTCGAGCCCGGCGCGAGTCTCAACGAGGCGTCGCTGACGACGCACTTTGACGGCACGACGTACAGCGCCATCATTGCCAACTGCTACAACTCGCCTTCCTTCCTTGACGTCAGCGACGACGATGTCAACGGCAGTTTCAACAACCTCACGCAGGTTGCTACCGGCGTCGCGCGCGTGCGTGTGAATGCTGATGAGAGCTGCGAGCTGGGTTGGGATCTGCCTATTGTCGCGACCATGGTTACTCTGTCGACGACCAACGGGATCCTGTACGCGTACACGCAGGACCGGGAGCTCGCTGTGGGCGGGGAGTATGTGTGGTACATTGTAGCGTTTGATTATGTTTCTGGCCAGGAGATTTGGCGCAAGAGGGTTGGTGCTGGTGGTGTGTACAACCCTGGCCCGTCGCACCTTCAGCTCGGTGCGAATGGAAGGATTTACGAGGGTATTGTTGGTGGTGTTGCGTGGGTTGAGGATTCTCCTTCTGCTTAGATGGGGTTTCCCCTCATTGCTGGTGTTTCTGGTGAGAGAAGCTACTTGGCATCGTCAGTTGCTGTATGGTGGTGAGGTTCTCCAGAGGGGGCAGAGCTATGTAGATGGAAGGGTTGCTAGATTCCACGCACGAGAGATAGATCGCTTACTGTCCCCGTAATCCAAATCCTTCACCACAACTTTCTGCTTCTGAAAACGATTAGAATGATCTCTAGAGGGATGTCATGAGGTTATACTTACATGAGTCTAGCCAAGATTGGCATCAACCCTGTGACGATCCCGAGTATGGATCCGAGTAGAAAGGTTAACCACCTTAGCGCCATGTAGAAAGCAAAAACGATCCCACGTCCACCCCATCAACCTAAACATACAATCGCTACAAAGAACAAGAGTCCTATGCTAACTCATCAACTCTCAGTCCAGTCAAACTCCTTAATAGCCCACGCCATCTTCGCCCACCACTCCCTCGGCAAGAAACTCATCACCCCATCAAACTCCTTCTCAGCCGCCCCCTGAGCCCACCAGAGATGCGTCGCCCTCCTCAATAGCATGAAAAAGTACCCCACGATAGCCAGCGTCCTCGGATCCTGCGCCTCCAGCAACTCTACGAGTCTCGGCGGCACATGCGCGGGAAACCGCAGCAGATCACGCTGCAAAGCCGATCTCTCGATCTTATCGAGACTATCGACGGCGATTCGATACGCTTCCACCGTCTCTGGCTCCGTCTTGTCTTCGTCGAGGTCTTCCAGGAGGAAATCAAACATCCCCGGCCTTGCTGGCCCCAACGTCTCCTTCTGCTGCTCCGAGGTTCGCCGCTCCGGTTTATACAAGTGACCTATCCTATTATTCCGGATCCCGGGCAAAGCAACCTTCAACAGCGCGTTGACGTTCCGAAAGGGCGTGAACCAGTGATGCGGCACCCGGAACCCCGCCTCCGCCTCCGGACCACTGCTGCTGCTGCTGCTGCTGCTGCTATCAAGGAACGACTGGTTCGCGCTGGTATGGAACATGATAATAGTACACGTCGCCATCACCACAGGGGCATTCTGCGCGTTAATCGCCTCACGCACAATCTGCTTCGAGTGCGCCTCGATAGCCCTCGCCATATACGCATGCGAGGCCTCCGACACGGCAACTGCCTGACTGCTACCAATCCCCTTACCGCCGCCGCCGCCGCCGCCCCCGTTATCATGCATCACCGAGGACCGTCGGAGGTGAAACGCCACAAACCCGAGGACAGCGTCCATGAGTGAGCGTATTATCCGTCACGGCAAGGGCCCGTAATCCAACTCGACCAGCTCTGTTGGTCAGTCGAGGGGTACGCGGCCGTCATGTCCAGGTAGTGCCGGAAGAAGCGCGCCTTGAGGCCGTCGGTCATCGTGTCCACTAGTACGGGGGGGCTGCTCGGGCGTATCAGCGTCAGGGACGTGACTGGCAATGCTGTGGATGAGGACGAGGACAACGCCGACGCCGACGCCGACGCTGATGATGACGATAATATGAGTGGTGGCGCCGGCGGGAGAGTGGGTTTCAGACTGAAGCGGGATTACAAGTCGATAAAATCACACCGCAGGTTTGCCTTTGTGCAACCTCCACAGGTGGGACGGGCCTCATGGCACTTTTTGTGTATGGTCAGGACTGTACTTGTGTATGAGGTAGGCATGGAGTAGGCAGTAGGCAGTGGAAGTGAGAACCATGTTTCCCGTAAAACCTCCCGCACCCGGGACGGGGTCGTAGGTCGCGGGGGACGGTGGTCACGGTCGTCGTATGGACCATGGTCGGCCGCGTCGTTCAGAGCTCACCTTGATTCGCCGCGTCTTGCAGCGCCTGCAGCCGAGTCTCGACTTGTGATGGGCTCGTCTGATTCTCTCCGTCATTACGACCGACCGGGTAAGATATTATGGATCTTACTTCGGCTGTTTGTAGCCAGTATCGGGTCTAGAATCCTTCTGGAAAGATACACACACGCGTAAGGGCAAGCAGGAAACAAGCAAGAAAAAACGTGGCCACTGAGATGTGACGGGAGTGAGGGAGGAGAGTCTGTGGGAGGATGGGTAGCAGAAGGGGGGGCGTCGTCGCTCAGATGCCGGAACGCTGCGTCGATGCTTAGACCTGGTTCCGGCCAATGAGAGGCGGCGGAATACGGTGTTGGATACTGCACAGTAGATCCTAGGACTAGTAGCGACATCCCATCTTAATCAAACTCTATCCCTACCGCCGATCTATACTGACCTTACCCTATCTTACGTCTGGGTAAACGACTCTCATGTCAGGCTTTCCTGTGGCTTGGTGATCATAAGTAAGCTTGAAATGTCCTTCGTTTGTTTCGGGGGTTCCCTATTGCTATCCTTTCTTGTTCCCTGCAGTGCTTGTACCAAAAGCTGTAAGATGACCGAGACATCATCTGATGTACCTACGGAGAAACTCCTCATCAGCTCGTTGACGTGCACGAGTCGCTGTCTCACTGGATGAATCTGGAATATTACATCTTGCGAGGTTCTGCTTTCCTTCATATCGTTCCCATTAAAATAGGCCGTGTGTCCGGAGTCCTGTTCTCGATATATGCCTATAGGAAGTCGCCTGCACATCAAAACGTAAAGAAAAGTAAAGGGGTGGTTCCGCGAATCAGCCACCCATCCGTTGTGTGTGTGTATCGTCCAATGACGGAGCCAGTCCGCGGACATCAACCCGAGGTATCTTGTTTTCCTGCCATTTCTCCCGTCATCCAATTCTTTGTCGTCCCCAAGCTCACGCTCTCGTCATAGAGCCAAATGTTGTCAGATGCGATGCGATCCGACATAGAATCCGACCGCTTTGCTGCACGGCCGCCTCGCATGTTGGCAAATAGACCTTTCAGAGTCTCTTTGTGCAGACAGTTGAGACCTGAAGGAGCGTGAAATCCACCAAGAGAACCCAGTGCTGCTGCAAGGAAACTCATGTCTGCATTGTGCTTATCCTCGTGGTGGACTGTAATCTTCACACATGGTGCCACATTACGACAAGGCTATCGCCGCAATGCTGGACCACTCCACAGTCCCTTGCTCGTCTCCACGACCTTGTTCTGTTCACTGCCTGGCCGCAAACTTGCTGGGACACTGCTGGGTGCCGGACCTGCATCGGACATGACCACATCATTTTGGCTGTCAGCTTCGGGTTGGGTTCCGTAGCCTGAGTCCTTGTGGCCCCCGTTGCCGAGGCTGATGGCGCTATCGTCCTTCCTTGCGTTTTGCTGGGTCTTGAGGGCCGCGGCGCCACGTCCAGGCTCTCTTGACTTGGCACCGTCCATCAGGTTGCTCTGACCCTCGCGAAGCTTGTTGATGGCACGAACTGTGTCAATTGCAGCATGCAGCGTCCTACGAGCATTGAAGTTCTTCTTGACGGTGGGCAGCAAGTTCTGGCCTTCGCCCTCGCCATTGTTAAGGTAGCCGGCAACGAAGGGGTGTTGCAGGGCTTCGTGCGCCGTCATGCGTTTATTCGGATCAATGGTGAGGCAGCGACGGATGAAATCCTTGGCGTGGTCGGAGACACCCCGCCAGTAGTCGAAGGGGGTGAAGCTGTAGTCGGCGTTCAAGATGGCTTGCATCTCCTCGAAATCGCTGTCGCGGTCGAACGGCGTATAACCGCACAGAAGGAAATAGGTGATGACGCCGAGCGCCCATACATCTACAGGCTTGCCGTGACCAATCTTCTTGAAGATCTCGGGGGCCATGTAGCCAGGGGTACCGCACGTCGTGGTCAGCACGTGGAACTGCTCCTCATCCATAATGCGGCTCAGTCCGAAATCGGCAATCAGGAGGTCTGCGTTGTCTTCTGGTGTGCGGAAAAGGAGGTTCTCGGGCTTTAGATCGCGATGGACGATGCCGTGGTCGTGCAGATAAGCAACGGCGGAGAGCGTCGCCCGGATAAGATCTGCGGCGTCGGATTCGTAGTATGAGCCTTTGCGGCAGATGCGGTCGAAGAGCTCGCCGCCGAGAGCCAGGTCGGTCACGAGGTAGAGGTTATTCATCGTCTCGAAGTAGTCAACAAGTGTCAGGATGTTCTGGTGGCCCATGGAGACCTTTTTCAGGACTGCGATTTCATTGCGGACCTGTGAGAGGGGTTGCATGTCAGCGTCGTCGGTCACCCATACAGAAGACAGCGGATTAAGAACGTACCATATGCTCGCGGCCAGCCATCAATCGCTTGTTGATGACTTTTGCGGCATAGTAGCGACCAGTGTCAATGTGAACGCACTCCTTGACGACGGAGTAGGAACCGGCGCCCAGCGTCTTGCCAACTTTGTACCTGCAGGGCTGGACCTGAGGTGACGGAGATGCCCCGTTGGCGCCGTTAGAAGCCATTGCTGCGGCCAACAGACGATGTGACGAGGCTATTAGAAGGGCGAAAGAATCGAGGACACGAGCGTCGCCCAACGTTCGAGGAGGGTTAGGCGATGGCTCGGGAGATAAAGGTCGGTCGGGGTTGCGGTCGCGAGATCAAAGGGTTGGCGGGGTAAGCAGATGGCGAAGATCGGTCGGCGGTTTTTTGGGGGCGTTTAGCCTCACTCGACGTAGCTAGGGCCGAGATTACAGGTTGGTTCGACAGTGGTAGGGCGAACAAGACAAGCTGCGCGATTGTCTTTGAAGAGATTTGTCTCGGTACCCAAGTCTGGAAGAAGTGCAAAATCGAGGCTCGACGTGAAGGTTGGAATAATTTGGCCAAGATTGCTCAAAGGAGCGAGCAGCTGACAAAGTGGGCACGGCAGGTGTTTGGCTGGATTGTTGGGCTGATTTGATGATCGACGGTCCCTGGTCGTGTTGACTGCCCCTTGGGAGGGTCTCGCGGGGCCAGTGTGAATTGGATGCAAGGATCAAAGCGGCACACAGCAGATAGATGAAGGGGGTGATGTGCTGTCACTATGACGCTCTGTCGTAGATCCAATTGACGGTCGTCGAGCACGCGATGGTCGATAGATAGAAGAGACGATGTTGAAGGAATTCGGTATCCAAAGACGACGATGGTTGGAAGTGGGAGTGGAAGAGGAGGAGGAAGGATAACGAAGGATTCGAGGTTGCGGAGATAGACTGGATGGAAAAGAGACGAACAAGTGGACCACACGCCGCTACACCAAAAGATACGGACACTAGGGGCACCTTAGCATCTTTGCACCACATGCGCCAGGTCGTTCAGCTCGAGACATCAGGGACTCTCACTCTTACTCGAGCATGGAGGTCCCGCAACTCGGAGACAGCTCACTGACAATATACCCAGCACAGGAGCTTCGGCTCTCTTCCTGACCATTCATCGTTTGAGGATCGCTCCCCGCTCTGTCGAGGAATCCCCCCCTCGGCCCCCTTCATACGTGTATTTCTTTTCACGACAATTTATCGTTATGATGCGACCCATTCAGGATGGGGTGCTGGACGGATGCTGACGACCTGACGAGGCGGCCCGGGCCCAGCCATGGGAACTGGGGTCCCCACCCCAGCTGGCAACTGCTCGATGAGAGCATTCCAGGTTCCACCTCATTCTGCAAAACCGCCCCCAAAACCAGTCCGACAGCTCTCCAGCACCATTTCTTGGCTAGGTGCCCGTAGGGTTTCCAGCCTCAATCGTACAATGAGGTAAGCAGATGAAGAAAAACCCATGGATGGTCTAAGGCTGGATTGCAAACGGCTCAGAGTTCTGGCAGGCCCAGCCACCACCCACTGATTGATCTGAGGTGCTCCTGTACAAGTCAAATATTTACTCTCTGAGTATCTACATTTACATCTTTGTATGAAAACGTACACATATCCGTACATCTACCCATATCCAACATGGACGGCGCAGATCTCGCTGCTGTCTTAATATTAAGCACCCACTACCCGTCCAGCCTGATTCTGCCCGCATAAACATCGACAATTTCCCCCAATCCTAATGCTGCGTGCTGTATAATCTAGAGGTGTGAGGTCTCCTTGAAGAATTGCTCTAGGTAGTATCTACCAGATCATCAATGTGGAGGCTCTCGACAAAGAAGCCGAGCCAAGGTTGAAAAGTGAATTCAACCCTCGGCACATGCTCGAGAGATGCCGTTTTTTGAGTCAAAGTTCAGGGTCCCGGCCTAGGTAAACCCCTCTTGTTTGCCAGCCGGCCGTACTTTGGTGCTTGGCCAGCTCTGGACCCTACCCCACCAATGTCTCCTCTACTCCGTACGTCGACCGGCTGGCGGTCTGGTGTTTGCATGTCTCGGTTCCGCCAACTTTGTTAGCTGGGCAGAAAGGCGGCTGGGCAAGCTTGGTGCCACGACTCAATCCCACCACCCGCTAGGCGACCAGAACTCATCCCCTTTTCGCCGGACCGAAAGCTAGATGTGAACCTCATCTTTTGGACGTCTCCTGGCCTGCTTAGTCAAAAGAACGTCGATTCTGCTTCTTGGAGCTCATTTGTTTCTTCTGTCTCAATCGTCCCTCGTTGAAAGATTTTGCTCTATACGCCTCGTTAGCCCCCTTTGGTGAATTAGCAGCTGAAAAGACGACTCACATCTCATCATGTTTCTTCTTCTTGTCGGGACTTGTTTCGCCAGGGACTGTCTCCTGATATATCTTCTTGATCTCGTCAAGGAGCTTTTGCTGGTTTTCTTCCGAGTTGGCGTCTCTCTGGCGATGCGTTTGGGCTTGGAATGTCAGAGAGTCTGACCTGGCTGTGTAGTATTTTGATTCCCTGATGCTTTGGTGTAACAGTTTTGGCAAGACTGGTAATATGTCTTTGATCGGCCAAACAGTGACTGCTTTGCTCTCAGTTCTATCGTAAACTTAGCAAAAGGACAACGCGAAGATGGAGAAGACTAGAGTCTCCAGCAGATATGCGGAGCGCCTACTTGTTAACATGCTGGCCACCGGGACCGCTGGAGCGAGCATAGGTTGTTTGCCCCTTGGGAAGTTGGCTGCCGTTAAAAGACTTGTGCCATGATCGTGCCTTTTCCAACTCTTCAGGATCAAAATCTGCCTCGAAAGCTTGGAAGCGAGCCCAGCGGACAGGCTGCAGGGGTCGGATGAAATGACTTGCTGATGTTGGACGGACAGATCGAAACAGACTTGTCACGAATTTCATTGTGACGGGAGACTAGCTTTCGGCTAGGAAAGGAAGATATCAAGCTGAGAGCGGTGAAGTTTCAGACGAATTCCATCTGTATGGGTAAACCATGAGAGAACAGGTTGAAACTCGACTGTAGAAAAATAGGGAAATATTTGCAGAACTGTCTGGTCTGCCTCAGATAGTCATCATCATTGATTGATAGACTAAGAGTGTGGACCTGGGCTTTTCGTGAAGGATGATGTACGGTGTTTAGAAAACAATCACTGTGGAGGGCACACGGTATCCAAATCAGGCTAAGCGTGACCGAGCTGCCAGATGAAGCTAGCGTCGGGCTGTGGGCTTCCAACCGTTTTTCCCACGGTGACATTGGTCAAGCCTCTTTCCCGTCCAGCGCGATCGGCCAGCCTTGCGGAGAGCAGAGCTTTGGCAGCGGGTGGATGGCACCTTCTTTCCCTCCCGTCCTCACAGCGATTTTTTCGACTTTTCTCCCACGCAGCCGTCCAGGCTCCACTATGTCGTTCGTACCTGAGCTTTTTAACCTTTTTTTTCCTTCCACCGCACACACACTTTCACGCGACACCGCCGCAGCAGCCACCAACCACATTTCGGTGCTCATGGCCTCAAGGTTCAACGTTTCTCCTGCATCCTCTTTCACCTCGCCTTTCTCCTACTGCTGAATCGACACCCCTTCCGCCCACCGCAGCATCAACTCAGAGGAAAATAAGCTCCCGTCACAGAGATTTCTGATTTCTCCGAGTCAAATCTTCTCACCTGCTGTCACAACTTTCAAAGGCCTTTTACGCTCCCGCCGCACCCACTTACCCATTCCTACTCAAACCGCCCGGCGCCCACTCCCCATCGGAGATTCCCCCGTGCCTGCAGCCTCTTTTCTTTTGCGCCTGCTTCCTTCCATCCATTCCCACCCCACCTTCCTGCCACTCTGGGTTCTTTCCTCTCACGTTTGAGTCCCCAAACCAACCAACCCAGACGTGCTTGCCTTGCCTCGCGCTTGCCCATAAGTACATGACGGCACTGCCGCGGTCCGACTGAATTTGCTGAAAACAAGGCGTCGGGTTGCCTCGTTTATCGCTGCTCCATTGACATAAAGCCCATTCTTTAACCCACTCGCCCACAAGCTTGTCTCGTCAACCTCACAAAAGCTTCTTCTGCCTGTTTCGCGCAAGCCTCGGCATCGTCGACATCAGCAGGCTTCCACAGCTGTCGTCGCATCGCCTACTCGCACCTAAAGGTTACTATCAACACCAATACTACTACTACATTTACCACCGCCAACCAGTGCGCCAACACTCCAACAGCTTGAATGCCCGAACCGGAGGCCACCCCCGAGTTCCAGGCTACTGCTGCCGACCTCTCGCCTTACTGTCCATCTCCCCTCCACTCCGCTGCCCCAGCTGTTGTACCTGCTCTTCAGGATACTGCTGATATCCTTGATGCAATGTCCGCCCACACTAATGGAGTCGCTCATGGCGACCTAGACGCACCTGCACATGCACCACTTTCGACCGAACCGTATGCGCAAGCTGCCGCAGACAACGCAGACGCCGAAGACGACGTCGACAGTCTGGACGATGCCTACGGAGAGGAAGAGGAGACACACACGGACAAGGTTCAGGAACAACAGATGGAGCCAGATGCCGGCGAGGATGATTATCTCAAGATCTTCGACTCTCCCCCCCGGGATGCGGATCAAGATGGCGCGGAAGAGGATGATGTATCAAAGGCACCAGAATCCATTCACAATTCCGCCGCTCCTGATTCTTTGACAAGCCCTTCGCAAGTGGCCCTCTCCACCGTCGCTGCCGCTGATTCCTCGTCGGCCAAGACTGCTGCTGCTGCTGCGGAACACTCCACCAAATCCGCGCCTTCCCAACCAGCTGCCGCCCACCCAGGAGCTGTTTCAAGCGCGCCTTATTCGACTGCCAACGGCGCCTCCTTCAACGCACGCAATGACAATGCCCCCGAGGATGACCCCGCCGTTGATGTCTCTCGCCTCGTTGCTGAGATGACAGGCCAGGCAAGCGAGTCCAGCAACGACCAATCTTCCACTGGCTCTGCTCAGAACCATGATGCTCAGCCATCGTCCAACTTGACCTCGTCCGCGTCTGCCACTCTTCCTCCCAGACCTCCGCTGCCTCAACAGGCGGCTCCCACATACCCATCTGAAGACTATCGAGGCTTCCCTCCTCAGAACGCTGCTCCTCATGTCTCTCCAAACATGATCGCTCCGCCCACGCCAGGTCAACCTTCTACCTACGTAGCTGCGGGTGCCCCGGGTACCGCATCCGACGTCTATGGCAGCCTCCCTCCTCCACCCGCCAACGGTTTGAACGCGGCTGTGCCCATTACTTCAATGAACGCCCCTCCCTATCCCACTCCTGGGGGCTACCCCGCCGGCCAGACGGACGATACTACTGACCGCCAGAACCTTTGGGACACCTTCGTAAACGACGAGCGCCGTTACATGGCTGATGCCAAATGGGATAAATTCCCCGATGGCTCACGCATCTTCATTGGTTCGCGCTCTCTCTCATCAGGCAGACCCGACGGCGCCATTGACTTCTTTTCAGGCAACCTGTCGAGCGAACGCGTTTCCAAGCGGGATGTCTTTGATATCTTTCACAGATACGGCCGTCTCGCCCAGATCTCGCTCAAGTCCGCCTATGGCTTCGTCCAGTACCACAACCTAGAAGACGCTCAAGCTGCCATGGACAATCTGCAGGGCAGCGAGATCAAGGGTCGCAAGATTCGTAAGTAGCCTTCAACAACATGCGATGAGAGAAGCTTGCTCACTTTTACTAGATCTGGAAATCTCACGCGCCCAGAAGAAGAAGGACGGCAACGAGAGAAACCGATCGCCAGACCGTGGTGGCCGTGGAGGTCGACCATCAGGACGCCAAGATCGTCAGGATCGCCATGACGGAGCCAACTCGCACCATGACAACCGTCGTAACCGCGATGACTACAGGCCGGGACGTAACAGCCCTCCCCGACGTGACCATGGCCGTGAGGATAGTCACGGTCGGGATCGTTACCAGCATGAATCTCATGATCGCTCCCGTGGTCGCTCGCGGTCCCCGCAGGGATACGGCCGCAGCCACACCGATGGATACCGTCGGCGCAGTCCCAGCCCGCCTGCAGCCCTTGGTCGTCCTTCTGCAGCTGACGACCGTCTCGATATTCCCCGCCGCTATGGCAACCAGGTTCCCGACGTTCAGTTCTTGCTCCTCCAGGATCTTAGCCGCGACTTCATCACCTGGGTTCAACGCGGTTTCACCGATCGCGGCCTGAAGGTCGACGTTATGTTCCTCCACCCAAGCTTCCCTCGTGAGGCTATTGTTCAACGCCAAGTCATCGAAGGCGTACACGCCATTGTCGATCTCGACATACAGGCACAAAACATGGGTAAGATCCCGCTCCGAGTCTTTGACCGCTCCGGAGGCGTCAGTGCCCGATACGACGACTACCGAGACATCGACCCGCCGATCGCGGCAGAGCTCGTCCTCCGGGCCAAGTCACAAGCTGTACCGGCGGCACCTTATCAGAATGCCCCGCCTCCTCAGCCTCAGTACCCGGGATACGGACAGCCTTATGGAGGGCAGCCCGTACCTCCTCATGCACCTGCTTATCACGGAGGCCAGGGGCCGCCACGTGGGCCTCCAGTCCAACAACCCCAGCCTCCGGCTGGAGTGCCAGCCGACCTCGCCAGCATGATGAATGGCATCGATAACGCGACCTTGCAGCGGCTGTTGGTTAGCATGAACCCCCAGGGTGGTCCGGCGGCTGTCAACAATGCTGCCGGAGCTGCAAACGCTCAGCTACAAGCCCTCATGGGTGGTATCCAGCAAGCGCCGCCTACGGCCCCAACGCAGCCTGCCTCGTATGGCGGACAGGCCTTTGCTCCCAATGGCGCGCCACCTTCAAATGGCCCGAACGGCCACCCCCCTGCGACTGGCACCGGCGATTCTGCAGTCCAAGTTCAGAACATTATGGCACAGCTGGCCAGATATCGGCAGTAAGGTGTGCGATGTGAGAGGTCAATTCACTGGGTCTTGATGAAGATATGATGGGGGAGGAGCTAATTTATTTGTTACCCGGCGTTACGGGCATGCAGTCCCATGAGGCTGCTCAAGTGGGCGGGAAAACCGTGATTTTCTTATAGATTCGTGGACGGGACGGGACGCCTTGCCTCGAGAGGGCAAAGTACTGTAGCCAAGGCATGACTGCGAGGCCAATTACATAAACACAGAAGTTTAAAATACCATTATTCGTCTCATCAATGCAAGTTTAAATCAGTCTCCAAGTCAGAAATATGAGGAATTTACAGCTTCTGAGTCGGCTTGTTCAGGAAAGCTGTGCACTCAATCTCAACATCGGTGCCCAGCGGCAGCTGGTATACCGCAACACACGTGCGGGCCTTTTGATTCCTCAATATCAGCACAGCTTCTCACTTTTCTTTGTCGTTCTGACCTGCCAGAGCGCACCCGAGATGAATGGAGACTTACAGGCTTGGGATCAAACGTAAAAAACTCATCATACGCCTCATTCATGGTGGCGAAATCAGCCATCTTTGTAATGTAGACGTTGACTTTGACGACGTTTTGGAGGGCGCTTCCGGAGGCCTCGAGGACGGCCGAGAGGTTTTTGAGGGCCTGGCGGGTGCGGTCTTTGACTGTGCCTTCGGCTTGGACCATGCCTGGCTTGTCGGGGAGGATGCCGATGTTGCCGGAGCAGTAGACCATGCCGTTGTATTTTACGGCTTGGGAGAATTGGGGGAGGGGGGCTGGGGCGGAGGTTGTGAGGACTTTCTCGATTTGGTCCGACATCATTTTGGGCTGTGGTGTTGATGGTGTGTAGAGATGGGTAGGTGATATATGCTTGGTTTGGTTGATGGGGTTAGATAAGGGATGTATGATTCGATGAGTTTTGGGGAGAGACCGATTTGGATGGTTGCGAGGAAAGACTGAAATAAATACGAGGAATTATCAAGGCTGGATCAGTATATAAGACAGACTGAAGTAGACGCGACTCTGTGAGGATGATAAATCCACCGGCGAAGATTACCACCGGCGCGGGGTCGGAGATGGGCTATGTGGGTCTCACGTCACCGGCGGGATGGTGGGGTCTGATAGCGGAAAGGGCGCGACGACTCACGACAGGGCGTGGACGACGGACGAAGGATTTTGCGCGGATTATCCGGCCGGACGGTGGATGAGGCTCTTTTTGACTTTTGGGAAGTTTGGAAATTTGCCGAGAGGCTAATGAACGTTCGGTACCTATTACGTGGGTAATGTCTGTATTGGAACCGCTGCTTGCATCATGCACGGGGTTAGGATAGGTAGGTAAGTAGTCGTCGGAAAGTTAGTTTCGCCTTGTATTCGTTGGAGGGCTCTTTTTTTGCATTACCCGAGTTGGTTCTCTACTAGACGGAATACTTTTAGCCTGAAGCTATATTTGATGTTACAGACTTGCGAATTACAGATAGGAACAGAGGAGGATGCGAGCATATCCTGAGCTTGGGTCTGCCGATAGAAAGCGCCTGGCCCACTTTGGCGTGGTCAACGGAGGACTTCGCCGCGGGACGGTGATGGCGGGGTAATTTTGGCCGGCCGAAGCCGGCGCCCCTCCTCCGGGGAGTTTGGGACGTCGGTCTTGCGACGCTGTGTAAGCATCAAGACTTCAACCAAAGACTGACCACATGGGAGATTGAGCAGAATCTGGTAAAGAAGAGATTCCTGTCTAACGCCTTCTTTGACAACGAATTACATACTGCAAGTGCCCGACTCTAAAAAAAACAAGAAACACCCCATCCATAAGTAGAGAAAACTCCAATGTCCCGGGGGAGAAGACACAAGCCTGAACCATCTATGAAGTGACACCTCTTGCCTCCATACTTTCTCTCAGAATATCTGCCATCTCATTGCATCCCAGCCGATGAGCCATATCCAGCAATTTTTCGCCGTTTGGGCCTGGTTCTGTGGCATCGGCACCTCCTTCAAGAAGGCTCCGAAGTGTAGCTAATCCGTCCTCATTGGTCCATTTCATGATTATAGGATAAAAAACCTCAGATATTGGCGTATGTCCTTCGTTGTCCCTCGCATTGGGGTCGGCCCCATGTTGAAGCAGAAATCTAACGAACTGCTGGTGGTATACACCGGCTGCGTTGATGAGGGGGGTTCGTCCCTTGTGGTCCCGTCCATCAATTTCAAGACCCTTTGCAACGGCCTTTTCAACACCTTCAAGATATTCAGAGCTCGTATCGTATGCCGCCTTGCATGCCTTGTGGAGGAAGGTTTGACCCGTATCGTCCAAATGAGAAGGGTCCAGACCTGCATCCAATAGGCCACTCAGAACATGTGTATTCTTGAAAGGGAAGACTTTGAATAGAGGAGTCTCTCCGAGTTTGTTTACCATGTGCCTGAAATCCGGAAGTCCACTACCGAATGCTTCTTGCGAATTTTTGTGAGAGAATTTGATCCCGCCATTGCCTCTTTGTTGTTCGAGGATACTGTGTTGCAATAGCAGGACCATATGCTCGACTGCTCCTCGTGATGCAACAACGGACAATGAAGTATCACCATAGAAGTCCTGTGTATGGACATACGCACCTGCTTTAAGAAGGATTTCTACCATTTCTGTACGATATGCATTGCACGCAGTGTAAAGAGGTGTTCGCCCAGATGCGTCTTGAACTTCCAAATCACACCCTCTCTGAATTAATAATCGAGTGGTTGCTGCGTGCCCATTCATGATTGCCCAATGGATCGGCATCATCTTGTCCAACAGAGATGTCCTATTGATGTCTGCTCCATTATCAAGAAGGAACTCGATGGAAGCATTTTGAGCGTTCTGGGCTGCCGCTACTAGAGGCGTGAAATCAAAATCATACCCGGCGTCAACGTTGATACCCGTCCCAAGCAAAAGACGCGCAGTACAGGTGTTTCCGATCTGGACCGCCTTGATGAAGGCTCTTTTGACATCTCCATCTTCGTCTACCGACGATGTTGATTGTAAAGTCGTGTTGGTAGCGACACTGCATTGCGGTCTGGATCGACTCTGAAGAATAAGTCTTAACGATGCTTCTTGTCCCTTTTCGGCAGCGCGGACCAAGGGGCTAAGTTCCTTTAGTCTAGGCTTAGGTTGAGCGCCTAAGTCGAATAGCATTCCGGCGATATCGACATACCCTCTTTCTGCAGCAAAGTAAAGAGGCGTACGTCCTTCTTTGTCCGCGAAAACAATGCTTGGGGGAGCTTGGGTGCTAGTCTCGGAGTCTGAGGTACCGAATGAAGCAGAGCGATCTTGTCTTACAGAAATTGCGATATGTTGTAGCAAGACCTTAGCCGCCTCTCCGTGGCCCTCCTTCAGAGCTGCAAGCAGTGGATAGCCGTAACGGCCTCCAAATATCTCAGCATCCGGAGTGAGGTGGAGCGCTTCCTCGACCAGCTTCGTTAACCCTCTCCCCGCAACAATGTACAGAAGGCTCGTAGAATTGGGATTATGCCTTCTTACTTTGTGCTGTTCGAAAAGATTGCTTCTCTGGATCCATTGTTTTAATGGAAAACTTTGGAAGAAGAAACTTTGTGAAACCGATTGGGCAGCGGCATTGGAATGATGAAGGATATGATTGGTTGCGTACTCGAGAAATGGAAAGCCACGTTCGACGTCGGCTTTCAAGTCGGTGGCTTTTCTCTTGGGGAGGTCCAAGAGAAATTGACACTCCGACAAATAGTCAGAGATGTCGACTCGACTCGAGTATTCATGGCAGCAGTCCCTTAATCTTTCGTGGCTTTTGGCCTCGAAATCGGCGCCCATTCCAGGCCAGAGATGACGTGTTCCATTATCCTTCAAAAAGAAGTCACGTACTGATTCGTGGATGAACTGAACCGTCTTGTCACCAGATCTCGTTGTCTCGGCCAGACCCTTTGACGAGCTGAGAATAAGGCGATCCATGTGGTCATACTGGACCTTACTAGGATCCCACTTCCCCAAAGCATCAGGTCCCAAGCCGGAGGCTAAGGCGAAGTAGTACTCCTCTCGTTTAAGAGGGCGTGTACTGTAGAGAATCCATTGAATACAGAGAAGCAAATCCCCTTTATTCTTTTGGTCTCTAGTCAATATGTTTTCGAAAAGCTCGCTCAATTTGGACGGGATCTCGCTCAACCGACTTTTGACCGCCCATAAGCGCCCACTCTCGTACTCATCGTTGAGGATATCAACTACAAGCACGACCCACATGAAGACTCCGGAAGCCTTTCGTAAGATTTCTTCCCTGACATCGTCAAGTCCAGGCCCAGTGTCGGCCTCGAACTTGTCGTGCACATATCTTGCAAGGTCTTCACCGTGACCAGTCTGTTTTTCAAGGACGAGCTGTCTGCCGTGCTGGATCTTGATATATGGGTAGTTCCGGCTTGAAAAGCAGACGTAAAATCGGAGGTCGTGCTGGAATGCATACTTGCACAGGTCTTCGAAGACCTTGACTATCTCTCGCACTTCGCCCTCAGCACATTCGTCAAGGGCATCAACGAAACACGTCAACTTTCGTTGTCCGAGTTTTTTGACGGCCCTGCAGAAGAGGTCTTTCGTCGTTTCAAGATCCCACGTTATCGGTTCTTGTTGGTTCAGGAGTGGAAACTCGTCGGCATCGAGCCAAACTTCGGGTATTTTGACCAAAAGCTGGTGTAGGAGCGACCGGTACATTCCTAGCGTCGATTTCTCAAGAGCCCCGCCCCTGGCATTGAAAAAGAAGGAAACCGTTCTGCCTCTTGCGCGCTTGAGAGCGAATTTCATGATCGTCGACTTCCCAGCTCCAGGCTTCCCCCTAATCCACAGAAAGCCATGATGCTTAGAGTATTGCTTTTGATCCATCCAGGCGGCGTAGTCAGGGTGCTTAATGAGCCAGTTGCAAGTTTGGGCATGATTTTCTTTGATGTCGTCTTTCCGCTTGTCAATTTGGTTGAACTTGAGTGCGTCCAAAAGCCTCTTGCGATTTTCACTACTTCTTTCTGCAGTGAAGTCGTGAGCAGATGCCAGCGAAGGGAAGTATGCGCCTCGACTAACCCATATCCGCACCAGACTGCATTTGTGCAACGGAGTTACTACCTGGCGTGACGAGAAGAAGCTCCCTTGCATAGGCTGCTGCGGTAGTGGCGGCATATTTCTGCCATCCCTTTGCCTTGTGTGAATCCGCATAGTCACATATGCCACGAATGACGAGGCATGGGAAGTTGTCCATTAAACCTGCCGCTTCCATTTCGAAGCACATCATGTGGTGGCCTTTAGCAAGTCGTTCTCTTGTTTTCGCGTGTTTCATGACCTGGTTGCCAGAGGCGATGATCCCGTAATGGATCTTGGGTTTGTCGTCTTGCCGCGCAATGCGTGATACTAGCTTAGATGGATCACAATCGTCGCAACTGTCCCCGAAATGTTCGTATGATGTCACGAAAAGTCGGTCGCCATCTGCGCCTCGGCGCGTATACTCGTCCATAAGAGGTTCGCGCTCTCTCATGTCGGCCAAGAATTTCGTAATTTGATTCGGCTTGCGTTCGTGCTCAATTCGTAGCCGGGAAACAGCCGAGAGTACCACTGGTGGAGGTTTGCTCAAACTTCCAGTGCGTTCAAAGCGACCCTTTCTGACAGTTTTGCCAAAGTCATACTGCACGACGCCCGGGGAAGCTCCTGTCGGGTTGCTTACGACGACATCGCCGAGCCGTATATCGCCCGCCTCAGGAACCCCGCCACCTATGCCAACCATCAAGCGAATCCATATTGAAGGAAACGTCCGCTTCATATCAGTTGCCAATCCCGCCGCACTTGTTGTGCCGTATTGCCCCGATGGCAAGCATGCAATAACAATGTTGTGCGGTCCGATACTGCCGAACGTATATGCATTGGTGTCGTCGGGGCTCATAGCATGTGGCAGGTGTTCATCGTCAAGCATAGCTGTAGCTGCAGCCGACTCAAGATAAAGAGCACAAACCCAGCCCACAGTGTACGAGCTTTTAGGCATCTGAAGCTTTGAGCCCCTTGCCCTCGTTCGTTTTGCAAGCCTTTCGACACGTTCTTCTTCTTCATTGTCGAAGCTCCGGCCCCGTTTCTCTTGCGCACGGCTAACATCGCTCGACGACTGCGAACCAGCACGAGGCCTTTGATGGTGGGCATTGCTGCTGGACATTTCGGCTAGAGTGGCTGCGGGGTTCAATGAGTTCGCCTGATTCTGTCTTTTCAACCTGTCCTTGTTAGTTGTCGTAATGGCGAACCTCGCCCAGTTCGAAGCAGGGTGCTCACCTGGCATGAGAACAGCGACATAACACCGATCGCAGGGAGGGTTGTTGCAAGCAAGTTCGGGCCCAGGCCGTAGAAGGAGATGGGAAAGTGAGTTTATGAGAGCGGCAAGTTGGGGCGGATGAGTCCAAATCAGGCTGCATGAACTGAGCTCCAAATGGCTCAGTCACCGCATTTTTTCCCACTTTCTTACAGCAGACGATATTGCATTGATCACATGACTCTCCCTGTATGTTGTAAAATATAGCCAATTGGCAGGACGACTGCGCCAGCAGACTTCTCAATCATGCGGCACAGCATGCTGTCCGTTTACCGAGACTAGGTACTTAGGTGCCTGATGCCACAGCCCCGCGACAGCTTTACCCTCCCCAACCTCAATATCTTTGCATGCGACTACTCTTTGGGAGTCCGCCCGTCGAAGTAACTCGCAACCACCTGAAGGGTTCAGATGATGTCGGTAGTACCACAACAGAGCCGTTACGACGGTAATTGGAATTGCCACAACCCAGTATACCCAGAACTTACCCGAGACATTCCACGAGTCTGCTCCCGAGTCGTAATCGAAAAATGAAGTGCTGAAGACGGCGGAAACGAAAGTTGCTGGCAGGAAGAGCAGCGTGAGAAAAGCCACAGTTTTCATGGCCTCGCTGTCCCTCTGCGTCGCGCGACCAATATCTACAGAAATCCCAGAGTCAAATTGAGCAACCATGTTGTAGGCGAGCGATATCTCGTTGAAATGTCGAGCTTTGTTGGAAGCCGAGCGCTCTTGAAGGCTGGTGATCATTTCTTCATAAAACTGCAGCCGCTGATGCGTGTGATTCCAAGCTCGTTTCCATGCGGCGGTAGGCCTGGACTGATCGTCAGGGCCAGCCTTGTATGTCTCGTGTTGCAGTAAAATCTTCCTCGCAGCCTTGACGGCTAGATCCAGCGTCTCCGAAACGTGTATAGCATGTCGTGCGGTTTCGTGCAAATGACGATAGTCCGGTGTAGGTTTCGGCGTGACCGAGTCTTGCATGGGGATGTTGTCCCTTTTCTTCTCCGTGGTCCTGACCGTATCTCGAACAGCCCAAACAGCGGCATCTTGCAGAGTCACGACCTTCTCCAAGATTCCGATGTATATCCAGTAGGGATCGATGAAGTAGTCGGCGTTCGGCACGGCGTACATGGGGTCGAATTCATCTGCCGGTACCCTCTTCATGCAGTTTGCCCCTGGTTGAACGGCGTCGAAAACAATGAGGATTGTTTGATGAGTCTCCGCCACCCAGTGCGTAAACACATTAATCTTTGACCATTCATATCCTGGATGTCCCTCGTTCGTGAGCTTCACTGGAAAGCGTGCCCATGTAGCTATTCTGCCGTCAGTCACGGTTTCTGGCCCCAATCGTCACGACTCACTCAGTCCTGTGGAATTTCCGTCCTCGTCAATTTTGGTACCGTAGCCAAAGTAACCGTTGGAATCTCTGCAATATCGTTTCCACCAAAGATCTGGGATCAGGAAGGCCTTGCCAAACTTCTCTCGGCATGCTAGGCATTCGCGTATTTTCTGCGCACGAGCCTTGCTATCGACTTGTCAGCATCGAGCCGTTGCCGAACCTCTGATAAGCCTACACGATGCAAACATCGAAATCTTCCTCGTCTGCTGAAAAGGATGCTGATTCCTTCTCACTGGTGTTCATTGACGGTCTCCATTTTTGATCACCTATTTCCTGTCAGTATGGCCACTGGTACGAACGAATTCTCTCCAACCTGACCTTTCTTCCAGTACAGCACTTCTGGTTGCGAGCAAGAATCACAGCACGTTCGGTCCATGTTGATTGATGGCATTGTAATTGGAGGAAAATACCTTACCAAAGGTGACATGAAATATGAGCCCTATTATAAGAATTGATAATAGGATTCGGCTGTGAGGATTGTTCGAGAATCATTGCGTTGAAGAGCAGGCTCCGAACAGGAGCTGCAGACCCCGCCTTAAGCGCTGATGCAGGCTGCATGGCCGGGCCTTTTGATACCTTGAATCAACCAACCAGCCATGTGAATCAGATCTGCTGCTGCAGGCAGGCGTAGTTTTGGAGTCTGTCCCACTGAAGAGCCCATCCAGAGGATTCCCCGTCGTATGAGGTCTGCGGGTTGTGTAATGTGACACCGAAATTCATGGCTCAGCCACCAGCCTTGCTGTCGCCGAGTGGAATGACTGGTGGGAAGCCTGGAGTTGACCATTGCGGCTCGAATACCAAGATCCTTTCGCCTGTCCATTGACAATGTGACAATTCCACAAGGCGGCATGCAGAAGGGAAAACAAAGAACAGTATTGAACTGCGGTCGGTAATAATTCCATTGCCTTCTTTGTAGATCGAAGTGAAAGAGCGACGACGTTCAAGTCTGTGGAATGGAAGGGGCTTTCGGCAGGGTCCTTCCCGCCCGCCCACAAACAGCCGGGATGTTCGCTGAAATGTCACCGGCGCCTGCTTGGCGATGGGGAGCACTTCCTCCACCAGAGACGGGAACATTTGGGGGGAAAGCTCAGGGGTCACCTCCTTCTGGCCAATCAAGACGTGGCTTACCAAGCAATCCATCGCATTTGGTCGATACACCTATTGGAAAACGGGCCTAAGCCAACCTAAAACCGCCTTGACTGCGAGGTGAGACTTTGGACGAAGATGCCAGCTGTAAGGTGTTCGTTCTGCTGTGTGTACTTGGCTACCCAGGCGCGTTTCTCGATACGTGACAAGTGACGGGAACCTTCGCCAATTCCCACTGCAACTCGATCTCATCCTCTTTTGTGTAACTACCCGCTCGGTCCGAGCTTGCGGATTATCACAACCTTTTTCATCTTGTCTTGTCTCTCGGATTTCTCATGTGGCATTGAGCTTCCCTTTTCTGTATCTCTACTTCACCATTGTCCGCGAGACCCGTGAAAGACCGACCGCCATGAGCTGGCCCTACCGTTTCGTCGACCTCTCCAAGGAAGAGGTCCAGATCCGGAGACAGACCCTGGATCGCTATGGCAGCTATGCTCAATATTCAGCACTGACGCCAATCATCATTGCTTTGCTGTTTCGGCTCGGGGCATATCTCAGTCAACGGTGGCAGTCAGGAGGTTCATACGCGGCTGTTCCAGGCTCCCCCGAGCTGAAGACGAGAAGACAGAGCTGGAGCCACAGCTGGGACGCCACGATCAAGAAGTGGAAGTGGTGGCTCGCGGACGATGTCTACTTCATGGGGCAGCATTGGGGTCAGAAGGATCAATGGGTCTTTGGTCTGGCCTGGGCGGCATGGCTGCTGGTTTTGAGTGTGTTGGAGACGGGCGATGGTGAGTTGGGAATCCCCTCAATTGGTTGCCAAACACGATGAAACCCCAAATGTGACTTCGGAAACCACCCCTCAATAGGCTCTAGGGAACTTGACTGAAGTTGGGATTACATGCTCAAAAACACTATCATTCGGATTGACCAGAAATATCATGTTTCTAACCAGTTGTAGATTACCTCCATCTCACCAAACGCTTCGGCATCATCGCCGTTTCTCAGATCCCCTTTCAGTACCTACTGGCATTGAAGAGTTTCAGCCCCATCGCAAAGGCTTTCCGCACATCCCACGAGGAGCTCAACAAATGGCACCGCGTTCTCTCCCGCGTGACGCTATCCCTCCTTGTCCTCCACGCCGTGTTCTACCTGAACTTCTTCGTGGCCAAAGGCATCGTTCAGAAGCGCCTCTTTGCCCCCGTCGTCTTTGCCGGTGTCGTTGCGTTTGCAACCATGAACATGATGACCTCGACAGCGGCTGCCACCGTTCGCAGGTACTCGTACCGAGTCTTCTTCATCACCCATCTCATCGGTGCATTTGCTATTCCAGTCCTGGTGTTCTTCCACGCCAAGTCAGCACGGCTGTTTATGGTGAAGGCCATCATCGTCTTCCTCATTGACCTTACTGTCCGTCGTCTCCGGACTGTACAGGCTCTCTCAAAGGTTGAGACTATCCCTGGCACGAACCTGATCAAGATATCAGCTTCGATCCCTCGGCACAAGATCAATGCTTTCCACACGCGTCCGGGCTCCCACATCTACCTTAGCGTACCCGCCGCAGCACGACCTGGAGCTGGCCCTACATCTCCTGACGCAATGCTCTTTGAGTTTCTCTTCAACCCCTTCACCGTTGCATCCGTCGACGAGGATAACGGCAGCCTTACCCTGGTAGCTCGTCAGCTCGATGGTCCTCTTACACGACATCTCGGCCGTTTCGCAAACGCGGGCACCGGCATCGAAGACGGCAAGGTCCCGCTCTGCATCGAGGGCCCCTACGGTGCCGCATCCCTCCACTTTGACAAACTCACTGGCGACTCTGTCGATCGGTTCCTGTTGGTTGCCGGCGGCGTGGGTGCAACTTTCACAGTACCAATTTACCACGCCATCCTCCAAGACAACCCAAGCGCCAAGGTCGAACTCGTCTGGTCCGTCCGCGGCGCCAGCGACGCAACCTGGGCCACGGCCGCCGACAAGTCCGTCTCCAAGAGCGTCCTCGACGACCCCAACGTCCGCGTCTTCCTCACGGGCGAGGCCCTCAACTCAGATTCCACGGGTCCCATGGCCGGCCTTCCGTCCGAGACGAACGCTGAGGGCGAGATGGAGATGAGTTCCTTGCAGCGTGATCGGAGGCGGAACCGCCTCACAAGCGAGAGCAGTCGTAAGCATCCGGACTTGCGCAAGATTGTCGACGACTTCTTCAGGCAAGGGGCTGAGGAGAGAGTCGCGGTGCTGGTATGCGGGCCGGCGGAGATGGGACGGGAGGTGCGGGAGTATGTTGGCGCGTGGGTCATGAGGGGCCGGGACGTGGTGTGGCATAACGAGGCCTTTGGCTGGTGAGGGCCTGCATGTCTGTAGATTTGGGCGGTTTGAATTAATAGAAGGATAAGGCCGGGGCTACTGGGTTGGCGTTTCTGCTTTGGTGATTTATTGGTCTGCCCTAGAAATCATAGCTATTGTTCCAAATTCTTCGTCTCTTCCCCTGCCATGTGACAGTGTCCTGGTTTTCACGAACCAAAAGTGAGGTTTGCACAATATGATGAGGGGAAAGAATGTCATTTTATCTATTGCGAAACACGCTGCTAGGATGAAAGGCCTCCCCAAACGCCAGAAAATCGTAACTCAATGCTCATCCGTCATATCGCACACGTTCCTTGACCTCCTCCCAACAAGAGAGCCCTAATCAGCCCGCTTCTTGGAATCGCCAATATCTCCCGTATCCATATCCTTGCTCTTTACTCCGCCAATATCGCCATCGCCATCCTCCTCCTCCCAATCATCCACCTGGTTCTCATCCCAATTGTCCACTTCCTCCTCAAGCGACCTACCCCCATTGCTAGCACCTACATCAACACCAGCACCACCGTCCCTCGCACCACTAGCCTCAACAACACCAGTCTCATGTCCCTCACCAAGCTCCACATCCTCCTCATCCTCCCCCGGAACAGCCTGATACGTCTTTGTCCGGCGCTTGCGCTCCAACATACGCTTGTGGTACCACGAGCACAGTCCCACGCTCGCCAGAGACCCAACGACGTTGGCGACGATGTCGTAGAAGTCGAATTCGCGGCCGTTGGGGAGGAAGCCCTGGAGGAACTCGGAGCCGACGCCGAGGATGAAGGTGCAGACGGTCAGGGTGAGGTTGAGGGTGCGGCGGCGGTTGGTGTCGAGGATCCAGTAGAAGACGAGGGTGAGGAGGAAGAAGGTTGCAAAGTGGAGGACTTTGTCGTTTACGTATTGGCCTAGTTGGAGGGTTGTTAGGCCTGCGTAGCCTGCGACGAGGAGGAGGGCGAAGAAGACGCCTGGAGAGGAGGAGAGTGTTAGCGAGACCTGTCAACGGGTGGTTTGCGAGCTTGGGCTGGAGTTGGAGCTTGAATGAAGATGAAGTTGAGCTTGGGCTGGAGCTGAAGCTGAAATGGAGATGAAGCTGGGCTGGAGCTGGGGGCTACATAGTCCACTCGGCTCTGCGAGGAATCGATGGAGATCCAGAACCATGGGTGACTGCAGTTGAGACTCTTGACGTACCTGCAAAGGGCAAACGTATCCGCATATTGAAGAGACCTGCAGCAGCTCCTGCAGATGGTGTGATTGGTAGCTTGCGATGGTAGCTAAGGTAGCTAAGCTCTTGGAGTGTCTCGAAATAATTATGGGCGGCTCGAGTGATGGAGGTGGAGGTGTGTAAGGTCAGCTATTCGACAAGCTCGCAGAAGATGGTTGGTCGAAGATTCGTTGTTCTCAAGATGAGGAAAGGGCCAGGGTTGTTCGTAATGGGGTCGTCACAGACGAGGATGAGGTGTCCAGCTGGCCGGAGCTCCCAAGCGACTGGATCGGGGCGAGCGAGGGAGAGCTTTTTTTTTCCTGCTGCGGCCCTGCGGGAACGCGAAAATGGAGTTCAGCCCACTGACGGAAGGAGATGTGCAGTGGTGGCGCCCCAACCCCAGGCTTTACTGCGTACGGGGGGACCTCTTTCGAGGACAGGGGTAGGGCCCCGAGGATTTTGGAGCAAGATGGAGGGGGCCCGGTTTGGTCGGGTTCAGGTGGCCCGGGCGGAAGATGCCGTGGGCCGCAGTTGGTACTGTCGCGATATGGATGTCTGGGGGGGGACAGACGCGATGCGCGCCCGTGGATGCGGATGAGGTCACTGGGGGTGGGTGGAGGGAATTGAGGTGCACGGGATGATGTATAAAGGGAGGGAATTGAGATGTCTGGTGGTGTTGCGGAGAGTCGCTGGGGACTTTTCTGACATTTGCAACCTTCTGAAAATCACATAAGCATCACCACTCTGTTCGGCATTAAAGTACTTCCAAGCTCCCCCTCCCCCCAAATGCGAACTCTCTGTTGTTGTTGTTGTTGGTCCGCCTGCTGTGCTTTGGTGCCTGGGTGCGCTTCATGGCTCGTTGCTGACTGCGACTGGTTGGCTGGGGCCATCACGTGACAAAGACATACGCGATCCGATCGCTCAGCGCTGGGCCAAGGGGGGGAATTACGGTGGCCTCCGCTCGCGCCGTCGTCGGCATTGGAAGTTCATGTACCTGCATCCCGCAATCGCGGCACCCATCATCACCCCAGTGCACTTCATTTCTGGGTCCGAAAAAAGGTAGATGAATTGTCGAGCATACTGAGACCTCGAGAAATCATTTTTAAGTACATGCGACAGTCTTCGTGGTGGTCTGTGCTGCGTAACTCGGGGTCAACCAAGGTTCCGTGTACCGCTAGCAGCGGCCAACTCGCCGTCTTCAGGCAAGGGAAAAGTTCCATCGCGTACTTGCGTACGAGCCTCTCCAAATCCTCAACCTCACCTCTCGGAACCACCCAAAAGACCCCCTATTGCAATCCATCAATACACAACAACCACAACCCGTCACGTCTCCGAATCCTTCAGGTCATCTCTATCGATGTCGCTCTATCTACTGATGCGCTCATAACGACCCTTTGCCGCCCGGACTCGGTCCCTGACGAGCGCATTTCCTTGCGCATGGCGACACGCCGCCCACCTGTCGCTATCATCAATCCGGGCACAAAATGTCCCTCCCCAATGGCCACCACGCATGGCAGCCGCCGTCCCTTCATCACCAACCGTCTAGTCGCCTGTTCCATCAACTTGATGATGGTCCTGCGCGAAACGGAACCCCCGTCGACCATTCAATGTCCTTGATGCCTGAGGCACAACCTGATATTGAAGAGGAACGACGACGCGCCTTGTTCAAAGATCTCTATCACAAGAGCGAGGCAAAGATCTCGCTGCTGTTCGCTGACGACGGATCATACAACTATCCCGCCATCGATGCGCTGCGCCGCCTCTCCGCCCCCTCCCCCTCCATCTTACCCCCTACCACCGACCATGCGCCGATCCAAGAGCCTCCATTAAAGAAGGCCAAGCGGGTTATCGACGAAGACGATTACGGCGATGACGATGACGAGGATGAAGAAGACGCGACCGCCGCCGATTCGAGTAAACCCGCGAACGGCATTGCGGCCGCGGGCGCCGGCTCGCTGCTCTCCCCCTCAAAGTCCGGAAGTTCGCCCGTGCACTCCGTCAGCTCCCCCGGCAAGCTCCTCGAGAAACTCAAACAGGCCGACAGATCCGGAGACAGCGCCAAAACGAGCGAAGATGCGCGCAAGCAGCTGGAAGAGGCGCGTAACGCGACCGAAGAAGCGGCGAGACGGAGCTTCCATACTATATTCTATACCCTGGAAAACGACCGGACTGCTATGCTGGAGCAGCAGCAGCTGGAGGAATCCGAAAAACAATTGCAGGCCGAGATGGAAAATAACAACAACCATAGCCAGACAAATGGCGCCCAGGCCGAAAACCATGGGTCGCTCAGCAGCGCCAACCTGGGCGCGTCGAGTTTGACCCTCAAGCACTTGATTGCGAGGATAGACATGAAACGCGACCAGGTTCGCGCCTCTGACGCCGAATTGCGATCGCTCATGAACGAAGTACGGAAAAACCGAAGTAAATGGGCCAGTGAGGAAAACGTCAACCAAGAAGAGTTGTACGAGGCCCTTGAGAAGGTCTTGACGGAGCTGAAGGCACATACGGAATACTCAACGCCCTTTCTGCAGAGGGTGAACAAGAGGGATGCGCCGGATTACTATAACCGTAAGTTGTTCCTAGGCAGACAAGTTCGATCCGGATTGGCTAACCGCCCTCGGCACAATGCAGTCATCAAGCAGCCAATGGACATGGGATCTATGACCAAGAAGATCAAGTCCCTCACCTACAAATCGAAGGCGGATTTCGTCACCGACCTTAACCTGATATGGGACAACTGCCTGCGATACAACCAAGATATGGGACACCCTCTCCGACGGATGGCCAATGGCATGAGGAAAGAGGCCGAGAAGCTGATTCCTCTCATTCCGGACCTCGTCATCCGTCCGCGAGCCGAGGTCGAGGCAGAAGAGCGCCGTAAACAGAATGGCGGCGAGGAAGATGGTGGTGACGACTCGGACGATGAGCCGATAATGTCATCTCGCGGTCGTACTGCCGGAACCAAGGGCGCCAAGTCTCGGAAACAACCTACCGATCAGAAGGAGGGTACTCCCAGCGTTGACCAGAAGCCGGTGCTGCAGCTTAATGGCCTGCTTGCTAAGGGCAGAGAAGGCTCTGAGGCAGTCGACGGTAGTGGATTCGGCACACCCATCGCTGGTTCCGCAACTCCTGGCGGCGTCAATGGGCACTCAGGCATTGGAAGCAACGCCGATGCCATGGATATCGACGGGCCCACGTTGAACGGCATGGCCTTGGGACAGGCTCTCAACGAGGCTGCAGAACAGGCCTACGAGGACGACGAGTACAAGATCTGGAAGCAAGTTACGAAGAAAGACCGCGCACTCATCGCCAAGGAAAGGTATCAGCTTTTCAAGGACAACAAGCTCAACACCGACGCTCCTGCTCTGCTACGAAACAAGGCCGGTATTCGGTGGTATTTGAGAGGGCAAAAAGAAGCCGAGACACTAGGTGTCATTGGCCAAGCTCAGGCCGACTCATCTGCTATCGCTGCTAAAGAAGCTGCGAAGCCTGCCGAAACTCTTGCAGAGGGCATGGAAGGAGAAGAGGAGAAGATTGTACCCGCGTACTACGAACCTCTGACGGTCCTCCCAGACATCCAACCGAAGCTGCAGTGGATCGAGGATGGTGAGGGCCACGTCATCAATCAGCATGAGGAATATCTCCGTATGATTCCCGAAGGTCACTTCAAGGCACCCAAGAGCAAATTTGCCAGCAAGATCGACAGCAACATTCATCAGATCCAGGAGACGAGGAAACTGTCGAGCAAGATCGGCGTGATTAAGCAGATGCAGATCCAGACTCAGGTATATACAGGTGTCGCCGGCAGGTGGATAAGTCTTCTAACTCGTGTTTTCTAGGTTTACAACAACCAATTTCCCAAGTCCAACTACGAATCTTTTATAGAGCAGGATGCCGAGCCATCTTTCATCGCAGATGATGGTCCCGTCATTGCACCAGAGACTTGCCGTAGTGCATTGCAGCGCTCTGTAGCCAAGATCCTCTACCACACCGGTTTCGAAGAGCTTCAGCCCTCAGCCATCGACACCATGACCAGCTTAGCATCCGACTACTTTGAGAAGATCATCAAAACCTTCAACGTGTATCGCGAGGCGGAGAAGATCGAGGCACCTGCAATCCGTGCCGAGGGAAGCTCTCGATTCCAGTCACGCTTCACTCCCGAGGAAATTATCTTGCACACGCTCGACGAGAATGGATGCGACCTGTTCAGTCTGGAGTCTTACGCTAAGGACGAAGTCGACCGACTCAGCTCGAAGCTTGGCGGTATCCACGAACGTATGAAGTTCCATCTTACCGAGCTTTTGCGGCCCGCCCTCACCCAGGAGGCCGGACAAGATGGTGTTGGTGCCTTCAAAGATGGTAGCGAGCAGTTCGTTAGTGGTGACTTCGCTGAGGACCTCGGCGAAGACTTCTTTGGTTTCAAGGCCCTGGGTCTGGACAAGGAGATGGGTCTTGATATGCTCTCGGTTCCTCTCCACTTGCTCCAGTCTCGTGTTCGCAACCAATTCCAGATGCAGACCCAGACGGTTGGCACGGAGGTCACTGACCTCTTCGACTCCTTGCCGCCTGTTGAGCCCATCACGACGGAGAACATCCACGGCCAGATTGGTCTCGTCAAGAACTTCTTCCTGGCCAAGCTGCACGCTAATGGCGATACGCCCCTGGTCGAAGACGAAGAGCTGCCTGTTAAGCAGAGGCGGCCCAGACCCCGTCTTGGTGCATCTGGAAAGATCGTCTCGCCGCAGAAGCGGCCGCCCAAGGAGCAAATTGCCCTTGCCAAGAAGAAGAAGAAGATGGAATTGGCGGCGCAAGCCAACAAGGACGTCAATGCTTCACCGGAGAAGAAGGGCGAGACTACGCCGGCGAAGAAGGTCAAGCACGCCAACATCAACGGCTCCGGGCCCAACCCAGCGGCGATCGCGCTGCCTTCAAGCATGGAGCGGAACGAGAGCATGCAAAGCCAGGGCAACACCAGTCAGACCGACAAGGACGAGCCCATGGGTATGATGAGTCCCGAGAGCATTGAGAGATGAGTGACAGGGACGCCATGACACTCGATTTCTCACCTATATATACCCGTTCCACATATACCAACATGGCGGCTTGCTGGTGATCTTGTCAGCGAGTGCCCAGTGGAACGGAGTTTTCATTACCACCCTTTCAGAAGCATGTCGCGGAAGCGTTCGAGTCAGCTTCTGCATTCGTCCGAAGCAGTCTCTTTGCATCACCAATCCTCAGACATTGCTTGGTATCATACAACTCTTCAATATACGTTTTTGATCCACACCCCTTTTTCATTTTCAACAAACATCCCTCGGCGTTGAGTTTGGATCGTCGTTTCATCGTACGGGAAAGGGAAGATATAATGCTGCACAAAGAAAAAAAAAACCCGAATTACATAGCTCGGCGCGGCTATTCACTAAGAAGACTGGGATACCCAAAAAGCCAACAAAGTGGCGGTCATTCATGGGGGAGGTCGTTTATCAGATGAGACCGGAGATGAACGGTCTGGTTTCTTGTCATTTTTTCAACAGTGGAAGGGGTGGGTTTGAAGTTTTCTTGTCCGTTGGCGGTACTGCAGCGCGGGAGATATTCCGCCTCGGACTGGAGAAGAAGGGCTGGGTAGTTTTTATTTGGTCAACGACGTTTTTCAACTCATCTCGTATAGTGCAGAGGACAGGACCGCCACCCTTCGTTATGGAAAGGCGGAAGAAGTTCAGGAGGCTTATCTCTTTTGCTTTCTTGTTGTTTCGGGATGAGGGCGAGGGATCAAGAAGGCTCTGGAACTTGGACAGATTATGGGATGGGGACCGGCCATCCGCAAAGTCTACCTTTCATGACAGCATTTTGGTTGATCACCTCCATGATTCCTCCCTCATCTTAGGTTTTTGGAGGCTTCCATGGCATGCGTATGCGTATCAAGTTATTGCTTGTAAGATTGTTGAAGGGGAATGCTGGGGGTGGATGCGTGCATGCTGTCTAGGGTTCTACCTCGTTCTTCTCTCTTTGAGTTTGTTGATACGTATGCGATGCGATGCGATGCCCGCTTGGAGTTGATAGATGGCGTGTTTTTTGTTCACCAGTCGTAGTAGTTTAGTTTTTTTTTCTTGTAGTAGAGCCGCTGCTGTTGGGCTGAGAATCGAAATCGAAATGAAAACATGATCAATGATTTGATGTTTTTCCGTGGTGTGATGTAGTATGAGTATTGATGTCTTCGTCTGGGTATTGCCTTAGTGCTGAGCCAACTCGGAGTTGAAGGAGGTTTACGTTCATGCCATATCGCAGTCAAGGACATCGGAATCCGGATTCGGGAACACGAAAAGCACGGGTTCAGGAGAGGTATTGTGTTGCTATCAAGGGGCGGTTACGCCAGTCTCTAGCAGGTCAAGAGCACTGTGTTTATGACGGTATCATCCCTCGCCAGCAAATCTATCCCTCTGGCTCTATCGCCCACGGCTCTACACCGCTCAAACCGTCTGCTCTACGCAGAAATAAAAAGAGACCAAGAACCGCGCGGTCACGGGACAGAATATTCTAAGAAGCCCTCCCGTCTTCGCAGCCGTAGTCTTGGAACTGTTGAGAACGACAAAGAGCTTGCCCTTGAACACGGATCATATCCGGATGGAGTTGTCTAACTGTCTCTATGTGATTCATATAACTTGACTGAGCAAGCTTTATGGCGATTGTGCTTTCTGCGTTGGCATCTCTGGGCTTCTGAGCTGCTACGATGATGTCCGGCACTAGTTTCCTGTCCTTCTTCGCTCATGGGGTAGATCATAAGCCCCGTCAACTTGGCGTCCAATCAGTATCGGGTGGTACGATGGAACCTTCGGGTGCTGATATCAGCAATTTCTAGGCATATCATCATAAGCAGGCTCAAGAAAGATGTCAATGTATCAAGTTGCTGACAGCGCGAGGCCGAATTTTGAGTCGGTACTCGTCGTGTCTTGGTATCAACTGCATCTACGATAGGCCCTACGATGAGGCAAGGGGGCCTCGTCATACCCAGAAAAAGATGTGTCCAGCGAGCGTACGTGGGTTTGGGTTCGAATGATGATTGAGGCAAGACTCTTATGGCGTGTGTAGCAGGACTAGCTAGATTTTGGCTCGTCTTCGGTCTTCGTCAGGTGCTGACCCCTGACTATCACGGTAACAGACAGCGGCACGCCGCATTTGCTGTACTTTTCCATGAGCACGAGATGCTCCTGTGTCGTACGCTTGTGGAAGGGCATCCGTCAGCTCCACAGAGCTCAGCGAGGCAGGCAAGGAGTCTGTCTCGAGACGTTGAAGGCCTTCGAGACCCCCTTAGAGTCGTGTCCGTCCAGTACCCAGGCTGTCTTCCTCCGACGTCGACTTCTCGATCTGAATCCCCAATGTGTCCCCCGTAGTATGGTATTCTTCCTCATTTCATTCTTGAGTTTGGTTGGGCTGAGATGGTTCGTATCGTGCGTGGAATGATCGTCAGGGGCGGCGAGCATGAGGTCTTTGGCAGCGGGGCTTAGGTGCTCGAAAGAGCCGTGACTTTATGGCAAAGTTCGATGTTTGGTCTTCAAAGATGCCATGGTCAGCACGTTCGAAACAACTGACAGGAATGCTGAAGGTGTGAAGTGATACTTGGGGACGAGGACGGTGGTATCTGTCCCGGAAACGGAATCAGCGGTGACCCTGTAGCTGGGAATACTTGCTATTGCAACCGATCTTCTCATTTCAAAGATGCCCAGCCGAGCCACGGGGTATGGGAATCCCACCGGTCCACAACATGGCTTGATGGATTGATGGCGACGCAAATTTGCCACACCACTCCCTGACACCACCGAGAGGGACACGTCGAGCCACAACCGGTGGCATCCTGTGACTGAAAAGAATCGTTTTTCGCTAGAATTTCTCGCAAGAACTACGGCCTGCTGTGTCACTTGATACATCAAGTCTGCGCACAGGTAGACGAATCGAGCGGGGCCTATGATCAACGGGAGAATTTATGCTGTCTTGGAACTGGCTAGTCGCATGGTACATCCTGAGGAGACGGTCATATGCAATGAGACTTCTGTATGCAATATGTGAAGTCAATCGGTCGGGTGAATTAATGGTATTGGTATCTTCTACGAATAATCAACGCATTCTTCTTCCTCGCACGTCGTCAAAGCCTTGACATCAGGAACCGCTAATTGTGATTCGGCCATGACCAGCATCAGCTTCTTATGAAACAAAGACTCTGGCCAACCAATAAGCAAAAGAGCTTTCTGAAGAGAACGCAGTACGTCCCTGGCTCCCAGAAGCATGCTATTGCATCCGGGTTGCAAACTAGAAAGCCACGTGTTGCAAGCCAGGATGTCGATGAGAGCATCGGCAATACGAAAGACTTTTAGCTCCTATTGAGCAAGAAACAAGGGGTAAACCAGTCAGCGGTCTCGAAGGGGCCAGAACCTCGGTAAGTCTACGTGCGTGAAATAACTTACTAGTCCATATCCGTGGGTCCTAATGGCCTGCTGAGAAACAGACCCGAGCAGGCGCATGGTCTCGTGAGCAACCTTGGCGGGCTTCAACATGGAGAGCATTGCATCGTCCATGCGGCTAGACATCTGGTAGTGGCTCAGGGCGAACTGCCACCAGAGGATGTGGATCCAGTTCCCCGTCATCAGCACGTTGACTCGCTGCGTCTCTGGGAGGTAGGGGGCCAGGGTCGAGAAGTCTTGCTTGGCCATGGCCGAGAGGGCGCTGTAGAGGTTTTCGGCTGCGTTGGAGTCGGGGGGGACTCCCCCTCTGTCTGCCGCTACGATTATGTTGTCGTCGAGGAGGGTGAAGAGTTGAGCGAGGAGTTGGAAGGAAGCGTCTACTTCGCCGGCTCCTTGGATGTGAAATTCGGAAAGCGGAAAAGTCTGGATCGGCTTGAGGCATGGTGGGAAACAATTCTGGACGCAGAAGGTTCTGTTTCTTCTCTGTTAGCTATTCGACCCTCTCTAAAGAGAAGTCTGATCGACTGAAACCGACATACGTAGTATAAATAGGAATAAGACTCACCTCTCTGTCACGAACACCAGCCAGAAGATGCGTAAGAGCAATTCTCTTTGTTCCTCTTCGAGACTGACCAGGATTTCTGGACGGTGCAGGCTTTGCAGATGTAACTGAGCAATCGCCTCGTGTAAGTATACTGTAGCTATTCTGATGCGTTCTGTATTGGCAAAGTAAACGTGTAGGAAGAACGCAGTCAGTAGGGACTCCGTTGTGTCTTCCTTGTAGTGAGTGCTTTGATGATGCTGGTTGCTCAAATTATGCGAGCGTTGAGCATGATGTGCAAAGCTTTCTGCGACATTGTTGTCATCGGAGACCAGATTATGCTACTTGGAAAGCCGCAGTTGAGATAGTCGTAACTGCACAATTACCGTAGCACATATGGCTCCAGCTAATGCCCATGCATCGTGATCATCCAGCGAACCACTGATGCGGGACTTGAGTGATTCCACGTTGACGACGGGCCAAACACATGTTAGATGGTCTCGAAACTTATCCAAGTATTCGATGTAAACCTGCAAAGATTTTTGCTGGGTAGCACTCTCGTTCTCCACACCGGAAGTTGACGGTGATCTGGGACTTTGCGTCGAGCCACGGTCCGGAAGAAGGAGGCTTGATCGATTCTGTCGAATCTGTTCTTGGTAGTTTACCACCTTGTGTGTAGTGCTCGATCGAGGTCCTTTCGGTCCTCTCTTCCGCGAAATCCGAAGAAACGTGCATTCCACTGATCTTTTTCGGCATTCGTTGCAGGGTGGACTGCTTCCTTGTAAGTGGCATCGTACTCACCGAAGCGAGCATCCATCACAAGGATAGTTCGTACGCTTCTTTCCTTTCTCCATCTTCCGGTTTCGAAGGCGATGACTGCATGAGATCTCGGAAAAGTGAGTTATGAGAGTAGCCGACTCTGGTTTCAAATCTGAAGGACTGCAGTTGTCTCTCCTAAATACCATTTCAGGCGAATAAGTCAAGCGACTCTTGTGGGGTACGGATACCCGGACTCGGATTTCCTTTTTCTGCCCATCGGCTCCGGGGCCCCTCTATGTCAAGGTCACCGGATTTCATGGGTAGTCAAAAATTCCACGAGAATTTAACCGGGCACAAGAGTCTTGGCCTTGTCGCTTGAACTTTTCGCTTGAAATATCCCCGGACCAACCCGCATTATCCACATGGAACCAACACTACGGCCCTTGACGGCTAGGTTGTCCGAGACCCGAGTCTAGAAGCACCTGATTGCCACAGAAAAAGTTGCAAGTCGGTGGAAGCCATTTAAGACTGCGTCCGATCAAGAACTACGGATGCGGGTAACGCATGGGATGATGTTGACGCTAGCCAAATGTTTCTGGGGAAGGGCATGTCGGTGATTTTTCTCACGGGAGTCAACCCACGCGAGAAAGTGGCATCAAGATAAATAGTTCTTCATAGTCCCGAATTCGGACATAGGTTCCCCAGATTTCCCCAGACTCTACTGCACCTCTCTCCATCTTTTCCTGTCATCTTATCAGCTGTCGAGAGTCTGTGCTGTCAATGGCGCCCACCCCCGGTCAACGTCGAGACTGCGAATGCACTCACGGATCCGAGTGCTGCAGAGAAACACCACAAGCATGAGTCGGTACTTCTGGATCATGTAGCCCACGATGCTCAAGCGGCGACAGAAGGCCAAAAGAACATGTCGGTTATGGAGTCCTTCCGGGCATATCCGAAGTCTGTGGCGTTCTCAATGGTCCTCCCCCTCTGCATTGTCATGGAGGCCTACGATACTTCTCTGATTGACAACTTTTACGGCTTGCCGCAATTCCGTCGACGATTTGGAGTACGTTTGGAGAACGGTGACTATCAACTTACATCAACATGGCAGTCGGGTTTGCAAAACGCTACTCAAGTTGGTCAGATGATTGGACTCTTCATCGGTGGTATTGTCGCGGAACGCTATGGATACAAGAAGACTTTCCTCGGCGCCCTGGTATTGAACATCGCTTTCATCTTCCGTTTCTTCTTTGCGCAGAATATCGGCTACCTTCTTGCAGGAGGTCTGCTTTGTGGCCTCCCTTGGGGTGCTTTCCAAGCTTTGACGACAACATACGCCGCCGACGTTACGCCTATGGCCCTTCGACCAATTATGACGACTTATACAAACATGTGTTGGGTCATCGGACAGTTTATCGGCACCGGCGTCCTTCGAGGACTTCTTTCCCGCCCCGACGACTGGGCTTGGCGTATTCCCTACGCCATCCAATGGGTGTTCCCTCTGCCCATCATGGTTGGCGTTATTCTCGCTCCCGAGAGCCCGACTTGGCTGGTTCGCAAAGGACGTCTGACCGATGCTCGCAACGCTCTTCGACGCCTGGCGAGTTCTTCGACAACTGATGCCCAGCTTGACGTCAGCATCGCCATGATTGCCCACACGAACGAGATGGAGAGGCTGAACTCGGAGGGAACGTCATACATCGACTGCTTCCGTGGAACCAACCTTCGTCGCACAATGATTGCCTACTTCGTCTGGGTGGGACAGGTTGCTTGTGGTGTTTGGTTCGGTGGCAACGTCATCTACTTCCTGCAACAAGCTGGCTTCGACTCGGACAACTCTTTCAGCTTTGGTCTGAGAGATAGCGCCATCGCCATCGTCGGCACCTTTCTGTCTTGGTTCCTCCTTCCACACGTTGGGCGCCGCACGTTATACGTCGTTGGTCTCTGCATCATGTTCACCGTATTAGTGACCGTTGGCGGCATGGGCATTCCGGATCCTCGTCCGGATCTAGGCTGGGCATCCGGTGCCTTGTTGATGGTCTTCGTCATCACCTACGACATGACTGTCGGACCAACTTGCTACTGTCTAGTCGCAGAGATCCCTTCCACCCGGCTCAGAATCAAGACAGTTGCCATTGCCCGCAACACCTATCTTCTGGCTAGCATCGGTGCCAACTTCTTGAACCCACCCATCATCAACCCCAGCGCCTGGAATCTGAGAGGAAAGGGAGGTTTTATCTGGGCAGGGATCTGCTTCTGCGAACTGGTGTGGGCGTACTTTTGTCTACCTGAACCAAAGGGACGCTCACCAGCTGAGCTTGAAATGCTGTTCGAGAACCGCGTGAGTGCCCGCAACTTTGCCCAGGCCAAGGTGGAAGTGTTTGCAGACAATGTGGAGAGGGATGAAAAGCACGATGGGCCGGTGGCAGTCACGATTGAGGGCCTCTAAGTACTTAGAAGAAGTCTAGTAGTCATTCACAATGGTCACTTCCAATGATTCAAACAACTATTACGGCCATGACACTCAATTGAAGTGCAGTAAGAAGCAGTGTCGTCGGATAACCAAGCTAATGTAACAGAACCAAACATCGTGACCCATGATTCCATGAAACAATCAAACGCCTTAGAACAGGTTACCATTCCAGAACTCCGACCCAATATCTCCGCAGGGTATCATATCCGAGAACTCTTCCAACGATAGACAACTGTCCACAAGCGAAGAGGCACGGGCTCTATAGCTTAGAAGAGTGTCACTGACAGACACCCACGTCTAATTACGCAGTGTGGTGATCTGCAACGTTCACTTCTTGCCTTGAGGTCGGCGCCCGATACGCGCGACCTCTCCATCCGCCAGCCGCTGCTTGGATTGTTGCTGCTGCTACAGGCTGGGGCTTTTCGAGCCGCTGGTGCTCTTAGGAGTCACCAGCCTCGTTCTCTTTGAACCACGGGCTTCGCCCTCGTGTTTTTCACTCCCTTCGCGTCTTCTCTTGGTAGAAAGGAGAGACTTGGGCACGTCCTTCTTGGGTGTGGGTGTATTCTTGGTCGAATGCTTGACTGGCTTCCCCGGAGAGTGAGGAGAAGCGGGTGTGTTGGTTTTCGAGTTGTCCTTTTTCGGTGCTTATTTAGATTGTGTGGGCATCAAGAAGAAAATCTCTGGAATGTATCTCTTGATGTCCTCAAACCATATAGAGAACATTCTCTTGAGAGACTTCTGCTGTCCTTGCTTGTTGTACTGATTGAAGCAGTTTGCCTCGCGATAGTACTCTTCGATGAGGTCGATGCGCTCCTCGAGAGGAATTTGATGAATGACGGATGTTTTAGGTCGAATGAACTGATTAACAAAGCCCTCGAATACACGCGAGTGAGCGGCAATGGGGAAGTAATCTTCACTTCCGGTATCTTTTGTCTTATTGGCAAGCTTTCCCGCGAGGCAGGTAAGAGCCATACGTTGTTGGCAAAGGGCACTGTATGAGAACTCAGGGGAAGACATCTTGAGTGGTAAATAAGATGTGTTTGTCTGTTGAGAAGAGGTGGAGTCTTGTATGCGAGAGGTGCTTGTATGATGCGAAGAGAAGTATGGTATGTTCAAGAAGAGAATTTGCAGAACGCAGACAAGTGTATGCAATGAAGAAGAGTGTGGTGGATGCCGAGCGAAGAGATTGAGAATCCTTGGGGGGAGAAGGGCGGTTTATATTAGTTTATGGGGGAGGACCGCAACGGTCTAAGTACTCAAGACTCGATCTTGATATCGGAACAAGCAAGCTCCAGTACAGTACCTCCTCGATAGAGTCTGCGATGTTGAGCAGATCATTGGCTAACCGGGGACTCTGCAACACCCCGGTGCTCATTGAGTTAGGAGTTCCAGTGGTTCTGTGCCAAACAGGTGCCGGAGATACGTTTTGAAGACTCTAAACCGGGATATTATCTTGAGAACGTATCTCCAGAACCATTCTGACTGCTCTCAGCCACGGTAGAGCGGCGGAGATATGTTGGGGACGATATCACGGTCCACGGGGCTCAGTCGACCTGGAACTCAAGGTTTACGCCACCAAGCATGACCCCGCACCTTAACCAAGTGTTTGGTCAGGCACCTGGCAGCGTTCTAGAGGCCATACTTTTGCTCGTGGAGAGCAACATTCTGACATAGGTAGACTGTATGAGCAGCCAACGATAATGCTAAGTGTGCCATATTCGTCATGCGCATCAAGTAAAACAAGAGAGTTCCTGAACTAGAGTACACTAAAGCATATAATTTCACGATGAGAGAGCATAGGGAATCCAAGGTGAGCAGTGCCTGCTGTCATACAAACTGCTTGTCTCGCCATGGCCCATCACTATCTAGAGAAGAACTTCTGGTCGGTGACCTGGCTGGGGGAAGTGAAGGACCTGTAGCCTTCGAGCTCAGTACAGCGGACCAGTGTACTGAGCTTACACACTTTCTTTTTGTGATTCATTTGAAGATTTAGACGGTTAGCCTTCTGAAAACCAAGGTACCGGGGATCTGACCTAGGTTTGGCCGAGCGGCTGTCGACATGCCTGGGGACACGATCATGGCCTTGGTCGACCAAGGTATCATGACATATACACAGACAGCGGGCCGCTCAGGATTCTAACGCATTACAGATGGTCTTAGTAGGAAGTATACGGACATCAAGTTGCCATGCGATCGAAGAAAAGCAAATACCATGCAAGTTATTACCCAAAAGATTCCTGTCTCAATGGATGACCGACCACGTTATTCACCCATGGCTACACCAAAATCTCCATTTAAACTATAAGATCGAATTGAAAGGCAAATAGAGGCATATCCTACTTCCGACAGAAGAATGCCCTGCCAGTCTACGCCTTGTAGAGTTGAGTTGGCGGCCCCCCACTAGCACTGGCTCTACGATGTCAAGTTTTAGCGGCAGACCGGCTCCGAAACCTGCGGCTCCGGGGGACTTCTGTTTCGTAAGCTGTAAAACCGCTATGGTGAATCGAGAATTTGGTGGTAAGAGCGTAGTGTAAAGAGATTAGTGATATAGAATAAGATATGTAGACCCAAGAAGCTAAAGACTTTGCTGGTTGTCATCCGAGCTGTGGGGGCTAGCGGACTTAGACGCGGCCTTTAGCAGGTGCTGACACCCCTGCACACGGAGCCGAACGTCATAACTTCAGTACGATGACTCGCTAGTTTCAAAATGAAGCCAAAAAGGCAGAACAAGTCAAAGAATTTGTAAATCTGGCGTTCGGATTTGCTTGTTATAGCCAGTAAATCTGCGGTCTGCTTACCGCTCTCAAGAAAATGCCCGGGCCGAAAGCTGTAAGCCATGGATACGCTGCCATGCTGAGACCCACGAAAGACCTTGGATCTGCCTCACAACCGATGATGACGACCCTGCACGAGAAGTTATATAAAGTCACATAGTCTGTCCCTCAATCCTTGGTAAACGATGCATCACTCACAGTTGCACACAATTATCCTCCTCTCACTCGCCGTCCCTACACTTACACCTTCATCACTGCAATCTCATACCAACATGGTCAAAACTGTTCCCTTTGGCGCTGTCCGCGTCCCGGTACCGGGATTCGGTGCAATGGGTATCACTTCGGCTATGGGCACTAGGCTCTCAGACGACCAGGCGGAGCCGGTGCTTTTGAAAGCAATCGAGCTGGGCTGTACCTTTTGGGACACTGCTGTAAGTCTGATCATCACGCAGCACGCCTTTGATGCCGTTTCCTTATGCGATATCAGGTTGCATACGACGCAGGTCTCAATGAGAAGATTCTCGGGGACTTTATCCGCAAGCACAATGTTCGCGATAAGGTCTTTGGTAAGTCCACTCGAGGCATTGGAGTTGAGTCTAGTACTGACCCTTCCTGTCAAGTTGCTTCCAAGTGTGGCTTTGACGTCTTCAAGGACCGCAGTGTCATCAACTCAAGATCCCACATTCGGTCTTACATCGACAGTACCATCGAGAGACTAGGCTTTGCCCCAGACCTGTACTACTTGCACAGAATCGACCCGAGTATGACGTCCTCTGTAGCTCATTTCCACTTATCTAACGAAGGTCATAGAGACACCTCTATCGGAGTCCATTGCTGCTCTGGATGAGATCCGGAAGGAAGGAAAGACTAAGTACATTGGACTTTCAGAGTGTTCTGCCAAGACACTGCGCGAGGCCAACTCGAGTATGTTCCACCCGCCATAACGACTTCAAAGTCATCAATGCTCCAGTAAAATACTAATACCTCAGCAGTCGCTAAGGTTGATGCGGTCCAAGCGGAGTATTCTGCCTTCGAAACCCTCCACGAGGAGAGCGGTCTCATCCAAACGGCCAAGGAGTTGGATGTTGCCTTTATGGCATTCAGTCCCTTGGGCCATGGCTGGTTGGTCGACAACTTCGACTACCAAAGTCCCGAAGATTTCGCGCCTGATGACTTCCGTCGAACTGGTATGTGGTCATAGCCGCTTAGATGCCTTCCTTTTCTTCTCTCTAATGGACATATTTCTGACTTGCATCACAGTCCCCAAGTTCCAAGGAGAGAGCTTCTACAAGAACAAGGCTATTGTGTACGAGATGAAGAAAATTGCGGCTGAAAAGGGCTGTTCTCTCGCTCAACTTGCCCTGGCATGGGTAGCTGCCCAAGGTCTCATCACTATTCCGGGCACCACCAAGCCGAAGAGGCTGGAGGAGAACTGGGCCTCCCGGGATGTAGAGTTGACTGAGGGTGAAATTCTTGCCATCAGAAAAGTAGTGGAAGCCAACAAGCCAGAGGGAAAGAGATTCTCAGCGATGCATGAGGCCGCAGTCGGTCACTAGCATGCGCTCAGGGCCGCTGGGTTCGTGACTTGGCTATTTGGCAACCAGACGTCAGACTAAAGAGCGAAGAAATGAATAAAAGAACCAGATGTCTTGCTTAATTACTCGTTTTCACCTTGTGGAATAGCTCCCACACACCCGCTCTACCTTCGGAAGAACAATCCGGAGCCATTCCGGCATCTTCAGGTAAGAGCTCCGGCGGCGATCGGTGGTCGGCGGGGATAATCGATCCACATTAAGCGGGTAAATCGGACCAGCTTCCTTACGCCATGCCCCGCAAGAACCGCGCTAACCACTGAAGCCGAATAGTACCCGTACACAGCATTCTGCCATGTGAAGATTGCATAGGTTACAATCCGGTAAGCAATTTTGCAGACGTTGCTTGGAGCTGAATGTGAATGCTTCTTCTGCCTTTGCTCCTTCAACTTCCTTGGCACAGCGATGCATACTCGGCGGTTGTCTCGGTAGGCTACAAGGCGTGCCGAGGCCACGCTGGCCGTTGAGTGTGAAGGAATGTTGGAGGGCATCAAAAAAGTGCTTCGCGCAGCTCGCCGTTTTCCCCTAGTGAGACAGGGTGTCAATGCCAGGGGTGGAAATCTATTTCATTCAGCACACGCGTCCAGCCACGTGTTATCGAGAGTCGCTGATAAGATATGATCTCGAGGCGGAAAAATGGATATCGCGATGTGAAACAGACAGGTTGACAACATGACAAGAAATTGTGGATTTGATTGATCAAATAGACTTTTAGTGGCCTGAGTCAAGGCGGGCGAAGACAGGCAGTAATGTCGGCACCGGCGGAGCTCAATGCTACGATTTTAGCGGCGGGAATCAAACATCATGATGCCTCAATGATGACCTGTTGAAGAACGAAGAGCACGACAGCATCTCGGCGTACATATGAAGGGTCAGATGGAGATCTCTCAGTATGTAAGGTACGGAGCAACATCGTATTGTTTACAAAAAATGCCTAGTCAGGGTCCACGAGCAGGGGGGGGGGGGGGGGGGGCGGTAGAAGAAGGTCCCTCCCTTCCATCCATCCATTGTGTCGTGCTTCAAGGTGGAGCCCAAGCCTCATGGCGCCACAGGAGCTCAACAGACGGACATGGCCCGTGCACCACAGCTGGGGCGGTGCAATTTCCAGGCTGCGAGAAATTCCATTTACTGGCAGAAGGGGCCAAAACTTAGCCAACCAAGCAGGCCTTCGGGGAGATACAAGCAAAGGGCACACGACTGAAGCGTCAGATTCCCCCTTCGACACATTGCTTCATTCAACAGCTTGCTCCATCGGCAGGATTGGATTGATTCTCGCCATCTCTAGCCACCATCACAAAGGGTGTCCTCAAAAGTCCTGACACATAACCCAAAAGGCCCATTTAGCCCGCGCAGCAGCTGTTCAGCTCCCTGGCCCGATCGCCGAGATAGGGAGAGAAAGAAAGCGCCTCGACATCACGACCGAGCGCCCGCAGCCTTACGACCTGCAAGCAACCTTCCAACACCTTGCTGGCACGTCCTTCATCGCCCTGCTATCCGGTGACGACCCGCGCGACCTGCGACGAGTGCTAAGCGTCTCATCTGCGATCATCGCTTGACCTGGCCCGAATCTCAGGATAATCCCCGAACCAGCCCTACCTCCCTTTCCCTTTTGACGATATACCCACGACACCATCTCGACATCAGACACAATGTCAGCAGCGGCAGGAGGTCTTACCCGACGCCGTGGAGGCGGAGGCGCCGCGGCCGGCGATGGTGAGGCCAGCAATGGCGCCAGCCGGACCAACTCAACGCCCAACATCAAGGATAGCGCCCCCGAGACGAGCTACGAGAGCGGCGAGAACGGCCACAAGATCGCCTTCGACCCCCGTGATATCAGCGAGAGCGCCGAGCGCAGCAAACAACCCAAGCTGACGTTGATGGAGGAGGTTCTGCTCCTCGGCCTCAAGGACAAGCAGGTATGCCGACGACGAGCGCTACGCACCGATTTCCACAATTGAAGCCAGGTCGCTAATTGACATTTTTACACGGTGCAGGGTTACCTGTCATTCTGGAACGACAACATCTCATACGCTTTGAGAGGATGCATCGTCATCGAACTCGCATTCCGCGGTCGCATCAGCATGCAGAAGGATGCCTCGAGAAGACGCTTCCCCCTCGCAGACCGCGTCATTGAAGTTATCGACGACACCCTGACGGGCGAGGTGTTGCTCGACGAGGCCTTGAAGATGATGAAGCAAAGCGAGAAGATGAGTGTCAGCTCTTGGATTGACCTGATGAGCGGTAAAGCTGGCCCCCCTTTCCCCTCCCTGAAATGGAGCACTGCGCTGTCCACTGCGCCCGCGCCCTTGGAAAGCACTCAGGCTGACGGATGTGTCCACCTACAGGAGAGACCTGGAATCTGATGAAGATTGGGTACCAATTAAAACAGGTTCGCGAGCGCCTGGCCAAGGGCTTAGTCGACAAGGGCATCCTCCGCACCGAGAAGCGCAACTTCTTGCTGTTCGACATGGCGACCCATCCCGTTGCCGACGGAGGCGCCAAGGAGGAGATCCGCCGCCGCGTCCGCAACGTTCTGACCCAGCGTACTGTCGTCCTCCCCGCTTCCCAGTTCCTGCCCGAGAACCTCGAGTTCCGCTACGTCCGCACTCTTGCCATGGTGTGCGCCGCCTACGCTGCCAACGTGCTCGAGAACGCCCTCAGCACCCTCGGCCACGAGGCCCGCGAGCGCGCCTTTGCCCAGACAGACGAGCTCCTCGCCGACTACAGCCAATGGCCCTTTGGAAAGAAGGCCACCGGCAACGGTATCGGTGCCAACCTGCCTCAAGTCATTGCAGATGTATGTTGAACACCATTTCCTACGTTGATTGGTAGACTGGACCTAACAACCTTGTAGGAGATCAGCAAGGGCAAGGATAAGGAGTTGCAACTCGAAGTTGTGGCCGCCTGCCTCAGTGTCTTCACCCGTCTTGATTCCCTCTTGTAAACCTAATCGACCTCGACATCCTCGAAACCGATCGTTCCGCTGCCCCAGCCTTGCATAGGGCATAGTTGCGGAGCACTGAGCGAATTTCGGGAACACGACTCCCTTTTCTCAATCCCATTCTCAACCTAGACACATCGATACGCCCAGCATTGAGCTCTCCCGACCTTCACACCATATTCGAACCCTCACGAGAAATGATAAAACAAAGCAACAGGGGAAAGCGACTTTCTTGTGCTCCCCATTAAACCAAAAAATGTGTAGCATGTAAGGTGGTGGTGGGGGAGCAGGATATTGGGTTCACAACTTGGGGGCAAAATATCATGAAAGGGCGCTATATCCTTCCTTTGCCTCAAATGGGAGAGAACAAAAAAGGGTTCCAGCAAGGAAAAAATGAAGGATGATGGGACGGCGAAAAATACACACGCGTGTAATTGGTTGGGTTTCAACTACTTTTTTTCTACCGTAAGCGATCGTTTTAATGCAGAACACACTCTCAGTCCACGTCCCGAGAAACGAGAGCGCGGAGGGACAAGACTGTGAGAGATATCAGTGTGTGGGCTTGTGTGCTACCCTCCCCTTGCCTTGTCATGTTGTCCTGGTCGAAGTGTTCCAAGATGTGGATATATCCGGCGTTGGTGAGAACTTGAATCTAAAGTCTTTTCTTCTCTTCAAGTCATGTCAATATCTCGATATCGTGACGAACCTTGACAAGAAGCTGCCATCTGTACTGACGTTTGTCATTTCTGTGCAAGTTTACAGAGCAATTGGAGATCGTGACATGGCTAGAACGATTGAAATATGTATTCATGGGTTCCCTTCTACGCCGTCCGTCCCCCTTTTTTTGTGCAAAAGAAAAACAAAACAATGTACACTAAGTCTTTTTTGTCCCAAGAACGCCGTTTTCCATCCATAGTGATGATGCAAAAAACCGCTGGTCGGTTTCCTCAAACACACCTTCCTCCACCACTGCTCCGGGGGGATATCGATTAATCTCCTGCATCGCCAGCCTCTCACACTTCCCTATTCCTCACGGTAACCTTCTCGTGCCTCTCTTGCTCAAGCGATTACAGCACTAGTGGGCGAGAGGGATCATTTCTTCTTCTTACCACCGCCAAAGCTCCCCTCAAACCCAGGACGCGCCTTGGTCTTCTTCGCGCCCCCACCGCCAACCTTCTTCCCGCTCTTCCGGCCAAGCTTATGCGCCAACTTGTCGTCCTTGCGCTTCTTGAGGTTATCCTCGCGCTTCTTCTGCTTCTCGCGAATCGACTTGGCCACGCCGTCGCTGCGCTCCTTCCACGCCTTTTCGCTCTTCTTCTTGGCCTGGTCCTTGCGCTTGACGGCCTTCTTGAGAGCCTGCTCGTCGTCGCGCACGCGCTCGCCCTCGGCGCGTTTTCGGGCAATCAGCCACTGTTCCTTTTCGGCAATGTCGGCCTGCTTTTCCGAGTCGAGGGCCGCGAGGCGCTTCTTTTGGTTTTGCATCTTGATGAGTGCCGTTTTGGGGTCCGAGGGCCCGCGTTTCTTGTGCGTGTTCAAGGCGTGGGAGAGGTCGTGCGAGAGTTTTGTGCCGTCGTCAAAGGCGACGCGACCGAAAGCAAAGTTTGCGGGTTCGTCGTCGCCGTCTTCGCCGCCGAGGCCGACGCGGGGCGACATGACGCTGGGGGAGTTGGAGGCGAGCGTCTCCTCGCGGCGGGCGTCTTCCTCGAGCCTGGCCTTTGTGCGGAGTTCCTTCTTGTGCTCTTTGCGCTGGGCCTGCTTGAAGCGGCGCGCCTCGATGAGTTCCTGGCGGGTGCGGATGGGTTTCCCGTCGGGCCCGTCGGCTTTGCGGGCGGCGCGGAGGGCTTCTATGCGGACTGCGAGGCGGGCGCGGAGGGCGGAGGTGTCGGCGGGGAGTTTGATGTGCTTTGGCTTCTCGGAGGGCGGGACGGTGGAGCTTGTTGAGGTTGTTGTGCTCGCGGTGGCGGCGGTGGTGGTGGTGGAGGGACCGTCGACGGCGGCGGTGTCAAAGGTGGGCGAGGCCGGTGTTGAGGCGCCGCTGGACTCCTCTGTGGCCTTTTGTTGGGCGAGGCCGGAGAGGTCGAGGGGGTTGAGGTCGACGGACTTGGACTTTGACTTTGTCACGGGTTCGGCCTCGTCTTCGGACTCGTCGACGGTCTCGTACTCCTCGTCCTCGTCCTTGTCCGCGTCCCTGTCGTGGTCGTTGCTGACGGGCTTGGCGTCCTTGGACTCGGCCTTCTTCTGTTGCTTCTTGCTGGACTCCTTCTTGGCGGCCGCCGGGGACTTTGCAGTCTTGATGTCGGCGGGCTTGCTAGACTCCTTGACCTCGGATGCTTCAACATCAGCAGCATCAGCAGCAGCGTCGCCACCGGCCTCGAGCTTAGCAGCCTTCTTCTCAGCCTTCTTGGCCTTCTTGGTCGCGCGCTTCTCCAGCTTGGCCTCCTTCTTGGCCATCCTCATGAGCTGGTTCTGTGACATCTCGGCAGGGTTGGCGTCATCAATCGTGTCGATCGGGAGGTCGGCCGTCTTCTGCTTCTTGTAGTCCTTGCTCCGGAGCCCCTGGCCGGGCAGCTCCCTCTGCACACCCGGGACGGGCTCGTCGTCCTCCTTGTCTTCTTCCTCTTGCATCGCCTCCAGCTTGCGCTTGTTGCGCGCCGCCCGCTCGTCCATGACCTCCTTTGCGTTGCGGTTCAGCTCGCTGTCGGGGTCCAGCTTGGCCGTCTTTGCGGCCTTGGCCTCGGCTTTCGTCTGCTTCGTTCGCTTCCATTGTTCCTGTTGAAAGAAGAAGAAAAGCGTAAGCAAGATGCGCTCTTCATGTAGGCTACCCTGGTGCTATGAAGGTGAAGCACACGCGAAGGGAAAAGGCTAGGTTTCCTATCGGTCGCTTTGCGATTTTGCTTTTGCAGGGCCATTGAGGGATGTGAGGTGCGGACGGGGGGCAAACGTACAGAGTTGTCTTCTCCATAGTACATCTTTGCCGGAATGAGGGACAAAAGACCATCAAAGGCCTTTGAGTGCTCGCGCAGGCGATCCTACGAAGCATGTTAACGTTGTGCCTTTTGTGGCGATCTCACAGGATCATCACCACCGCCAACAGCCTCTTCTCTTTTTTTTTTTTTTTTCTCATCTTCGGCCGGTGGCGGGGCACGGGCAATATAACGAACCTGCAGAGTAGATTCCGCCATATTCCCTTGTTTCGTTTCTTTATCTTTGCTTGTAGGAAAAAAAGAACAAAAAGCCTTCTCTGTGTCGACCGCGAAGGTTGGTTGAAGTCCTGCAACGCCAAACGAAAATCAACGGCTAGGCGGGTGCAAGCAGACTCGGTGAACAGAGAGAGAGCTTTGATACTGCGGCGGTTGCGGGCGGATTGGCTGCGAATTTTCGGGCGGTTCGAAATTTTTTGGGGTGTGGAGAAATCGCTTATGCGAAATCTTGGCGCTTTTCTGCCGTTGGATCCTCACCTATTTTTCGGGGCGGTGAGCCACACTTCTACCCCGCAATGACATAGCGCCCCGATACATGCATCTTATCAAGTTCTCCAGCTTCAAAGGGTCCAAAACTGCAGACCCATCACCAACATTTGGCCGGGATTCGCTCATCTTGAACCATACGCTTATCTGACCACCAATGTTCTACGAAATGTAGTGCACCTCCCTCAGATACCCAAATCAAGTTGTACCGACCAATGGCATTAATCACTGTTTTGATTGGTAGCAAGTCTTTCTAAGCATACATCTTTACTCCGTGATACCACGACACAATTCGCAAATCTATCCCACGGCTTGGAAAACTCCACCACCGCGAGTGGGCAAGTGGAACCGCCCAGCTGTAGACCCATTCCGTCCAATAATCAGTCCTACAAGTCCGAACGCCGCATTCCTGGGATCCCATGCCGTCCCATGCCGTCCGAGAAACAGTGCCGCCCAGCCTAAATAACCATGTCACCCTTAGCAAAGTCAATGACCAAGAAAAGGGCATCGACATCACAACGCCTGTTCCGAACGTTTTGTCCGGATACGACAACCACCCCTTGCTAGTCTTTCTCAAGTCGCAGTCGCAACAGTAGCCTCCTTGAGGACTGTTCTCTATCGATGGACTCCTTTCCGTTGTATGTTCGTTTGTTGCAAGCAACATCTTCAAACGGCATCATCCCTCTGAATGAGGATATATGCCGTGGTCATGTAGCAACTCTTCTGTCGTGGAAGAAAGCTTCCCTGGCGATTTACGCGCCTGCCATTCCAGCTGCAAAGGAAGGCGTCTGAGGCTGAAGTGAGTAGCCGTTTGTAGACTTGGCGCTCAACTCAGCCTGTCGCTGGCGGTCGGCCTTCTCGCGTTCGAGCTGCTCCTTTTCCGACTTTGTGATACGCGGTTTGCGAGTAAGCGAGCCGCCTCGGGATCCGCGACCACCTCGGGAGCCTGGTCCTCCGCCGCGGCCAGTGCCGCCTTCACCACGAGTCGTACCGCCACGACCGCCAATACGACCGCCACGACTTCCGCGACCGCGCTTAGGCAATCCATCAGGTCTGGAACACGTTAGTAAGCTATGCTGTATAGGAACGGGTGTGAATGCAACAAACCTTGTATCCGCAGGCTTCTCAACCTCTGGCACCAAGGGTCCAGAGTATACGAAGAAGCCGTCTCTGCTGGCGGCTGCCTGCTGCTCCCACAACATCTCGGAATCGTCGACGAAGTCATCATCCTTGTCGTACTCATCTTCTTTGAAGTTGCGCTTCTTCTTCTTCGGCTTCTCGGGGAGGTCGGCACCACTCGTCATACCGCCCATCTCCACATTGCTTGCCTCCTTGTCTGAGTCCTCGGACATTTCGTCACCAGATTCCTGGCCTGACGCCGTTTTCTCCAAGGCAGCCGAGGCAGCAGCGATGCGGGCCTTGCGATCTCGCTTTTCAGCCAGGCGAGGGTGCAGAGCATCCCAGCCATACTTCTCCTCAGCCATACGCATCACATTGACGTAGATGTTCGTGTCGCCGGGCTTGATAGGGATGTCCAGGACAATATCCGGGGCTTTGTACTCCTTGCCAGTTTCGGCTCTGCCAAAGTCTAGAATTGAACGATCTCCAAGCAGATCACGAGAGTCGTCCAGAGCATTGAGCTTGGGTGAAGAGACTCCTGACTTCTGTGGCTTTTGCTTTGGTGAATGCTTTTTGCTAGCGACAGAACCAGCAGTTGACACAGCGTCCTTCAGCTTCGAGTCTGCCTTGAGAGCTGGGACTGGCGGGGGAGCGAG